TTGCATCTTCCACAATAAAAGTATTCTTGAGTGCATAACGTTATTTTTTTTACTTTGATTACAATTACAAAACTAGTGTTCCTCTTCACTATTCACCATTCTTTACTCTAGAACATTTTTTTTAAACAATGGCGGCTGAAACTGTAGCAGAATAAATAAAAACGTAATGTTAAATGTTAAAACACACCGTTATAGGTAGCTATATTTCTATTTCGTGACTTTTTCTTGTTTGACTGTCGCGTTTTAGTTGTTATTAGCATTATTCAGCAAAGCGTTACAAATTGGTTGAGTTAATAATAATAAATTTGTTGTTTTTAAATTTGTCCTCTGCGTAGTGAAACTTTCAAAAAGTTAGAGGAACTTTTGTGACAAAATATACAAACATTTTTAATAATAACTCGAGAATTATTAAACATTTTGTAATGATTCTTTTAGAAATCGAATCAAAATTAAACTGCAAATCAAATCCGGCAAAGATTTTGTCGATCAAATTTATTTCCAAAAAATTATAAGCAAATTTGTGTAATAATAAACAAAAATATAACTTTGAATGTTAATAACTTTTTGTTTAATGGAAGTATGTTCATAATTTTATGCAAATAGATGTCGAATTTATATACAAATCTATTTCCGAAAGAATTACAACAATATCTTAAATAGTTTTTGAGTTATTTATTAAAAAAAACTGTCGCGATTATAATACTAATTTATCTCAAATAGTTTTTGCTTGACTTACTCGTAAGTCGCGGTGCGTAGATGAAATAGTTCAGTAATTATTGAATAATTCAAGAACTATAACACTTATCTTAATAATTCTTTCAGAAATCTAATCAAAATTAAACTGCAAATCAAATCATATAAAGCTTTGGCCGATAAAATTTATTTACAAAAAGTTATAAGCAAATTTGTGTCAAAATATACAAAAAATCAACTTTAAATGTTAATAACTTTTTGTTCAATAGATATATGTTCATAATTTTACGCAGGTAGATGTAGAATTTAATTAAAAATCTATTTCCGAAAGAATTTCAACAATATCTTAAATAGTTTTTGAGATATATAAAATAAAACCATCGCGACTCCAATACAGTCGCGGTGCATAGATGAAATAGTTAGTATTTAGTAAATATCTCGCGAATTATTAAACTTATCATAATAATTCTTTCATAAATCCAATCAAAATTAAACAACAAATCAAACCATGCAAAAGTTTTGTTAAAATTTGTTAAATTTTAATGATATCTCAATTGTTTCTAGGCCGGATTCCACTAATAGAAAGCAGCACATGACTCACATTGCACACATTGTGATAAAATGCGATATCACTCGCGATTTCTGCGTGCGACATAACAATTAAACTGGGCGTGTGTATCGTATGACGCCTTATCACATACATTACCTCCCGGCTGCACATTCATTCACTGTTTATTATTATTTTCAATCCGTAGCGCAAAATATTGTTTGATGCGATTTTCGTATTATCCGATAAACCCGCCAGGAAAAAAACAACACTGTGGAGCGAGCGAAGCCCTAGATTCCCTAGAATGCCTAGCAGCACAAGGTATATACGTATATAAAGCCTCGTAATGCCGTTTCAGCGATATTCGAGTGCGGCTCGACCAGACATCGACCCATCAGAGACAAAAGCAGGCTAATAATTTATTAACGTATTAATTTTTTCTGCGCCGTTGTAATAATGCTGTGAATCGACTCGGCAAAAAACACCAATAACATTTAATGACTTCATTCGAATTTGTCATAATACCTTGTAGATATTAGACACCGCAGATATTCTCATCGCAGGAAACGCAATAGACTAGAACTAGTAATATATTTGCGACGGTTTTTTATAAATATCTCGAAAACTATTTGAGATATTATTTTAATTCTTTCATTAATAGATTTGTAATTAAATTCTTCATCAACTTACAAAAAATTATAGTAATACAATTGTTAAACAAACAGTTATTAACAATTAAAATTGATTTTTTGTATATTTTTACATAAATATGCTTATAACTTGATCGAAAATTATGTTAGCAACAAAATCTTTGAGTAATAGATTAAGAATTTAATCCTTAATATATTTCTGAAAGAATCATTAAAATATCCTTAATAGTTTCCGAGTTATTCAACAAAAACTAAACTATATCATTGACGCAGCGTGACTTAAGTCAACATAGTTGCATTTCATAACGTTGAATAGCACTGAACCAAACCAATCGTTAAGTTTAAGTCAAAAGTCGCTACTTTCTAAATTCCTTCCTCTGTACTTCCATCAAAATAGTTTTCACTTAATTTATTTATCAATACCAATAACAGGATGTCGACCATATAAGTTACAAAGAGACAATGATTAACCCAGTGCATATTAATTAATTTATTAGTCATCTTAACTGGAAACAGGATGAAGTCAGTAAGTAGTCTGGCTAAAAATAAAATTACCTAGAATTTTATGAGTGCTGCCAGCGGTTGTGACTCGGTGTGTTTCAATCGAGAGCTATTATCCGATATTTATTGAATCGTAAACATTCCATGCGAGTCACACACTAAAAACACACTTTTCTATCAAATACGCACTGCGCACGCGCGTTACACTTATCCTCTCATCGCATTTAACACAAATCAAACAAGTTAAACTATATTTTAATGTAATTACGAAAGAAATGGCACTGGAAAACACCGCAGAAGTGAAAATTTTAGAAAAAATGTTTTTAACGCGTCAGAGTGTGCCGCGGGTCGCGTTTTAATGAAAACTGGTAACTAGTAACAACTCGGCGAGTCTCTCTGAGCCGGTATGCGTACAACTCGCGCGGGTTCGCCGTTTGTTCGGCGGTTCGCGTTCCGCGGGATGGACGACGACGGATCGGTAAATAAATGGTGTGGTATGGCCACGACCGCGTCCGCGAGGTCGACAAACAACACTCACACACGCGCCCAGCTCAAAACCTCACCTAAACGCGCGGCTCACGAAGAGAAAAGTAAGACGAGCGGCGGAGGCGAGCGCCCGACTGCGCGACTCGCGACTCTACTTGCAGGTAACCAGGTTCACATGCAGGTTTTCCACCGAGCGAGCAAAAAATATCCGCGTACACACACGGTATTAATACACTTTTTGTTTCGGATACAGTTAAGTATGCGCGCACTTTGTATAAATGCATGGAAAAGTAGTGGAAGCACTTGTAAAGTAAGCGAATAAGCGCGAGAAACGAAGGAAGAAGTCGCACGAAGTGTGCCGACGGGTGACGAACGCCGAGCGGATTTTAATTACGGATAGTGCGGTTGTAATGATTACGTAATGAACACGCGAATTCTACAGCGGTGACGCGAAGTGTAGAGAAGGTACTGATGTTGCAGTATAGTGCCTGCTTTCACCAAGAAGTAATATTGATCAAGACTTTAGTTCTTAATGATTTAAACTACGTGTAATCACTAATTTTATATTTATTTGCATTTTTATAAATATTTGTTGTTTTACTTATTTTATTTGCTTGTAAAACAAAAACTATATGAAACAGAATTATATTTCTTTCAGAAACAAACCCGTAATTAAATTCTACAACTACTTGATTATGATTATGGTGATATAATTGTTAAACAAAAAGTTATTAACATTTAAAGTTGCATTTTGGTATATTTTGACACAAATTTGCCTATAACTTTTAGGAAAATTATGTTATTAACTAAATATTTTCAGAAATTGATTTGTAGTTTAATGCTGATTACATTTCTGAAAAGATCATAAAGATAGCTTTAATAGTTCTTTAGTTATTCACTAAATACTGAACTGTTTCCGCAACGCCCCGTGACTTACGTCAAACAAAAACTATAGATAGACTAGTATGATAATCGCGTTTCTATAAATATCTCAGAAACTATTAATGATATAGTTGCAATTCTTTTAGAAAAAAATTAATAATTAAATTCTACATGAATTTACTTAAAATTATAATCATGCAAGTATTAAACAAAAAGTTGTTAACATTTAAAGTTAAATTTTGGTATGTTTTAACACAAATTGGCTTGTGAATTCATGGAAAATTATGTTAACAATCAAATATTTACATAATTAGATTTGTAATTTAATTTTGAGTAAATCTCTGAAAGAATTATTAAAATAAGTTTAACGGTTTTCAAGTTATTTGAGAAAAATTAAACCATTTCAGTAACGGACCACAACTTAAGCGACTTACTCGTATGTTATGAAATACGAGTAAATTGAATATTATTGTACAAATAATAAAATAAATAAGAGAACTTAATAAAAATGGCAATAAAAATTATAAATAATTAAATACTATATATTAAATTTACAGCCTAAGTAATAAAATACAAATTTAATTGCAATTTTTTCAATTTTTACTTAAAAATTTACTAAAACCTTTTAAATTTTCTTTGATAAATGTTTTACCAAAATAAATTAGTTACAATTGACCCCTATATGGGCACTTACAAACTTTTTTACAACTTTTCGCTTAGTAAAAGCCCTAAATTTGTGTTTTATTTCCTTTTTTGCATTATTAATCATTTTAGTGCTCTTTTTAATGAATTTCTCCTGCGTATCCTTCGGCACCTTTCACACTAATCTACTATTTTTGTATCATTCGGTTCATTACGATAATTGCCTGAATTACACCTAGTTGTAACTCGTAAACACCCGTAAACTTTTGCTTTCAGCCCAGCTCCTCCACCACTTCACCCTGCGCGCCCTCTGATGGAAGGCAAGAAGCTGATATAAAACCGAGTCTCGCTCCGCCTCTGCCTTAATTGTAATTAATGACGGCGATGCGAAAACACGGCTAAACTAAGACAAACCGAAGCGAAACTGAAACTGAATCCGAAACTGAAAGCCATACCTTCTAATCCAATGTTCGCAACAATATATACGCACATACAGAGTGTGCGCCGATGAAATTTTACGTTGAAGAGTTAACCAAGCATGATTCGATGATAATCGTTATGAAATGATTCACGCTGTATGAAGGGACTTGTGTACTCACCGAATTTCGCACCGGTTCTCCGCTTTACTCGCAGGCATATCGTCCTTGATCGGATGCACTGCAAATTTAATCGCCAATGCAATAATTAATCACCAGCGACCTCGCAGTGAGCAGTTTAGAATGAGGCAAAAGGAGGATAATACCGTGGAGCATTTTTAATACGCAAGTTACTCACCTGATGTATATGACTGATGACTTCCGTGTGCGTCGCGTCCTCCAACGTCTTTCCGTTCACTTCGAGTATTTCGTCGCCGACCTCTAGATTGTCTTTGTCGGCCGGCGATCCTACATAAATACACAAAAACATATGGAATTTAAAAGGTGTGTATTTGGTTGCTGATATCGCGTTAATTTAATTTTACTGTTTTACTTGATATTTATGCAATTTTTGATTGTTTTGTTAAACTAAATAGTAAAATCAAATAATACCAGAGGCGTTATGCATGTATTCGAAACAAAATGCGGTTAATTAAGCCGAAAATCGTAAATTATTAATAAAACGAGCCGAGCTGGAATTAATAACAATGTGAACGAGTCAGCGGCAAAGCACAAAATTAAATTTAACGACCAATTTCACACGGTGCTACGTATTCAACATGAATACAAAAAAAAATGAACGGCTGCGAATCGTGAAGCACGTTTGAAACAAACGGGATTTTTAAAATTCGTCTCTTTTTTAGGCGTTTTGAGTTGTTACGAGGTGATTTATGTGCCAATCGCTTACATTTGATTAGACTAATTGGCTAAACTTTAAAATGTTATGTTTACGTAAGTTTTAATAAGAATTATAACCTATTTTAAGTTTGTGAAGGTTAAAATGAGGTTATGTTGGTTATAATGTCATAAAATTTATTTTATATGAATTTATGGTATTTATTTAATAAATTAAACGTATTATTTGTCATTTTATACATTTTGACCTCGTAATTTTCATCCTGGACCCTTGATTTATCCCTTTTATTTATTTATGTCAACTTCGTTTTCATCCTTTCTGTGTCAAATAAAAATGCACTCTTTCGCTGCATGGCCTCGCCACAAAATGGATCAATTTAATAAAAACGTTTTCGACTCTCAGTCCTCTTCGCCTCGACTTTTGACACAACCTCGCCGGCCTGAAAAAGCACGCCATCGAAAACAGACGTCTGAAAAGCATATCAAAACGACAAAACTTCCACACGGCTTTTGTTTCGAGCGAAATCTTCGTTGTGACTGAGTCAAGCGCGCCGGAAAAAAGAGTAAAAATACGAAGAAAATCCTTTTAGACGAATTGTTTCTTTAAAAATGCATAACGCCGTCATAAAAATCATAACAATCCTTCAAAAGGATCTGATAGTGACATCTAATTAAATTATCTAAGAGAAAGGATAAAAATAAGTACGCGCCGTCCACCGCAAGACAGAACAACTCACCGTATAATTTAATCTTCTTGTCCTTGGTCTCCACCAGGATGATGACGTATCCGCCGAGATCGACCATGTTGTTGTCTTGGGGTAGCACGTGCGCGTGCTGTGTCTGCAAGCAACCAAAGAACAACGTCACCCACAATCACACAAATTGCATTTAAATAAAACATTAATTTAAAACATTAAAACCAGAAATTAAAGAAAATAAAAATTATTTGCCCGGCGCCTCCACCAATTTTTTTCTGAGATTACTCAAAGCGTGTTTAACATCAAAGAAACATAGGAGCTATGGGGACAAGTGAACAAGACACCAGAGGAAATGCAGTTCGTCGAGATGCGCCGATAAAGGGACAGCCCGCCAGGCTCGCTGATTGCGAATTGTTTGCTGGAAATTCGGTCACCGTGTCACACGCTAAACTTCACCCCAGTGGAATAAATGGGTGCGTTTGTCAAAAATTAACTAAATTGATATGATTTTTAATATTAAAATGTTTACCTTTTCTGGTTAAAGTTGTGATTGAAGTTGTCTTGGTCTCATTTTACGCTAGTTCCCTGTTTATTTTATATCATAAAACTTAATTTATCACAATTACGTTTGTTGCACATCTGGACCACGCACGACAATGATGTAACACTCCGCGAAAAACGTTTTCGCGCACTAAAACAGTTTCATCTCAAGTGTCCGGCACGTTTTTCCCTTCGCTCATCCGCGAGTGTTCGTTAGCGTCGATGATGGTGCATCACATGCTGTTTGGTGCGAGATGTGCTGTGTGGAGATGGTGTTGACACTCGATTCGGGGCGAGAGCAAAACGAGGAGACGGCGCGCCGCGGTGTCGTATGTGTGTCGCGGGCGGGCGGCGGGTGTTGTGTGCTCGCGGATCGCGGGCGCCCTATGCTTGCTCCAGCCGCCGCGCACGGCGCCGCATCGTGGGTTATGTAAGGGGGATGTGCGAGATCCGTGCGTGCGTTGCGATGACCGGGTGCACAGTTATGTGATCAATACGGCGGCGGGGTGGCCTGCCGCTCCCGCTGCCGCACAGCATCCCTGCTCCACGGCCACAGCTGCGGATCTTTCCCCCACCATCTTTGTGTTTTGACCTGACACTGCAGCGGGTGGAAAATTCAAAATTTAAACAATATTTCATTAAAAAAAGATAAATTTTAACGGTTTTTAACAGAAAAACATTTTAAAAATATTTTAAAATTATTTTTGAGATTAATTTATACAAAATCATATAAAACAACCTTTAAAATATAATTTTTACTAAAATTTTATAAAAAATGTAATAAAACCTATTTTATCGTTATAAATATAACGGTCTTCAATTTTTTAAACTTTTTAGTTTTAATACTGCCGGTTTTTGCCCCTTCCGGTTTCCCTATTTCCGCGTTTAAGGTCCTGCCCGCATGAAGTCGCTGCACGTCGCCTGGTTTGTTTGTATCGTTTTCCGATACGCAGCTACTGTCGGTGTTGTCGTCGGCAGTCGCCCACGAACGAGGACAACAACAAAAACGCCTCCGCCCCGTGCTCAACGCCACAGCTGCACCCGCAGGAAAGCAGCTGTACACTGCTGACACTGCCAACGTTGACGTTGACACCAGCTAGCAGTCAGAAATCATTAACGACGCCAAAATTCGAGGATGCGTTGAAGCGGGAAGCATGTCCAGCGCGAACAGCATCGTTTGCGAGGAGATCTTCGATGAGGGCAGTACTCCTTCCGCGGAGGGTGAGGCACAAACATAGAATTAGGGCAATCTATGAAAAATTATGTAATGTTTTGTTTGATTTTAGAAATCAAAGCCTATGCGACGAAACTCGGCATCGATCCGGACAATGAACCACAACTATTGTCCCTCGCAGCTGAAGGGCTCATGAAAGCCCTTCCACCCGGTTGGAAACCAGTGTAAGTTGATAAATACAAAAATTTTAAAAAAATTAATTGTTTTTTTCTCTGTGTGTTAGATTGGATGATAAATCAAAATCTTATTATTATTACAATAATGTTACTGGTAAGACCCAGTGGGAGCACCCACTTGACGACATCTATCGAGGTTTGGTCAAAAAGAAACGTTCTGAAAGTCAGTCACACAGTATTGGGGAACCGAATGAAGATGCTACTACTCTTAGGGATGACATGCCCAGTTTGGAAGAACCACCGTTTGCTAGTTTAGGTGCACGTCGTAAGGAACCCAAGTTATCACCTCTCAATCATGGAGCTAAAATTCTTAGACAGAAATCTGAAGAGAAACCCATCGCGGCGTTTGTGCAAAATCGTAAAATTGGGCTTTCTTTATCAACCAGTTTTGATGGAAAGCCGGATAAGTTACAGGAAAGTCCCAAGAAAGATTTTAAACTTAGTGGTGGGGGTAGTATGTTTCTGAAGAAAGCTAAAACACCTTCCATTGAAATGCTTAACATCGACGATGATAAAACTGAAGATATTATCCCTGAAAACTTTCCAGAATCTTCAAAACCTGAAGAAAAAGAAAAAGAAGAAGAAATTATTAAAGAAAAAGATGAAATTGCAAAAGATGATCCCAAAGAGACTCCGAAAAGTATTCTGAGAGAAAGAAGTTTTGTTATTGAATCTTCTAAAACAGAGGAAGATGACGAAAGGAAAAATGTACGATTTTCATTAGATGTAGATTCTGCACTTAAATCTCCCGCAAACGATGTAATTCTACCGATTAGCAGTTTGAAAATAATCAAAGCAAATCCCAAAGATTTCCCAAAACCAAGAAATAGATCAGATCCAGAAATCAGTATGGGAATCTCAGACTCCGAAGATGATTCCATCATGAAAAGTTTGGATAAGAAAGTGAGCAAGAAATCAGAATTGAATATGCAAGATGAAGAAGAGGAGATTCATCATAATATTGCCGAGAAATTCCGGGAAGATAACGAAATAATTCTGAATAAAATCAGAGATAATGCCGATAAAGAATTGGAGGACATGAAGAAAACCATCTGGGATGAAACTAACATAGAAATATCAAGATATCGACAGGAGTTGCACGAGTCACAGAAAGATGAATTAGAGAGGATTTTAACTACAGAAAAATTAAATTACGAAGCAAATATTAAACGGGAATTAGATAACCTACGAATTGAGATGGAGAGTCGGAATTTAGGAGCGTTGAAACAAGAAAGACTTAAATTAGAAGAAGAATTATCTGGTGCTAAAGAAGGATTAGTCTCCGAACGTGAAAAAGCTTTCGAAGAAAAAATAAAAGCTTTAGAAAAGAACTACGCTATAAAATACGAAGAAATTGAGAAGGAATTATCGCGGGACCTAGAAAAACGGAAAGATGAATTGATTGTTTCCCACAACGCCATTTTGGATCAAATGAGGAAACAGCACCAAGCGGTTTTAGACGAGATTAAACTAGATTTCAAATCTGAGGTAAAAATTGTTAAAAATGATTAAAAGTGTTTTTATAAATAATTTTGTAGGAAAAAATTCTACGTCGGGAACATGAGTCAATGTTAGCCGAATTGAAACGAAAAGTAAATGGCGGAAACCTCGATAATGAAATGAACTACCAAACGAGTTCGAAAGATAAAGAAACCGGTGATGAGCGACTCTACGAAAAGGTGCGATGTGAGAAAAGGTTGTTAGAAGACAAGTACAGGTGTTTAAAAGAGAAGTACATGAAGTTAAAGACGGATGTAAAGCTTACGATTGAAAAACGACATAGAAAACGAGAACAAAGTTTGACTACGACTACAACTGGTTCCGAAACAGAGAAAAGCAACTCTATCAATAAAGAAAAGTAAGTTTTTTAAATATTTACATAAAATTATTATAAAAATCGTGTTTTTAGGTCACCTAATCGTTCGCCAACACACATGAAACCACCTTTGAGTAAACCTGAACTTTCTTCATCGAAATTACTAAAACCGGAGGCCAAACAAGCACGTACAGTAATCATTCAAGATTTGGACACGTCAGCGAGTGATCGCAGTTTTAAAAACGACGGAGTCAACTATGAATCATCCGAAGAAAATGCCAATTTTGGCCGAGGAAGAAAAAAGTATTATTCGCGAGTAAAAAACACACCACCAACGCGGAGTTCGTTGAAATCTAAGCGGACACCGCGTACGTGCTCCCCGGTTGAGAACCTCCGACGACAGTTACAGAAATTGGAAGATTTGGAAGATCAATTGCCACTGGCGCAACACGCTCAAGCTGACACCTACCACTTGAGGTAAACCTTGATTAATGTGTTGGCCTGCTCCTCACAATCTTGTTTGTATGCGCAGTCCCTCCCAATACAATCACCACGATCAATAAGTGTGTCTTCTTAAATTTGTTGTATTCTTGTTGTTGTTTGATCTGCCCTCTGCTTGCGTTCTCGCTAAAAGACACGTCATTGATGATATCTTGCAGCAGTCACGTGTAATTTGCAGATATCCGTTCACCGACGGTCAGAAGTTCGAGGGCAGTTCCGAATTAGAGTTTTTTAGGCACCGCATTCACCTGGAGCGTGATTCCATCAAACGGGCTAAGGAGAGTCTCCGCACGCAGAAGTGTCTCTTCCAACAACGCCAGAATGACCTCAAGTTGAAGCATGGATCGATGGCACGTCATACCCTCCAACAATTATGCCAGGTAGCATGTGACGTCCGTTTAACTCCCCAGAGTGAAAAATTCGATAACGGCGAGTTTCAGGAGGAGAAAGATCTTACAGACATGGAGGTATCTCTTCATCGGACACGGTCATTGCTCGGGGAGAAGGTGATCCGTCTGAGACACCTTGAACAAAGCCTACAAAGAGCTACAGCTGCTTCCAATGAGCCGAAAACTGATGAGGCAACGCTGAGTGATCTTTCTTCGCATAGTGCCAGTTCTGGGATTAGTTCCACTGAGTTTGCTACAGCTGCTGATGGTATGAAAGCTGCGGTACTTCGCGGGGAACACCTGCAGGAGTCTTCGGAGATAATTCAATCTTTGGAGAATCTAAATTTAGAAATTCGGGAGATCTGGGAGGTGTTGAATCAACAACAGAAGTCCGGAAATATGCCTTCAGGTACCACACGTTGAGCAACCTACCTTGAAATGTTGAACTCGTAGATTAATTGTTTTAGTTCTGCCTCTGCCATTGGTATACCCGGATCTTGGATGGCCAATGCTTGCTGGTACGGCAGCTGTGCCTGCCCCACCGTCCATTCCAACTTTGGCGGACCGTCTTCATAATTATCGACAACATGTGGCGCTTGCCAATGCGCAGAGTACGGTTGTCACACATGCTGCTAATCAAGGTGCGACTACAACTCTGGTTGAACGCACCCGCAACTTGAGGCACTGGTTGCGTCAGGCTGGCATTGACCCCAATACGGATGTCACACCCCAGGCGACTCTCTAAGCTCTAATATCTAAGATAAGTACATTTCTCTGATCACTTATCGTCCCCGAATTGAAACCTCTGAACCTGATGTTGTTGGAAACGGAAGCGAGTGCAATTAGACGCGAACAAAGAAAGTTATTGATGTTGATGACTAGATGTGATACGAACGATATTATCTATATGATCTACAACACTTTATTCGTTTATATATTGTTTATTCTTTAAAAAATATTTATTTTTCTACACTTTTGACGTTTTCATTCGAATTCAACAGACAACTTGATGTTGAACCTTTATGCTTTAATGACAATGATGTACTGATGACACTTTGCCTTCCCGAATAAAAAAAAAATGAGAATGTAATGTAACGTCACATTTAAAACGTGCAACGCTGTATGATTCCATGCATAACTGGTTGCGGATTATCGCCTAACATGATATACAGTGTTGCCAAGTTATTGTGACGTGACTGGAACTGTTGATTGTTGAGATTGTTGCATCCGAAAGACTTGCAGACGCAAAACATAAAAAGCACTGAAACTTTTATAAGATAAAAAGACTTGAGTAGAATTCATAAGCCGAACGATTTCCAACTAGAAAAATATGTAAAGATCGTAGCAAATCCACATCTTTGACTATTGTAGCATTTAAAACAAGTTATCAGCACCTTGCAACTTGCGATCTCCAGCGAATAATCATGAAATAATCAAAATTTAGATCGTATCTTAAGAAGCGTTCCAGCTTTAAGTCGTTATTGACTACAGATGAATAACTTCGTACTCGAAATGCCAAAAAATAGAAGAAATCAAGCTTTTTCAGCAGTGACATCAAACGTAAAACATGCAACACTGTTGAAATATGTAATCGACAGTGTTGCCTTTTGTTTTCGCGTCACGTGACTGAAACTGCTTCATTCTTTCACTTTTATTTTAATGCAAATCATAGAGAAATATTTAAATTTTTAGCAAATCTAGTCCAATAGTCCAAAAAAAAACGTACATTTAAATAAAATCAATACGATAATAGCAGCGTTTGTGCCAATCTTGTCTTAATTTTTAACTGTCACAATAAATACGGCATAAAAGTCTACATTAACAATAATCAATGGAAATAATCGAATAGAAAAGTACAAGTTAATGTGTCAAAAACAATAGATATAATAAATACGCACTAATTAAATCAAGTAAACCCAAATACAAGATAATATTACAAAAACGGTGACTATATTTGAAGCTGCGAGCAACACATCTCAATATATTGCACAATTATTCAATGTTAAAATATGAATATTTTTCGTAATATTTTCGCACATGTATATTGATAAGTTTAGTGATTTTACTGTTGCAGAAATAATACAAAATATTCACAGAATCAATTAAACCCCGTCCTAAATGCCAAGTTTTTGTTCTGTTTGCTGCAATAATTGTTGGAAAGTGTGGGAATCAATGAAACTTGTGAGAATCAGAGAAGATTATATTGTTGTTGCATTTGAAAAATTGACTTTTTTGGAATATTTGTGTTTTTGTTTCAAAACTGTACTGGTATGCTTTAAAATGTTGATGAAGTCAAAACAGAACAATCCAATAAAATAAGTAATTAAAGAATAAAGCAACAATTGTATTATTTACAACCAAAGATGCATTTTTATCGATTTCGCTTTGATTGCTGCCATATAATTCCTTTTTCAAAAGATAAACACGTTGGTGTTATGTTGGTTGCCTATAGTATTTTAGTAAACTCAATTTTCTAACCTCTGTACACATTCACTACATTTACTATGTAGTTTCTCAAACTTAAAAATGAGTAAAAAGAAAAAGTTGGACTTAAGAAAACTCCGAAACTAACAACAAAAGAGGAGTTATTAGACTTGAATAAAGAAGTGAGTTAATTGTACTACATTCTTTTGATATAATATTGATTTTATTTGTTGTTTTTATTTAAGGAACTTGTTGCTCGCTTTCTTTCTCTTCAAGCACACAATCAACAACTTAAAAACATTATAAACAAGAACAGCAAGTTATTACAAAGTAATAAACAACCAAAACCAGAAGAATCACTATATAGTAATCAAAGATCATTTGATTTTCAAAAGTATAACTGTTCTTGATACAAATATTTACTGATAACTAAAGTTTTATATATTTTAAATTATAGATACACATTCAGACATGTTTTACTGAAATTTTACTATCTTGGTTGGGATTATCATGGATATGTGATACAGGAAGACACCACTAACACCATTGAACACTATATTTTTGAAGCATTGATGAAAACATGTCTAATTAAAAGCAGAGAAGAGTCTAACTATCATAGATGTGGAAGAACTGACAAAGGAGTTAGTTCATTTAGTCAAGTACGTGCAGCATGCAAATAAATAACTGAAAAGTATTAATAACTTACATACATATAGGTAATATCAATTGATTTAAGAAGCAAATTAAATGAAGATAATAAAAATAACTTAAATGATGAACTTAATTATTGCCAGACTTTGAATAGAGTCTTACCTGAGAATATTCAATGTGTTGGTTGGATGCCAGTTGAAGAAGGTTTCAGTGCAAGGTTTGATTGTAAACACAGAGTTTACAAGTACTTCTTTCCAAAAGGATCATTAAATATTCAAGTAAGTAATAATTTAATACAAAATCATTGTTGAAACATGTATTATATGTTTGTAACTTTAAGAAAATGAATGAAGCATGTGAATATCTTCTGGGCCCACATGATTTTCGTAATTTGTGCAAAATGGACGTCGCTAATGGCGTCACTGAATTTATTAGAAGTATAGAACACATCCATGTGCAACCATTTGAAAAAAATCGAGATAACGAATCGAAATGCAGCCAGGAAACAGGTAATTTTGTTAATTTAAATAAAAATGTATACAAAAGCAATGATTTTGTGGTTTAAGAATATTCTATGTATGTTTTTACCGTTCAATCAAAGGGATTTTTATGGCATCAGATACGGTGCATAATGGGTGTGTTATTTTTGATTGGGGAAGAAAAAGAATCTCCAGAAGTCATCAAAGAACTTCTCGACGTTCAAAAAAACACCAGGTAAGTAAAAATTTGACTTTTTTTTACGTTAATTTATATAAAAAAAGAAGCAAAATCGATTTTTTAAAATCAATTATGGATGTTTTAGAAAACCAGATTATAACATGGCATGTGAAACACCTTTGAATCTATTTCATTGCGAGTACGATCATGAAAATCAATGGCATTACGATTTGACAGCTTTACAAGCAGTGATTAAAGTGCTTCAAGGACAATGGACGGTCGCCAATGTCAAGTAATAGATTTAAAAACTATAAACAACATAACTTAGTCTTGTTTTCTTTCTATCTACATAGATCGACTATGATGAAAGCAATGTTATTCGAACTAGGAGACATTCAGTCGCAGTTAGAATCGAACAATGTTGAGCATGCAAATAAATTCGCCAACGTGCTCAACCAAGATAACAAAACGAAGCGATATGTTCCGTTAATGAACCGACCAAAATGCGGTACGTACCTATTTCCATACTCTAATAATATTTGCGTGTTTAAAATTTCAAAATTATTTTTATCATTGCATGTCAATCCGTATTGGGCAATACACAAAACAGACAGCCTGGAAGTGAAAGTAGAGCACTATCTAAAACGTCGTAAATTGGAAATCAAAACCGATAACAACAAATAAAATTGCTACCAATTAAAACCAATGCGTATATATTGTCTTTTGTTTCGTGTTTCTTGTTAAAAATAAGTTTTACATTATTATATAATATCAGTATGTGTAGGTGTAACAAATGGCTTAACAAAATATTCGCGGCCCGACAAATTTCGCATATTTAAGTTTATCAGTTATTAAATTACAAAATTGTAGCAGCAGCAGCACTACATTTCTCTTAGGTTTAGTGAATACTTTCCGTTTATTTTGAAACATGCATCATGTTTGCTTCAATTCTTTAATTGTGTAACCAAAATGGCCACCAAAATAATCGCCACCACTGTTGCTATGAATACCAGTATGCATAAACGACGTCGATATCGACTTTGATAACCAGAAGCTTTCAAAAGCTGCGCGGCACCTTCTTCTACATGTCCCGTGGCGTAATCTATACTGTTTTCAATCGTATCTATAAAAATATTAAGTTGTTAATGTTTACACATAGATATATTAATAATATTTAGTTTCTTACCGATGGTTTGACCTTGTTCGTGCACAAGCGAACCTAATTCGCGCATTATTTGATTGACATCGATGACGTCGGCCTCGATTTGCCGAATACGCATTTCCCGATCGAGGTGCATGTCATTTTCGAATGCCATATCGTGCAGCACCTGCTGTTGTTGCTGCTGCTGCTGAAACTGGTCGGCGTTTTCCACGACATTTTCGTATTCGATGTTTGCGCGCACCAGAAAGTTGGATTTTAATTTATCTGCTACTTTCTGAAACAAAATTGCAACAAAACGTATTAATATTATGTATTTTGTTGTTTATTAAGTAATTTACCTTCTGTGTGGCCGAATATCGGGCGATTACTTCTTTGAAACTTTCAGTCAGACGCTCGAGTTGTAACTTTTGTGCTTTATCAACATTTCTCGCCTGTATACTGATTATGGAAATCTTTCCTTTAGTGACGGTGATTGCTTCATTAGCAGAGAGTTGTGTTTCATGGCTAGTGATAAAAAATAATTAATTATTGGCAAATAAACAAATAAAAACGATGAAAAAGAGCAAAAACTACGTTTTTCTTAATTATCTTCATAATTCAAAAACTATGCAACTTTTTATACAAATATTAACAAGTTTGCAGTTTTTTACAAGCTACTTTTTATAAATTGAAATATTCTAGAAGATTTTTTTCTTACATCGTGTCTCTGAATGCTTCACTGTCCTTCGCGGTGCCTATCCTCTTATAGGAGGCTTCCAAAGTTTTCCAGCTCTGTGAGATTTTGTAGATTTGATTCGAAATCTCATCGCACAGGTTAGCAAAGTCTTGCGAACCGCTCTGCCCGCTGAATTGCACCTCCGACGTGGATGCCATCGTTCCATAACTCGTCTGAGCGTTCCGATTCATTGTTTACCGCAAGTTTGTGCGCCGCGCACGCTTAATCACAGAGATAATTAGCAGATAATGTCTTATCAACACTTCAGCGTATCGAGTTCGGGTGCTAAGAGTACCGTATTAAACACTGTGCACCCAACATGTGATTCGTTGAGTTGTGCGAAATCGGCAAACCATAATTATGACTCACTAAGTTGTAAACGTTGTTCAATGTTATTAATGTGATGTGATGAATCGAGCTGCTGAGGTCGCAGAGCACCGCACGCGATTGAGTGTCGCGCAAAAACAAGCTGAGCTCATGCTCATGGAGTAAATTATGGAGTAAACACGGTCGGTGCGTCGACAATCGCTGAATGCTGAGCTAAGTTATTTCCATTTCGAGCTATCTGACGACGAATGTACAAAAACAACAATGAAATACCGATGAGCAACGATGTCAAAGTCAGCTGTTAACTTTGACGTTGTTATTAATTTTATTTAAAAATATTACGAATTTTTAAACCAAAGATTATAATATCTTTTTAATTTGTGTAATTTAATAACATTTAATTATTTGTTTCTTGTTTGGGTAAGGAAATACGCAGTAATTTAATGATTAAAATGTTTAAAAAACTATTTAAATGATTTTAAAATTTAGGCAACTTAATATACCCTTAATACCAACATGGTTATACCGCATAACCTTTAAAAAAGTAGCACTGTCTAAAAATGCCCAATTTAAAGTAAACCAAAACCAAAAACTAAATAATATACAAGTTTTTACATCAAAATATATAATACACAGCATGACAACATGCAAAACTCAAAAAGACTATGTGCTTTATTCACGAAACGCCTCGCAACAAATCGCATCAGAATCAAACAAACTTTTTTCTCAGTCTCATCTGCAATACCCAACAACACAAAACTTATAACATCAACAACAAGTAATAACTTCTGTGACAAACATAAGTTATCACCGGGACGTTTATATCATGATGATCACTACACGGACGGAGAAGATGATATCGATACAATCTATCAGGATCAACCAAAGTCAGTAAAATACATTTTATATCCAAATCATGATGATCCACTGCTTCCATTGTTGAATGGCTGTGCATCAATACAAGAAGTATTCAATTTCCTCAAAAAATATCATCACATTCTTCAACCTATGCATCTAGCTCAATCTGTACTTGTCCTATGGGATTTGCAAAAGATTTTCCAGCATGTTACAGAGTTGACAAGCATGGATAAAGTTGAAAAACTTATGAGTGACTACACAAATGAACTTCTAATGAGAAATGAATTTAAAGTACTGTTAGAATTATTAGAACAGAATACACATGGGTATAATGCAGATGAATTGAGTAGTGTTTATATTTACTTGAATAAAATAGGTGTGCCTAGAAATGGCACAACTATGCAAAACTTATTCACAAAATTATGTGAACTAATGCCTAATCATGATGGATTGACAGCTTTGTCAAAGTTTATGATTGCAGTCAATTACAACAAGCATAAAGAAGCATATAACATGTGTAAAGACAAACTATCATCAATTTTGAACAAATTAGGTGAGTTTTACATCTAAAACCATAAAGCAAACACTAAAATTGTTTATTTTTAGAAACATGTGTAACTTCTGAAGATATAAAACTTATTTCTGTATGTTTAAACGTGTTAAACAAAGAAATAACACCAGATATGCTGGAAACCTATCAAAATAAACTTGAAAGTTTATTATCTCAAGAAATAATCACTGCAGAAGACACAGATGTCCTTATAAAGGTAATTTTATTCTTACACTATCCACAATGGCGTCACAAACACGCCGAACTACTGTCAAAATGCATTTTGTTACTTAAACCAAAGATAAGTCAATTATCTTTGAGTGAAATCTTAGTTTTAAACGAAGTTATCGTGAAAACGCAAGAACCAGCCAATATTCTCTTTGAATTACAACGCTACACAGCGAAATTAATGCGTGAGCTTGAAGAAAACGATAGCACAGCTTACCAAAAACGTTTAAAACTTGCTAACTCTTTAATTCAACTCTCAGCGCCCACGCAACGGCCAGGATCTGAACTAATGATCAGAAAATATTTTCTTTATCCTCTCAATGGAAAATGTCTGATAGAATTACTAAAAGCTATGCAATATATTAAAATAATGGATCCTTTATTCTGTAAATCATTCTGGGATAAAATACTCACTGAATTAGAGCATGATGATGAATTTAAAAGCGAATACATGATGAAAGTGTGTTATTTATACATGTCGTGCCATAAATGTCTTCCGTTCAGACATTTCAAGCTTGAAAAAAGGTTAAATCAATGGATTGAAGGATTGATTGAGACTTCTCCGTTGTTAGAAGACACTAAGAATTTCATTAGTGTTGCATCTTTTGTTATTCCGTACGGTAATGATGTTTCGATAATAAATTACATCACGAATATGTTCAGAGACAATTGGGAGAGATTTGGACCGTTGGATTGTGCAGGTTTGGCGCGTGGTTTGCACATTGGGAAGAATATCACGAAAAATGTGCATTTAAAAGATCGATATTACAGTATTCTGTGTAATACTAGCGATAAAATTATTGAGAAAGTATTAGAAGATAGGAAACACGATGAAAAACATCCGATTGATGTGAATATTACAAATGTTTTGATGAAATCGTACGTTTATCGCAATAAAATGGACCATTCAATGGTGGATAAACTGTTGTTAACATACAAAGATGATACGTATTTGTCATCGAAACAGATTAGAAATTTGACGATGTGTTTATTATTGAGTTCTGCACTGCTTCCTGGAATTATTGACAGAATGGTGGATTATGTCTGCAAGTGTAAGGAGAGCATCATGGCGTTTAATGCTGAAAAAGTTGCCTTTCTCTGTTATTACCTGGGGTATATTCCAAAGAAGTCAGAAGTGTTTTCAAAGATCTTGGTTGACTTAATTTTAAGGTAAAGTTTTGTATATTTTGTTAATTAATTTGTTTTACGAACGTGTTTACTGGGATTTTTAGAGATCAAGAGAAGATTAATGGCTTGAGCTACTTACAAAGTTGTTTGGCGCTTTGTTTCTTTAATAACATGACTAGTCCTCTAATTAAACAAATATTTAATGTGCACTTCATGGAAAAGTTGGATTTAGAGTTGAAACATTGTTATGCCAAAGTAAGTATATGAGTTTTCTTGCTATTATTTGTTAAATTAATTGTTTAAATTTGTATTTTAGGATGTTTATCCAAGTCGTGTACGTCAGAAGTTAATGCAACTTAATAGAACAGTGTGTATAGATTATCCTGAATTAAATATTCCGTGGTTTCATCAAAAGTTTGTTCAACAATCAAAACATGGTAATTTTCACATGCTAAACTACTAAAAACCTTATACTATATTTTTTTTACATTTTAGTGACGTTAAGTGATCCAAGTTTTCTAAGCAACGTTGAAAACTATTTAAATAAAATCTTCTATGATTGTGATATTGAGACAAATACATTGACACCTTATGGTTACAATGTTGACTTTACGATATCATACAAAGATGACAATGATAGTATGATCAAGTAAGTTTATAGTCGGTTTATATAATAACTTTATTAATAGTAGTTTTGCTTTTAGGTTAGGAATATTGCTAACCAAATCAAAGCACTATACACGAATTAATTCACAGTTAAAGGGTGCCATGCAAACGAAAATACGGCATATTGAGATGCTTGGCTACAAAGTCAAACTTATTTTTTACAACGACTGGAATTGTTTGGTGTATGCTGAGGATAAGATCGCGTATATTAGGAATTTGTTAAATTTGCCTAGTAGATATCCGAAATTTTATTACCAAATAAATAATAGATAACAGAAAGGTAAATTTGATGTTGAATTAATGCGTCTTTATTTTGCGTATGAGGTGATTTTATTGAAATTGTATGTTTTTAGTACAAAGTTTTTGAATATTTTCAGGATTTTTCTAGAATAACACGATTTCAAGCGAAGTGTTTGCGACTGCGCTGGCGACTGTGCTGCCCCCTCACCAATAATACTAAGAAAGAGTAGGAGTATAACAAGATTATATTTGTAAGAAAGAAGTAGCACTATTGTAATATCAGCTGTTTTGCTACTCCCACTTTGATTGCTATTAATTCGCTGCCAGCGATTGGCATTGTTGCTGCGCTTATGTCAGTTTCCTGTGCTGCGCTGATCTGTCTTCAACGTTTCCGTTCGCCTGCTGTCTCGTGCGATGTGACTAGATGTAAAATTACCGTCTAGATGACCCACAGGTGACATAAGTATTGGCGATAGTGATACGCAGTACACAAGATGAATTTCGAACGAACCATTCAGACGGCGGTGCAGAAAACTGCTCAAAATAGCAAAAATCAGGTCAGTATGGAATAAATTGCATTCCATGCATACTCCAGCGTTTTCGGGTAGAAAATTACTAATAATTTTCCACAGGTCCGGTACTATTCCACCAAATTTGAGCCTCCGAAAAAATTGGAACGCACTAAGAAGCTTTCCGCGAATATCCAAAAGTTTCTTGCGCGTAAGGAGGAAGAAGAGAAGCAGAAATCCATCGAAGCTCGCGACCGACGCGATAAGCTGCTGGAATTGCGATCGCATGTAAGCCACACCATAAATACATAAATATTTACAATTTGTGTAATAATATTATTGTTTATGTAGGATAAGAAAGCAACGCGGCGTGTAAATGTCATGTTAAAAAGGACCAAGTCTGCCAATCAGTCAGCTATACAGGATGCAGTTACTGACCACACTAGTATCACCATAGGTGGCGGGCCAAGCCAACCAGACGAAGATGATTACGGCTACGTATCGCAATCCGCCGCTGATTATTACAACAAAATGATGGAGAAGTACAGCAGCATGCCTGATGAGAAAAAATGGGATTTCACGAAAAAGAAAACAAATGGCAGTCTATCCAGTACGAAAAACAGGGTGAAAGATGCATTGAATAGGGAAGAAGAGGAAGCTATGCAGCCACATCGACGAAAAAGAAAACACGCTGACGGAGAGTCCACAAACGAACCAATTATTGGTGAAGATAAATATAAAAAGAAGAAAAACCGAAACCGAAGATAAAAGCAGCTCCGGTGATTAATTTTAATGATTTATTAAAAATAGCTGAGAAGAAACAGTTTGAACCTATCAAAGTAGAACCCAAAAAGGAGAAGAAGGAAGAGGAACGTCTCCTCACCAAGAAACAAAAACGCGAACAAGAGAAAGAGCGTGAATATCGCGAGCAACGTGAAAAACGCGAGAGGGAACGAGCTGCGGGTGGAAATCCCGCGCGGATTCCGAAATTAATAACAGCCGAAACAAAATCTCCAGCGGTGCCTACGAAACCCAATGGATCTGCAAGTACAATCGATAGGAAACCAATTCCACAAACAAATTCAGCCAATCTACAGCGAGGAACAAGCGCAATCAAAAAGGCACCACCTCCAAAATGTGATATTAACAATAAGCGATCTGAGTTACCCAAAACAGCAATTAGAGATGCGAATAGTAAACAGATACCTAGAGATCCAGCGCGGAAACCTACCACGTCGATGTCGAATGGTACTTCTTCAGGTGCACGTCCACTAGTTAAAGATAACAAACCGAAAGAATTCCCACCGCGTGATTTGAAACCCAAACAATTCCCTCCAAGGGATTTGAAACCCGCTGGTGGAAGACAATTTCCACCTGAAGATGTCCGTAGGAATGGACCGCCTGTTAAACGGAAAGGTATGCCTGCAGTCAAAGGTAGGATTTATGACGATTCCGATGAAGATTACGATTCGGAAATGGACGATTTCATCGATGATGGCCCTGAAGAAGAAGAGATTATTCCAAACATATTCGTGAAATGTTTGGCTACGATAAACGAAAGTATAAATATATTGACGATGATGATGATAATATGGTATCGTCGTTTGCGCAGCAGATGCGCGAAGAGGTAATAAGCACCAAGTTGGGTATCATGGAAGATTTAGAAGAACAGCGCAAGGAGGAAGAACACAATCGGCGGAAGGCGCTGATGCGGAAAAAAAGGTAGGACTATTTCTCGTGCCTAAATTTATCTGAAAAAAAAAATTGGTTAATTTGATTGAAAATTTGCATTTTTTTTGAATATCACTTCGTTTTTTGTGGATTTCTATGAAGTATTTGTACATAAAAGGGTTAAATTATGTATTTGTTAACGTTTGTAACACGCAAATCATTGGGTAACAAGTAAATTTAACAGTTTTAAAGCTACAGGGTGATGCGCAGATGTAAATTCATACATTTTGTACTTTAAAATATAAGAGAACGTCGAGAATTAAACGCATTGATTCAATTTCTGCGTTTTTGTGGCCATCGCAACATCAATGTCGTTAACAAATAACAAATAGACATTTAAAACGTTTCAAAAATAAATTGTTGCTATCATAACTACCGTAAAATTAATAGTGTGCTATCCGGTTGCTTGTTTTTCTTCATTTCTGAAGTGAGTTTTAACCGGGACTGTCTTCTGTTAGCTCGAGTAGTAGTGATTTTATGTCTTCACTAATTTCCTCTGCTTTTGGCACTTCAGATAGAACCCAGGCGTCGTCCTTACCATCCAAATGTTCCCTGCATATTGGACACGTGTCGTGGTCTTCATTCCTGCCCAGAAAATATTAATTTTTAATGTTAAACATTGATTTTACATCAGCAAAACGAAAAAATATTACCATTCTTCAATACATTGCACACAATATGTATGTGCACATGGCAGAGAAATGTCAGGTTTTCTTTCCAGGCAAATACAACATTCTGTAGCAGATTCCACATCTTCATCAGATCTGCCTGCAATCTCTTCCAAGTTATTGTAAATTGTTGAAACAGTTAAGTCATGCTGTTTGCTTTCATCAGCAATTTCTTTCTGGACTTTTAGTGTCCTGTAGATCTGTAGAAACTTTCTAAGGTCAATTAGTTTAAATGAGTGGATTTTTTGAGTCTTTGGATCAACTTTAACACAAGCTATGCGGATGGTGACCTTCCAGAAAAGATGTTCTTCTGTGCCTTTCTTAATAATAAAGAGTAATTTGTTGCCTGTTGAGTCTAAACATTGATTGGACCTGGAAAGTAGGTAGTCAGGGATTTTATTGTTGGGTTTGTTGTGGGGTGTTATTTGCTTACAGTTTATTGAAATCTTTCAGTTTCTCTTTGAATTCGTCATAAGTAATCGTTAAAAACTCGTCGGCGATCGAGGACGATGCATGTACATCGGAGCATATCGTTTTTATCGAATCAACAATGTCGTGGATGTTGCTCGATTGTTGGCCCATTTTTAAACGCAACAAATTACATTTTCTGTTTTGCGTGTTTGTTGTCTGCGAATTCTAACCAGAAACTCGCAGGATTCGCAGGATTCGCTGTGCTGACGCAACCTTGAACATGTTTGAGCAACAATTTGCATGCGCAATGCAATGCAGTACGTTCGGTTGTTGTCGGAATTGAACAACAAATTAAAACAAATGATTTTGACAATTTTTCTACTAATAAAACAGTGGCGACTGTTTTAAGTATATGACATCTGTTAATTATTTTAAATTTGGTGAAAATTGCTATGAAAACGGTAATTAATATCGGTTTTGAGTTTGAATTTCCTACCAAAGAATTGATTCAATGTTTGTCCCGAACATTCCCGATTGTCGTAAGCAACGTCACGCGAACAAAATGGAAGATATGCTCGGCCAAGTTGCGGTGAACAGCGCAAATTCATATTAGAATCGGTCGCTTTCGAGAGAGGGTGAACCAAAGTGAAGCGAAAACGCGAACAAATATTAATCAGTGCGCGCTCTGTGAACAATCCTAATCCGAAGTTTAATCGAACGTGTGCGATTGACGAGCTGAAGAAAAGTATTCGCATGTGCATCAGCGTTTCGAACGCATCCGAGCGCATCGAAAGCCGCTTTCGACGTCGGGCACGAAGCCTAGCGAGGTAAGCAGAAACAAAAAAAAAACGACAATTGGTAGTAAATTTTACGACGTAGTAACGCATTTTTGGCGATAGCAATCTGAAATCACCCTCAACGTGCAAGGAATGCATGTTTTTGCCCTCATGAATTGTATTAGCGAGTGCATGTTTGGCATCGTTTACGTTTGTGCGCGCTGCGCATCCGACTCGATCGGGGCCATTTTATTTTTAAACACATCGGCACACCGACGCTAAAGAAATCTCCAAACATCCGCGTACAATCGCTAGCGAGAGCCGAAGTTACATGCGGCAAACTTTTACTATTCATCGGCGAATGTATTTGCGGCGTAATTTCTGTTCGATTCGGTGAAATTTCGCCTCCATAACCTTTTGTTCCAATTTTACGTGTCACTCACATAGCGACGGTTCACCGACACCAAAATGGTTGTCTATTGGTTTACGCGCCGAGTTTATTTTTTGTGCGATAACGACTGCTGCAGCTAATCGCTCTCATATGTTGTTGGTTTCTCGTTACACAGATATCAGCCATAAGCGAAAATCGCCCGCAAACTTCGAGTGCAGACTGCGCGTGTTAACTCTTGAGAGCACGGATTTGTCCCGGTGTATCCTACATATTGTGGGCGACAAATCGCGTGCACAAATCGTTGGTTTTTGGGCTTTGGAAGCCCGCAAAGTTTGAAATTAAATTCTGAAATCATCCAGAGGCAGCCATGATGACTGACACATTGAACTCAACCAATCATATGATTTCTTCAATACAGAACAAAGGGTTAGTATTCATTTATTTGCTTTTTTTTTATCGTTTTCATTTGCATTTACAGTACATCTGACCAAACTTAATTCAATGTTTGAGTTGGAGGGACGTAAATGCCAAAACATACTTTGCTACTTTATTAATTACTATTTTTATTTATTGAAAATGGTGAAAAAGTATCAAGACAGTTTAAAAATCAAATTTTCATGCATTACCCTAATATTTTTATTCTGTTTGTAGTGATATTGTTGACAAAATGGACGACATAGGCTGGAAAGCCCAGTTAAAGATACCCCCAAAGGACAGAAGAGTTAAAACTACTGTAAGTTGATTATTTGACACATTAACATTAATTTAATGATAATTTTTTTCTTGTTTGGTAAATAGGATGTCACAGACACTAGGGGTAACGAATTCGAAGAGTTCTGTTTGAAGAGAGAGCTGTTGATGGGCATCTTCGAAAAGGGATGGGAGAAACCGTCCCCGATTCAGGAGGCATCTATCCCGATCGCTTTGTCAGGCAAAGATATACTTGCTCGAGCCAAGAACGGAACAGGTACGCAATTTTAAAATTTTCTTGCTTTATTAGCATGTACAGTACATCTGACGCGACTTACTTCAATGTTGGAGTTGGAGGGACGTACATGCAAAAAAATAATTGTTACTTTTATTAAATAAATTGATATTCAATCAAATGTCTCTTTAAAAAAAGTAACAAGACATTATATTATAATTTTTTTTCTGTAAGATGTATTATTAAAGTTGTTTTGTTTGTTGTGCAGGAAAGACTGGTGCTTATTGCATCCCGGTCCTGGAACAAATTGACCCTGAGAAAGACTGCATCCAGGCGCTAATCATTGTGCCGACGCGAGAGTTGGCTCTCCAAACGTCGCAGATTTGCATCGAGCTGGCGAAGCACTTGAAAATTCGCGTGATGGTTACCACCGGCGGCACAAACCTACGCGACGACATTATGCGCATCTACCAGAAGGTGCAGGTGATCATCGCCACGCCCGGTCGCATCCTTGATCTCATGGACAAGCAGGTGGCCAAAATGGACCACTGCCGTATTCTCGTGCTGGATGAGGCTGACAAGTTGCTCAGCTCCGACTTTAAGGGCATGCTCGATCATGTTATCTCGCGCCTGCCACGCGAGCGTCAGATTCTTCTGTTCTCCGCCACGTTCCCGCTCACTGTCAAGCAGTTCATGGAGAAGCATCTGCGTAATCCGTACGAGATTAACCTCATGGAGGAACTGACGCTGAAGGGCGTCACACAATACTACGCTTTTGTGCAGGAGCGGCAGAAGGTGCACTGCCTCAACACGCTTTTCAGCAAGCTGAACATCAATCAGAGCATCATCTTCTGCAACAGCACGCAGCGCGTCGAATTGCTCGCCAAGAAAATCACCGAGCTGGGCTATTGTTGCTATTATATCCATGCCAAGATGGCCCAGGCGCATAGGAACCGCGTCTTCCACGACTTCAGAGCTGGACTCTGCAGGAATCTCGTTTGTTCAGATCTATTTACAAGAGGTAAGCAATTTTTTTCATTATAATCATGCGCATTTAGTACATCGAACCAGTCTTAATCAATGATTGAGTTCGAGGGACAAATGTGCGAAAACATAGTCATGACATTGATCAATTTACTTTCATTATATTTAAGATCGTAATCTAAATCATGTCAAGTACAATTTATTAGAATTTGATTGATTTTGCGTAGTTTATTAATAAATTACTTTCCAATAGGTATTGATGTGCAAGCCGTGAACGTTGTGATAAATTTCGATTTCCCGAAAATGGCCGAAACCTACCTTCACCGTATCGGTCGATCTGGTCGCTTTGGGCACCTCGGTATCGCCATCAATCTAATCACTTACGAGGACCGCTTCGCTCTGCACCGCATCGAGCAGGAGCTGGGCACGGAGATCAAGCCGATCCCTAAGGTGATCGACCCGGCCCTGTACGTCCCCAGCATGGACGATGATCAGAACAACGACGATCTGTTGAAATAGACGCGCACGCACCGGCGAAGTGTTCGCGCTCGATTAAAAACTTGTACATAGTGAACTAATTTTGTGTGGGAACTAAAAGTTATATATTATAAAAGAACCGAACAATTGCGGCGGCAAACGTAGCGAAATGAAAACGTCATTAGACGCGGCGCGAACGGAACGAGACGAAAAAACGAACGCAAATCAAGAAAGAGAAGGAAAATGAGGATGGTCACTTATGTTTTATGTTTTATTTTAATTTAATATTTTTTGTTTCGTTCTCGGACAATTTCGTTGACGCGACTTCTTTCGGCTATGTCCACCCGCGGCGAACCGCCACCTGGGCTTTTGTTATGCATTAGTTCAATGCAGAACAATAACTACAAAAGGTAAAAAATGGTAAAACAAATAACAGGCAGATGGAAATATCGCACGCACAGACAGACACACACACACCACACTTAACGAGTGCGAGCAGAAAAATCGAGATGTGCGCAGTATTAGAAAATATTTCCGCATATTCTTTATATATTTATATAAACTATACAAGAGAAGTAACAAAACAACCTAAAAATTTATCTTCAGTGGATTAATGCCAAAATTTCAGAACGCATAAAAACTTGTACATAGAAAAACCACATTGAATAACTTAAGTGAAAAGGACAAAAGAAGTGACAATGTTTAAAAGTTTTCGTTTTTTGTAACATGTTTAATTTGGATTTGCAATACTTAGCCGGGGAACACACCGCATACGAATTATTATTTATTTTCCAATTTGAATACGACGAGCCACTTACAAAAACGGAAAATGTAAGCAAAGCAAACCTAACAAAACGTTCGTTTCTTTTGAATGATCATTCAATGAACTAAATTTTCAAGAATGCTGGTTAATTTTTTCGATTAAAAATAATGTAAAACTTCACTTCTCTCTTGAGAATGGTCGGACTTGCGCGGCGCGCGCCTAACCACCACACACTACACCGTACACATTTGGTATTTATTTTCTCATTTCTTCAGAATAATCGTGGCGCACAATGCAACAAAGCGCAAGTCCAACACGCGGTAACATCTAGGCTCCTGCGCGAGCTGTATATCTACAAACTAGTAGTTTGTATGAATTTGTGATACAAATCGACAAAGAATTTCGAAAATTTTTTGTACTGTTCAAGATTTGATTACGTTACGGTCAGAATAACATCCGGGATGAATTTTGTATAACATCGAGAATCTCCAATAACGTAATCAAATAGTGAAACATTCCAATTCAATCAAATGTCATTTGTCATCAATCAATGTAAAATTATGTAGTAAGTAAGCAAAGTGAGAATGACACCGACGATGGAATTGTGATAGTGCTTAACGAGCGAACACGCTAACTCAAAAAATACTGTGAATTATGTTAAAAATAGTGAAACGTGAAAATTTTTAAAAGAAAATGCGGGAACTATGTTGCCCGAACAAATTGATGAAGATATGCGTAGGAAAGGAAGAACAAGTGCGAACTCGTTTGGGCAACTGTCGATGATGTCCATCAAACGACTCGAGATTAACAACTTGCTTAGCTTATGAATACATTCTTACGTAACAACATTTATTGTACTGATAGGAAGGAGATTCTCAAAATGACGCAGAATCGGAAGGCGTCTGCGCTTATTTACGCAATGAGTCATTGCATGACTAAATTGAATGCCTTTCAAAACACGTTTGGAGGTTTGAGTTGTTCAATTCAACTGAAAATCTTGTTGCGCATTGAATGCGCAAGCCTTCAAACAAATACCTGCTGCGCTTCCGACTTGCATGGTATCACTGGAACAGATTTAGGGGTTTTATCGAAATTTCTACTACAAACGCTTTAATTGAACACAATCGTGAAAGCAGCAGGTATTCAATAGACCTTGAAAAATTGTGATAAATTCTGATATCATTTTGTTGAAATGTTCAAACAAATCATATTCATAGTGCCGATACTGACTGCACAGAACGTCAGCGGCAGTTTTATTTCGCAGAAAATGGCCGTAAAAATAATTGACGCGTAATTTTGACCGACGGTCGGCCAGTACTTAAAAGAAATCATTTGGGGGGACTTGCAAACACACAAAACACACACTGCAAAAGCATTATCGTAACATTATTTTAATTCTTTTTAGTACAACATGCGCGCAAAATGCAATAAATTGTTTGTAAGGGTTTCCATGAGTTTCAATCGAGACTCACGGGGATCTAACACGCGATCTTTTAATTTTGTAAGCAAAAAAAAGAACACCGGAATACTTAAATAGTCTGGATTAAGTAATTTTCAAATTTATAAAACAAAAAACATTTTCGTTTATTTTCAAATACTCTGTTCATTTCATTTATTCAGAATAAACAAAACAATCTGCAAAATAATTCATTGAGTGCATAAAATGTAAGCACAAATTTTATTTTAAATGATTTACTAATAACTTTTGAGTTGAACTCACTGTGTGCGACTTTAATATTAACATTTTATTTTAATTTACAGTACAATTTATATCGGAGGCGGTGCGACATTATTAATTCGCGCTATTTTCAATTGAAGTAATTTTACCATCATGTCTGCAAGCTGTAGTTCTGCAGGAATCAACTCTCCTGCATCCGGATTAGCCTTGCAATACGCCAGCAGTGCCTTATAAGCATCTATACTCTTCTGTATCCGGTCGGCCAAAACAACCCTATCCGACGTGGCGTATTTCGTCTGTTTAGCTGCTATATGAAAATACGCCAACAGGAAGACCTTCTCCCCGCCATCCGAAATCTTACTCGGTAAATCACCACTCGCGTTTCGAAAACTATCGATGAACTTTGTGAAATTCGCAACAGTCTTTTCCACAAGCGTATTCACTTTAGTCATTTCATGCTGCGTGGGTCGCGAGGTACCGCTTAGTTTCTCCAGTTTAATATCCAACATATCCGAGTACGTACTGCCTAAATGATACCAATTCTGGCGGCAGTAACGCATGTAATACTGCGGGTTAATCGCGCTCTGTAAATCCTCCAAAATATCCGCGGATCTTTTGTAGATTTTACAGCGCACATCCGGGTCTTCGGCGTAAAACGCCAACACATCATACAACCGACTGTAATCTTGCATAATCTCGACATAATCCGACGCGTGTGTGTTGAGAGTATGATATTCTATCGCGGAATTTACAAATGACTGCGCAAAATGGAATACTTTCTTAGCATCGTCCATAGTTAACAGAAAATGATGCCCCACACGACTATCATACTCAGAAACGTCCATATTTTGAAAAATCATCTTTGACATGTCTTCTTTTGTGACTTCAAACTCTGATAAATCCATCTCAGCTAGATCTGTGCATGTACAAGCAGTCAACTCAATATTTTCCGTGTTTATCAATCTTTCCTTTGAGTTTGTGAGCAGATTCAATGCATATTTGATCCAACATCTACTCACATCCCCTAATCTATGTCGATAAGTCTCTAATTTCGCTTCGTATTCCTCACCCTCATCTACTGAAGCATCCACCATCTTTTTATATTCATCAAACATGAATAATGCAGCACTTAGGTGATGTTTTGCTTGTTTGAAGCCATTTCTCACCATGAAAAACTGTGATAATGTGGCTGTATTCAATGCCCAATCAATATGCTCATAGTCTTTGCTATCAAACTGTCTCTGGAGAGTTTGATGGCAATAAACAGCACTTTTTAATGGATTGCTTGAAGCATATGCTTGTGCAATATAAAATAATATTAATGTGTAGGCCTTCTCAAGTTTTTCTTTAGCTTCTTCCTCATTGAAAGTGAAATCATTCTTGAAATAGTCTGAGTAGTCAATGGGGATCATATTAATTTCTTTGAGTTGTTTGCAGAAGTCTTCAGCTTGTGATAAATAAACTAATCCTTTAGCATAGTGTCTTCTGCCCCAGAGAATGCCCAATTGCATGTATAAATTCAAGCAGACAGAGGCTACTTCAACAGTGAGGGTATGGCCATTGATTATTTCAAGACATTCATCATAATGCTTATCACTCAATGATAATTCTTCAGTTTCCAGGGCAATTGTACCAAGTTGTAGTTGAATAGCTCCAAGCATCCCTTGATAGATAAAAATATTGAGTTTTTAAGTTAATATAATGCATAGCATGAGAAACATACCAATTATTTTATTATGCAGGATATCATTTGCCTCATTTTGAGATTTTACTTTATCCAGAAGAGTATTCATTGATTGTAAATGTTCTCTAGCAGCATATTTTGATGTGTATGGTGCTGTTTCAGGATCCGAGTTGGAATTATCAATTAATTTCTTTACTTTATCAAACTGTTCTTCGAGATCGACCAATGTTTCCTTTAATGACATTTTGTCTAATTTGCAAAAACTTTTAAGTTTCAGATTCGGCGAGTAACCTCCATACGAAAATTTCGACTCCAGTATGATAATAAAATAGATTTGTCGCTATGATGTCGATTAGGTCCGAAGATATACGAAATGCAACGATGTTTGATAATTCAGAAATCTATCCAATAAGAAGCGGGTTGTGAAATGTCTGTCGAATGTCAAACGTCATCCCGTTTATAAGTCGAGGTTAGAAAGTAAAATTCGCACAGCAGCAGCGCCGAGCACACACACAGTGCGGTGCATACGAGTGGAGCGACTGTGGAGAGGCCACAAGAGAAATCCGGATCAAAGATGGTGTGCTCGTATCGATCGGGCTCGTTGTAAATAAATCGCGGCCGGGTGCGCGCCGCGATGTAAACATGTAGTTGCGGGCGGACGAACGTGCGCGTGTGGCTTCGACGGGGGCGGCCGAGTGTGTGTATTATGCTCGACGAGCATGACATGAGCTCGCAAACGTTGGATATCTTGCGCCAGGGGGTGTGGGCCTCGCTCACCGGCGGCTGGTTCTACGACCCCCATCAGGACGTGTTCTCGAACACGTTCCATCTGTATCTTTGGTTGTTCTTGCTTTGCTTGCCGTTCACGATTTACGTGGTGAGTATGCAGGCCATGCAATGGCTGCTGCACTAAACAAACAGATGACATTTGTGTGTGCTGACCTATTTTTGCTTGCAGTACTTTCCTCCGACTGAATTTCTATGGTACTTGTACTGCACTGCCATCACAGTGGTGTTTGCCACCATCAAGCTCATCAACTATGGTTTGCACCACATGTATGATCATAATGAGTGCATACATGAGCAGATTGATGATGAATGGACTGAACCAAAGAGGTAACTTTCACTTTATGATTTTAGAAATTTCTTATTGGAATTACAAATTAACTTTTCTGTCAACAGAGAGGATGAAGGCATTGAATTACAAGTGTTGAATGCAACTGGTAATTCAACAGAATGTGAATTGAAGACAAAACCTGAAGGATGCTCACTGCAGTCCTTTGGTGGTGAGATTGGAGTGTGCAGTACTGACATTGATAGTTTTGAGTCAGGGGAATACCAAAGAATGGAAGCTGTTGATGCCAAACAGTCAAGCACAATAGGTGAGTCATAATTGAGAATTTCCCCGAATTTATTTATTCATTGATGATTGGAATTTCCAGATTTAAAAGCAGACGTGCATCGAAAAAACTCATCCGAGAGCAGCGAAGAGCTCCCGGATAACATTCAAACAGTGCCCGATAACGACGCCTTCCACGTGCAGATCGTCCCGGAAACGACGCGCAAGGAACCCAAACGGCACGTGAACAACAGCACTGAACCTAATCTAAGGAAACTCTCCCCGCCGGCGGGCGTGGACGTCAACGAGGCAGAGTTTGCCTTCTCCGGCGCCATCGACTACCGCCGACATTCGAATTTCAGCCAAAGTTGGCTCGGTATGGTGGCGCGACCGTCGCAAATGACCGCCACCGGCTCCTTAGAATTGAACTACATCGATAAAAAGTTCAATCAAGCGCTCATCGACGGTTACTTTAGGTACAATAATGTTGGCGTGCGTCGCATTCGTTCCACTGCGCTGGAAAAATGCTGTCCGCCGCCAGCGCTATCCGCCCATCCGAATAGTTTGGAGATTATCGGCGTTGGTAGCAGCGGTGTGAAGACGAAAAACCCGCTGCCACCGCCGAGTAATACTCTCACACGCAATCAACACTTAAATCTATGCCCTTACTACGGATCGGAAATAGTTTATCCCATAGCTGAACAATCGGACGAACACCAAACCAGCCATGGACCGGACACGGACTTGGACTCCATGGCGCATGTGTCTGATAGTGATTACGAGGAGAATCGAGGTAGTCGGTCTCCGCTCTTGTTGCGAAATATTTACCTGGAGGCCGAGAGCCTACGGAAAAAGATGCAGTCGATGGGCGACCGGCAGAGTGCGACTTCAAAGGACGCGCTTTTAGATAATGACAATTCGAATTCCAGTGCAACGCCGGAGATACAGGACGCGCGCGTTGATAACTGTGATAATGACAGCGAGAAGAAACTTAGTGACTTATCGAGTGGTAGTTCGACGAGTGTGGACGTGGTGTGTGAGTTGCGGGCGGAAGAAGCGCCCTCGACGGCGAAACGAACAAAGATTCAGAGGGAAGAGGATGCCGTTGTTGAAGATGGTGCGAAAGCGCTCGAGCCATCAACCGGTGCAATCAAGCGGCGGAACTGTCGACGTAATCGTAAGAAAAAAGCGGGAGATTTTAAATCGAAGCGACCTGCGACAACTTCCGGTAGTAATCATCGTCTAGGAGAATCAGAAAATAGTCTTGTCGAATTAGACCTCGACTGGTTATTTGACGATGAAAACGAACACGTTAAATACAAAGGTAAGTAATAGTATATTAAGTATCAAGTGCGTTAAACGGCACTTTTACCTCGGGTTTGAAGTACTTTAGTCACGGTCTTGGCCGTCCGTGATTAGAGTGCCACTTTTTATGTCCCAAAACCGTTGAAAAAGTGGCGCTTTAAATGTGAAAATAGAATAATAAACAAATTTATTAAATACTTTTTTTGTCTTAAACAGATGGTAAAAGTGATTGGTGCGGTGGACGACCATCCGGATGCGTAGAGGAAGATGTAAGTAAAGTTCTTCAAGAAGCGCCACCGCGTAGTCTAGGCGCAATTCCGAAAAAACGCGAAAATCGTCGCCATAGCAGCGCGGAAGAAAAAACCCGCAAAGTTGCGAAGTCTGATTCTGAACGTTCCGAACGACATCGTCGCAAAGACGAGCGTTTCAATCGGAATCGGTCTGTGAAGGAATACGTCAGTACACAGACGTGTCTAGTCGAAAGCCCCGTCGAAGGCCTGGAATGTCTGGTAACGCAACCACGCCATCGCAAACTGAGCCACACGCGCCGCCATTCGACGAAACCCTTCATTGAATTACCCGTCGACACGTATCAAGAAGCATCGTCGAGTGGTAGCAACACCGAACTCAGTACCCTTCTACCCCCACAAACTTTCCTGCAAGCATTTCTCGTGTCACGAAGGGAATTCTCAATGCTACCGGTGTGTTTACCGAATGAACGGAGCACATCACCCACCGCATGTCAACGAACCAGCGCGCCAACACATCATCATAAGTTGAAACGCAGCGCGCAGATATGCTCCCGTGGGACACGCGGGCGCATGTCGCAGAGAGACAGCGCCATTTTGACCACGCTCTCATCCGGTCATGGTACGCACTGCGCGAAAAGTTTTAATGATACAAGCGATGGATCAGTGCATTGCTTTCAAGACGAGCATGGTAATTGGATAACGTATACTTTTGATGAGAAAGGCGTGGGTACAGCAAACATGGCGGTGACCACCGCAAGTAAACCCGATTGGGAGAATAATACTGAACCAGTTGATAATAATTCGGTCTCTATCATTATGGATCCACCTCAGCGGTCGCTGATGTTTGTCCCGCCGAGGCAAGTCACCCGGGCGAGAATTTACGCGCATCCTATGCAGGTAAATCTCGATATGGACGATCGCCGGATACATAGATCTATTTCCGAACAAGTCCGGCAGCGAATGCTTAGCGCGCAGGCTACATCCGAGACTAATCCGTTATCGTTGCGAGAAATGATGAATCCGCTTCAATATCGCATGCAGAATGCGGCGGACACGCTGAATAACAACAATCCACGTACAAAGAGCTACTATAAGTTTCGACTATTTCCGTTTTCATTTGTCAAAGTCAAAATGGATCGCCTTAAGTTGTTGGCACTCTTGGATCGGAATCTAACGCTGTTTGAAACAGTCGTGGCGTCGTTACTGGGCATTTTCGTGTCTGTTTTCGGCGCGTTGTTATTGTATCAGCAGTTCTACACGGATATACATGCATTTATCTTTTGTTTCATTATTGCGGGCAGTCAATACTCGCTGATGAAAAGTGTGCAGCCAGATGCCGCCTCACCGACGCACGGCTTCAATCGTGTGATTGCATATTCACGCCCGATTTACTTCTGTTTATTTTGCGGATTAATTCTACTTGTTGATGCGTGCGTTGATGAGGAAGAGGATTTTACGGCCGTTTCACTTTATGGTGTGACGTTAACGAACAACGAAGCATTAATTTTGACGCGCAACTTTTTGGTCACATTTGTATTGTTTTTTCCGCTATTGTTCTCGCTGGGTTTGTTCCCGCAGATCAATACGTTCCTCCTCTACGTGCTGGAGCAGATTGATATGCATGTGTTTGGAGGTAACGCGATGTCCAGTCTCTGGGCGGCGTTTTATTGCGTGTTCCGTTCGATGCTTGCTGTGATAATCATGTACGGATTGGCGTATGGTGGACTGTGTGAACCGAAAGGCTCGCAGCATGTTTTATTCTCGATATTTTGCGCGTGTCTGGTGTCTTGTTCATATCACCTCAGCCGGATGGCGAGTGATCCGACACATGTGTGGAATATGTTGAAGAAGAATCTTTGGCCGCCGGATATTTACAAAGAGCATAAACGTACCCCACGGGTCAGCAGCGATGAGAAAATTAATGAAAGCGGTGAAAAAACGAAGGATACAAATGTTGATTGTGATGATGCTGATGTAGAAAAGGGGGATGTGCCGGACGTGCGTGAAGCCGACACCAAAGAGGTGGATGTCGATCCGTTGCCAAAGAAGTTACAGAAGACAGTAAATGCACGCCTGACTAGTGATGTGCTCCTGTGTGGAATAATCGCCATTTTGGTGTTTGGAATTCACGCCAGTACGGTTTTCACCGCTTTGCAACCGGAATTGAGTCCGGTTTTATGGGGTACTGCGGCAGCAATGGGGTTTCTGTTGCATTACATCATTCCACAGATGAGGAAACAATTGCCATGGCTTTGTATTGCCCGTCCTGTGCTTAGATCACTTGAGCATTATCAATATCAAGTGCGGGGACCAGCGAAAATCATGTGGTTTGAACGGGTTAGTATATTTTTCAATTGTTTGTTTAATTTAATATAAAATAATTTTCTTTCTTTTGTAGGTTTTTGTATACTTGTGTTTTATTGAGAGGAATATTCTGTATCCGTTGTTATTTCTTGCCGCTTTGACTGAAGAAGCACCGAAAGTTGCGGAGAAATTCGGTACGCTGTTGGGAGCGTTGATTGTCGTCGTTTGTGGATTGAAATGTTTGAGGAATTCCTATTCGGATCAAGGCTCGCAATACCTGATACTTACGTTTACTGCGTTGTTCTCCAAATACGACTATAGCATCTTTCAAGAGAGTTTCCTTGTGGATTACTTTCTCATGGGCATTATTTATAGTAAAACATATGAACTTTTACTAAAGGTAATTAATTAATTTTACTTTCTATCATAATCAAATGATAATTTGTTTGTTTTTAGGTGCAATTTGTTGTAACTTACATTGCTCCTTGGCAAATCACATGGGGATCAGCTTTCCATGCCTTTGCTCAACCATTTTCAGTTCCTCACTCTGCCATGCTCTTTGCGCAAGCGATTATTTCAGCCATTTTGTCAACGCCATTGAATCCTTTTTTAGGTAAGCTGTTTTATTCCATATTTAACTTACAAAAATAAATTATGGGTTTGTTTGCAGGGAGTGCAATTTTTTTAACATCTTACGTTCGACCCGTCAAATTTTGGGAGCGTGATTACAACACACGGAGAGTGGATCATTCAAACACGCCACTATCATCACATCTGGAGCGTAATCTCGGCGCGGACGATAACAACTTGAATTCGATTTTCTACGAGCATCTGACGCAATCACTGCAGCATTCGCTCGCGGGAGATTTGATTATGGGCCGCTGGGGACCGATTAGCCAAGGCGATTGCTTTGTTCTTGCTTCGGACAATCTCAACTGTTTGGTGCACATTATTGAATTGGGAAACGGCTTGGTCACATTCCAAATGCGAGGATTAGAATTTCGTGGGACGTATTGTCAACAGAGAGAAGTCGAGGCTATCACAGAGGGGGTTGAAGAGAATGATGGTTAGTTTTATGACGAACATTTTTAATATTTGCTCAAAAACCATGTTTTAGGATGTTGTTGTTGTGATCCTGGACATTTACCGGGCATGTTAAGCGTAAACGCAGCGTTTAGTCAACGCTGGCTTGCGTGGGAAGTCACAGCTGCTAAGTATGTCCTGGAAGGATATAGTATATCGGACAACAGCGCAGTGTCCATGCTGCAGGTGATAGATTTTCGTAAAGTACTAGTCACATATTACGTTAAAGTAAGTTTGCAGAATATTTTATGATATGAACAAGTCGATAATAATTAAAACTTTCAGAGTATCATATTTTATGCTGTACGTTCATCGAAACTGGAAGATTGGTTGAGTTCCAGTTCGATTCTAAAGGCGCTCGAGCCAATGCAAGAACGTAACTTTGTTGATCTTGATCCGGTGTTCAATTTTAACTTTGACGAAGACTTCGACCTAAGTGCCTGCGGCATGACACGCTCCATGTTCTTTCAGATTTATAGCGAATGGATTGCGTACTGCGTCAGTAAAAATGAGAAGAATATTGATGTAGCTAACGGTTCAAGCTTGGTTCTTTTGTGTTTTGCTTTAAGTTTACTTGGTAAGAAATAATTTTGCATTTGTATTATTTTATATATTTATGTTTCGTTTTTATTTTGTAGGACGAAGAACATTGAGTGCAGCATCCCACAACACCGTATCCAGTGTGGAGTTTTTCCTGCATGGCCTGCACGCTTTGTTCAAGGGTGATTTTCGAATAACATGCGCCCGAGATGAGTGGGTCTTTATTGACATGGATCTCATACGCACTGTGGTTGCTCCCGGTGTTCGCATGTCTCTAAAACTGCATCAGGATCATTTCATGACGCCTGATGAGTATGAAGAGTTGCCGGCACTGTACGAGGCGATCTGTAAACACGAAGAGGAGTTGGTGATTTCACATGAAGGTGATCCGGCATGGAGAAGTGCTGTATTGAGTGGCACTCCAAGTTTACTAGCATTAAGGTAATTATTTATATTTGTTAAACGCAAAATATAGGTTTAATTTAATTTATTTATTCATTTAGGCATGTTCTGGACGAAGGCAATGACGAATATAAAATCATCATGCTGAATAAACGCTTTCTAAGCTTTCGGGTGATAAAAATTAACAAGGAGTGCGTACGCGGCTTGTGGGCCGGCCAGCAGCAGGAGCTGGTGTACTTGCGCAACCGCAATCCGGAGCGCGGCAGCATACAAAACGCCAAACAAGCTTTAAGAAATATTATTAATTCATCTTGTGATCAGCCCATCGGGTACCCCATTTATGTCTCACCGTTGACCACCAGTTATGCGGAGACCAATGAGCAGCTAAATAGTTTAATCGGTGGGTCGGTGAGTCTTGGAAAGATTCACAACTATGTGTTAAATTTATTCAGAAGGTACGAATTTCTAAGCAATCTTAAACTATTAATAACTAAATATAATTAATTTCTATTTAGGATTCGAAAACGTTGCGGTGAAGGATGTTCAAGCGGTGGATCAGCGCGTGATGAGTTAGGAATCGGACATGAAGGAGTCTACGCAATGGCGCCGGTAACAACTTTGACAACGCATAACACTGGTAGCCAATCGACGGATGGATCTCATCTTTGTGGAAGTATCGGTCGTGGTTCCAGTTTAAGTCGAACTTCATTGGGTATGTAGTTTATTTTATCTAAATTGCTAAGTAATATTTATTTATTTATGTTTTAAATAGCTGCAAATCGAGGCAGTTTAGCGTCGATGGGCAAACCGACAAGTTCAACATTAGCGAATCTCGCTGGATTGTTCAAAGACCGCGATGATCGTACGACTATTTCGCAACAGTCGGACAAATCAACCAGTGAATCTCAACAGGAGACGGAGATGATCGAAAAAGACGCTGTTTTATTCCAAAGAGTTAAAGTAAGTAAAATAGTAAACAAACTTCTGCATTTTTAATCATTTTTGTTTGGTTAGATTGTAGATCCAAATCTAGTCTACGACGGTATCAATAAAGGTCGACGCATTGACGTCTGTTGGCCGAATGAAGGCATGCGACATCGCGGCGGACGATCTTATTGGAATGACTGGTGTCCGGAAGTTGGTATGGAAGGATTAGTTGTTCATAAATGGATTCCATCGCACCGTGATCTCAATCGGAGATCACACGTAGATAGAACCATTCTTCTTGTGCAAATCGAGGACAAATACATTCCGATTGGCGAGAACGGCGTGCAGCTGGTCGCCATTACTACGACGACGACGACAATGACCACCACGACGACGAACACCATCCCGAGCAGCGAGCGTGAAAGCTAACAGACATGCTGTATCGCACGCGGGTCAGGTACAGAGGTAATCTTACATTACCCCGACTAAAATCACAGTGAGACTATGTTAATTCGAGAGACGCGAGGGAAGGACGACTAGCATAACTGCCATTCGAGAGGCATTCATCTACATACAGGAATATCACAAGTAAGCATTCAACTAAACAATCAGTAACATTTGTCATTATCCTAGCAGCTCATATAACAGGAAAAAATATGAAAATTGATACACACACGTTGTAAGGCTCTGCTGCCTGTATGTTTAGGCTATTTTAGTGCTTCCCAAAGAAAGTTACTCATACATTTTGCTTGCATAACGAGCAAACGAGAAATAATCATTGACAAATGATACAAGTTCATCTATCAAGATATATAAACTAATATAAAACTAACATTTTGATTGTTTAAAGTTAAACAAAACCAGACAAAATGAGCGTAACGCGATTGTTTAAAGTTAAACAAGAAAAAGGATTTAAAAAATACGATGTTGCCTTAAGATTGATAGACTGATTTTTATGTGTATTTATTTTTTTAACAAAGCCCAAAATAAGGATAACTAATTATGTAAATATTATTAATATTATTACCTATAATTAAAGGAGTAAATCACTACTGATGAAAGGTCAACAAACTAAAAGCCAATGACAATTTGATGAGGTGTTGTAAACACTTTTTGGGGTTTCAGTAACATTAATGTTTTGACTGTGTAATTAGTTTATGCAAAAAACTAAAGAAATACTTGTTATTGCTAATTGTAATTAAGTCTAGAACAATGTTTTCTTTTTTTTTTCCTTTTGAATTTCATTCTTGTGTTTCACACATTTGGTTTTTGTTAAAAATCATATAAAAATTTATTTCATTGGTATCTTAGTTGTGTTATGTATAATACATTGTTGCTTGTTGTTTCATTCTTCCACTAACAATAACTGGCCTATGAAACAAACTAGAAAAGTTTATGATTTATATTTAAGTACAATAAATATTTCTGAAAGTTGTTTCTTTGTACTACTGTTGTAGAATTATGAATTAATGGGCCGCCGGAAGAGTAGAATGTGTGGTTCTGGTCCATGAAGCATGTAATGAACCCAATTGGGACTCTGTTGCACACCTAGGTTGCGCCATTCTGTTTCAGTCATCAAATGCGGTCGTGGTACAAGCTTAGCCAGTTCTTGTGGGAGTATTACATGTCTGTATTCGTATTTCGTGTCGCTGTATTTCTCGGAGTACTGAATGTTCTCAACGGGCATTTTTCACTCGGGAAACTGAATCGAGAACTTTTTGATATCAAAACAATCAAATTAATTTGTGGTTAGGCCCCGAACATGGCCGGTGGTTGGAATGTGCTGCGGCCTGGTGGTGCTTAACATAACTTCAGTTATGTTATTCTAAATCAGCTGTTTTGTCATTAACTCTTATCATTTTAAACAATCCGTGTGTTTTTATTAAGAAGCATTGAAACATGGAAGAAGTAGATAATATAATAATAGACTCGCTTCGAAACATTAACTGGTATGTCTATATACCTTATTAAAGATTAATTAATTTCAATCTCTTTTACTTTCAGTAATATTGATGAAGAAGTAGCTTCACTAAAATCCTTCTCTGAAGATGATGTTACATTGGCAATTGTATCCTGCCTAGAAATTATAATACCTAATGTTAAACTACCTACAAAGATGCCTGCATCAATGAGTGCTAGACTGAAATATACATCACAGCTTGTTGAACACATCAAATCTCTAGGATTTAGAGGTGACATTGGCTATCAAAGCATTTTATACTTCAATGAGATTGAAATCAGAAGAATATTGATGTTTTTGATTGAAAGATTGCCCAGAGAAAACAGCAAAGTAGCTGTTACAGAAACTATTGGATATGTTCCCATGTTAGTCAAAGAGATTGAAGATAAAGTAAGATTAGCTTTGTGTCAGACTTGGATTCCACCAGGTTTGCTGCAAAGTGGTGCCAGGATTGTCAATGGTTTAGTTTTACAACAAAGCTTTTCAAATAGCATTCCATTAACATGTAAGCACATAGAAATTCCTCAAACAAAGAATGCCACTGAGGAATTAAAAGATTACTGGGTGCATTGTCTGCCTGCAGTTACACAGCAGTGTAGTAAAGCACAGCTGATTCCGTCGTTACTTTATAATGGTGATGATTTAGATTTCTTGGACAGCAGACTGAAACATTATGTGCAAACAAAAAGAGATCAACTCAATCCTATTGATGTAGAGGTACAGACTATGCAACCAGTTATACCTGTAGCGTCAGTTAATTTGAATAAAACTGTTGACACAGCAACTCAGAATGAGAATGAAGTAGAAATTCAAATTGCGAATACTATAAAAATGATTGAAGCACAAAAAATAACGTTTGCTCAGCTACAGAATGATGTTAAACATGTTGAGGCTCAATTAGTTCAAACACGAGCGTTAAAAGATCAAGAAGATGCCGTACTCAAAGAGAATCTGAATACTTTGAAGATTAAATCGCGTACATTGACAGTGCTCTCTAAAGAAGAGAATATGACAAAGTTGAAAACTTTAGTCGAAAATGGGAATGAAAGACTTTTAGACCTTGCGAATCAGTGGAACGAAGTTCAAACACCGTTGATTGAACAATATCGCTCTTTAAAAACGAGTGTCAGCCAACAAGAACTGAAGCAACAAGAAGAGCAAGAGAAACTCAAGTTGCTCAACGAGAAAGTTAAACAACTTGATGACGAATTAGTGTCCAAAGAGGGTTTGGAATCTGTTTTGTTGGAGGAAGTAGCGAAGATTAACAAAACCAATTCGCGAAATTCGTATACTAAGCGCATAATGGAGATTATTGGCAATATAAAGAAACAGGATTGTGACATTGCCAAGATTCTCAAAGATACGAAAGATGTGCAAAAAGAAATTAATACTCTTTCGGGTCAATTAGACAGATCTTTCACTTTGTCTGATGCGTTGATTTTCAAGGATGCTAAGTTTGATGAGGTTGCGAGAAGGAGTTATAAACTGCTGGCGACGCTGCACATGGATTGTGAGGCAATTGTTCAGGCGGTAAGCGACGTCGGACTAATGGAACGTGAGTGTCGTAATGTGGAGGAGCAAATCGATGCGGAGTCGAATCGGGAAGTGGCCACGAAGTTGAAACGAGTAATGAATGATATCGAACAGTTGCGAAATGAAGGTGCCAAGTAATTTTCTGCTAACTTGTATATTTTTTCAAAATTGTATGTCTAACAACAACACTTTTATTAATTCCATTAAAATGTGCATATTATCTATGAATGCAGATTATTTTAAATATATTTTAATTGGATTATATATTTGATGTTTCAGCAAAATGTTCTGTTAAGTAAAAGAGTTGCCCGTAGCAGAGGTGAAAGGACAAAGAATAAGTTATACGTTATAGTTATTTATCCCACAAACAGTTTGTACACTTTCATTCCTCTTTTTCACGCTTAAAGAATTATTCGCGGATTTTGTTTATCAGTGTTGTACCAACACAGCATTTTATAGCGCTTCGAGCGCGTGTTATTTACGCATCTTCTTCATGATGTGAAAAACTGTATATCCTGATGTAATTGATTTTTTTTTGGGTTCTCACCGTCATGTCAGAACTCGAGAGTCCCTCTACATGACGTACTAAATATACCTTTAAATGACCTTTAAATATTATTATTTTTCCAAAAGAAATTTAAAACATAGTGTGAGAAACACCCTGTATTTCGTAAACTAATTGACTTTATTAATGTTTGTGTAGTGCCTTGAAATGCCCTTCAAAAGTTGGCAACTTTGTGAAAATTTGTAAAGATGATGTGGAAATTGCCCTTTTTCTTGAAAACTAACTGATTTTTTTTAAGTTTCTCAACGTCATGTTAAAGTTTGAGAGTCCCTCTACACTATGCATACCTTTTTAACTTTATTAACCCTAGGGAAGTGTCCCAAATTACCCTTAGAATATCGCTATTTTGTCCAATAAATTTCATTTTTTGGTCGAAGAACAGGGTCGAACTATTTTACTTAAAAAATTTTCGATCGAATTTTTTTGTTAAAATTTTTTCGGTCGAATTTTTCTGTTAAAATTTTTTCGGTCGAAAAACAGGATCGAACTTTATCTAATAAAAGATTTTCGGTTAAATTTTTTTGTTGAAATTAATTCGGTCGAATTTTTTTGTCAAAAATTTTTTGATCGAATCTTTTTGTTAAATTTTTTTCGGTCGATTTTTTTTGTTAAAATTTTTTTGGTCTAAAAACGATCAAACTTTTATACTTAAAATTTTGTGTTAAATTTGTTTCGGTCGAAAAACAGGATCCAACTTTTCTACTTAAAATTTTATGTCAAGAACGAAAAGGTCTACGTAAAAGAATGCATTTTTCTCTGATATTGTAAATAGGGTCTAAACGGTTAATGTTAGTTACTAAAACTAAACGATGTAGAATTAAATTATCTATAACTATACGATTAAGAATTTAATAAAAATTTATAGTTCCATGCATACTACCACACTGAAAGTATCAGTGTTTACAAACAAACAAGTTTCTTTGTCCCCTGCAGTTTTGTGCGGTCGCCACACGGTTGGCGTGCGAACCACGTTAGTCTAATTTTTGTCGTCAGGTGATCTGGACGCACATTTTCTTAACAATAATTTGAGTTCCTTAATTTTTTGTCGCGTTATTACGTACTGTTTCTAAATCCTGAGTGAGCGTGAGTGATGTTTCTTCGGCCGTCGGATACTCTTTTTGTATCATACGCGTTCTTCATACTTGTTTCGTATTTTCTTTGGATATGCCAAACGCGCAAAAATTTACTTTGCATCAAGGTATGTTCTCGCATTTCTTCAGCCAAATGCAAATCAAATTCATTATTGACTTTACTTGTTTTTACTTCAACCGCGTGGTTTTTAACCACCCAAATAATTTTTATCTCTGTTTCAATACGTTGATTTGCAATATGTAGTCGATACGTTGTTTCGTTTGTGTTCTTAATTCTTTGGCGGCTTTTTCCGGCAAAACCCACTACCCACCATTATTAGATACAATTTTTAATTCTGAAAATAAAAAAGAGAAATCTTTTGCCTTTTTTATGATGAAATCTTCTTTTCAGCTAGTGCAGCTTCTGAAATAATTGGAATTTTTAAATTCTGTTTTTGGATTTTGAAAGATAATTTAATTCTTAATGATTATTTAAGTAATTATGTTTCTACCTAGCCAAAATGGCTATCAACAATAATTGTGTTACATGTTTCCGATTTAGAATTTAATATACAGTGGAGCGTCGATTATCCGAACGTCGCTTAACCGAACGACCGCTTATCCGAACGAAAACATTTCGCAACACTTAGAAAAATTTTCGATTTTTTTCGATTTTTTCGGCTAAGTCCGAAAATCGACACTTCGAAAAATTTTCAATATTTTTTCATTTTTTCGACTAAGTCCAAAATTTTTTCAAAGTCCTACAAAATTCATTATATTATGAATTCAAATTCAAATTCAAAAATTCAAATTATTATAGAATCTGGATTTGTTGAAATAAAACATTTCGTCATAAAAAAGGCAAAAGATTTCTTCAAGAAGTTCCATGCATTGTACAAGTACAATTCTTTTCATGTACTGCATTACCACACTGAATGTATCAATGTTTACAAACAAAAAATATTCTTATCTCGGGCAATTTTTGTGCGGGCGACACGCGGTTCGCCACGCGGTTGGTGTGCGTACCAACTCAGTCTCATATTTGTCGTCGGGTGACGACTCAACTGCGTGGTCTTTAAGCCTACAAATAATTTTTGCAGTTTACCGTTGATTTTCATTACGTATTTGATACCTTGTTTTGTTTTTGTTTAATGTACAAATTTAAAAGATTAAGATCGTCGCGTGCCGTCGGCTGCGCTCTTGATCCTCTGGCGGCTTTCGGGGCTCGTTGCTGGTCGCTGGTCATGTAAAACGACGATTTAACATATCATGAATATCATATCAAAAAAAAAATACAATTTTTGAAGTGTTCTATCATTTTGATTTTTTTAAATTGTTATTGTCGCCTTGTTAATTGTTTACATCCGTTTTTCTACTTAAACCTTAATTTTTCTTTGTGTATCACTCAGTAGATATATTTTCCTTATCATTTAATAGACCATATTTATTAGTGTTTGGGCGTTTTACATTTAAAACTTAGAGTTTTTGTAACGCCCTGTATATTAATTTCCCGTAGTGTCAACAGGGTAAAGATGTATGTTATCTCATTTAAACTTAGGATTTACCTTTAAAATATTGTAGTTTTCTTTTTGTATCACCTTGTATTAAGGTTTCCCGTAGTGGGTTTGTCAAAAGAGGAAAGATATATGTTATCCTACTTAAACTTAGGATTTTCTTTTAAAATATTGTAGTTTTCTTTTTGTATCACCCTGTATTATAACTTCCAGTAGTGGTTTTTTTTGTAACAACTTGTATACTAATTTCACGTGGTGAATTTGTCAAAAGGGCAATGATGTATGTCATCCCACTTAAATTTATGATTTTTCTTTAAAATCTTGTCGTTTTATCTTTTCATCACCCTGTATATTAATTTTCTTTGATTTTGCTTTGACTGTGATTTTGATATATGTTTCCCTACTTGAATTTTGCATTTTCTCTTTAATGTTATTATATTGTTTTTGGAACACCCTGTATAATAGTTTTCCTTAATTGTCGCGAAGATTATGCAAAATTTGTTTGTATTATATGTTTTTCTTTGATATTTTTTACCCATGGTACTTGACTGCGTGTTCGGGTCTACACTAGAGTTGCCACGAATAGTGATTTGGCCGAATACCGAATACCGAATATTCGGCAATGCTGTCGGCCGAAGCGCCGAATATTCGGCGGCCGAATATTCGGCTAAGTACGATTCTTTTCCACGTCGTAAGAAGAGAAACTTGAACGAAAATGATAAGACATTTGAAATACACGACAGTTTCTGGAACTGCTTTGAGGAAGTCGCTAAAGATAATATGCGAAATAGTAATAGGCAAATGAGAACGATTTTTATTTGAAATCAAATCGCCTAGATCGGAAAGCTGATCCTTACAAGTGGTGGTCAGCAAATGAAAAACAATACCCAAACCTCTCGAAATTTGCTAAAGTTTATCTTTCTTCTCCCGGGAGTAGCGTGTATAGTGAGAGGTTATTTTCTGAAGCTGGTACCATTTACGACGAAAAGCGTAATCGTTTGCTACCGTCAAATGCTGAAAAGCTTGTTTTTATCCATCACAACTTACCGATGATTAATTTTACTTATTAAAGTATTTTAATTTGATAATAAATACATATCATGATTAATATGATGTGTTTTTTTTCTATGATTTGGTATTCGGTATTCGGCCTATTCGGCCGAATACCGAATAGTAGCCGAATATTCGTGGCACCTCTAGTCTACACTGCTCTTATAACTATATTCAAAATGGAATAAAGAAATGTTAAAAGTGATTGTGCCTCCTATGATTTGTGTGTACCCCTTCTATCATTTCAGGTCAGAACTTGTAAGAGTATTTTTATGTGTCCCCTCCCTGGAGGCGACTTAAAACTTAGAAATATTTGAACAAGACCTTATAAGTATTGTCCTTATAAGGAGTTCCCTCTCTCCGGGGGTGATACCCCACCATAAAAATTGTTGATATGCCTGAGAATCGCGTAGAGACATCGTAGCTGTAGGTTGGGCCGGAAGCAATGGACGCATCAAAACCGTGACGGTCCCTCCCTACGCACCTAAAACAACCGAAAATTAGCACATCGAAGCACAAAAATGACATTTTGCAGGTTTCCGGTGTACTAGCTAATCACACAAATTATTTATGAAAATGATAAACAAATTTAATACTTACAATCTGATGAAAGAGTCGTTGTTCTAGGACAAACGCTTGACACAAATAATTAAAGATATTTATATCAGAATTAAATTGAAAGTAAACATTTTATCAAATTTTTCATACAAATCAACATTCCATACGATCCATCTGGTGTCATCTATATGAAAGGGTACGAACTAGCAACTTGCGCAACTTAATCAAATTTAAACTATAACTCTTAAATAATAATTCTCAGACAAATAAAATTTTAAATACAAATTTTCAACTTTCTTTCATAGGCAAATCAAATGTAAACTACTTTTTACTTTGTCCGTGTTAACGCCCGAGACACCGAAAGGAAAACCGAAAATCGAAAATAGAAACTTCGTTAAAAGTGCATTTTGCAATTAACGAACCCATATTTTGCAGCTATAGCCAAATCAATACAAGGTCGCTATGTAAAGTGAAAACTAAAAAATAACAAATGTAAAAGTTTTGTATGTAAATCTACAAGCGTTCGCGATTATAGATGCAAATGCGTGCAAAATGAAATAATGCATTAGACGTAGTAAATAAGTGTCCAATAGATAACGCGTAATACTTATCGTACGATGTGTGACCAAACATACGATTATATAATAATTATTCAATGTACCTAGACATAATCCCAACTGAATGCACAGTGTTTACGAATGATTTGCATTATAAACTTCGACCTCAACTTACCAAGTCTCCACTGATTTAATGGAAGTAGAACGCTTTTCTTCTATATTCGGGCAGTATACGCCCGAACAATCCACAATGAGCACTTGCAACGCTCCCAGTTTGTTCAGCGATACTTGTAATAGTGTCGCCGGCAATGTCGGAACAAGTGCACAACTCTTCATCCTGTTGCTGAACACAATCGTCAACGCGAAGTGTTCATTTATTGGCAAGAATGACTTCCCAACGAACGTCGCCGAAACACTCCAGGATGGTGACGAATTTGATTTCATCGTGCTGGGTGCAGGAAGTGCCGGATCGGCAGTAGCAAGCCGTTTAGCTGAAGCCAATCCACAATGGAAAGTATTACTTGTGGAAGCCGGCAGTTATCCATCGATAGACTCACAGGTCCGAAATTATTTCACTAAAAATAAACATAATTATTTAAAAAAGAAACAATATAATATATTCATTTTAGATACCTGGTTTCTTTGCGATGATACAAGGCGGTGATCATGATTGGCAATATAAACCTCGCCCATCCAAAGAAGCATGTTTAGGTTTCAAAGATGGACAATGTCGCTGGCCGCGAGGAAAAGTCCTCGGTGGTACATCTGTTTTGAACGCGATGATCTACGTCCGAGGACATGCCGCTGACTATGATGGTTGGGAAGCGGCTGGAAATAAAAATTGGAGTCATGATAAAGTTCTGCCTTATTTCCTGCGCGCGGAAGGACATGTCGCCAAAGACAAACAAGATGAACAAAAGCATGGTTTTGAAGGTCCGCTAACTACTTCGCGATATCATTCTGATTCTGATTTAAGAGATGTGCTAATCCATGCATCCCAGGAATTAGAAAACAAAGGATTGGGGCGTGATGAACACGGATACGGTTTATATGAAGCACCTAGCACCATTGTAGATGGGCGACGGTGTTCAACAGGTAAAGCGTATTTAACAAGAGAAGAACATAAAAATACCAAAAACTTGGTCATTGCAACCGATACCGAAGCAATCAAACTTTTATTCAACATGGAATCCAATAGTGTCCAAGGTATTCCACGCGTCACTGGCGTAACTTTAAATGTCGCAGGGAAAATAGTTAATGTCAAAAGTAAAACGGAAGTAGTCGTAAGTGGAGGTGCTCTCAACAGTCCAAAATTATTAATACAAAGTGGTATTGGTGACAAGAACACAATTCAGTCACTTGGTATACCCTTAACTGCACATGTACCTGGTGTTGGTAAAAATCTCCAGGATCATTTATGCTCATTTGGAGTTATTGTCGAAATGGACGAACGCAATCCCAAAATAGATCCAATTGACGAAATGTACAAATACCTCAAAAGAAACGATGGTAATTTTGCTGGGATTGGTATTACCAACATGGTGTGGTTTATTAACTCCGATCAAAATGCGAAAAAAACGCAGCCAGACTTACAATTACATTTCTGGGAATTTCCAAAAGGCGAGCATGCAAATGTTGACCTCGTAGGCCATGTTTTAGGATTAAACGATCGCAGTACACAAAGTTTACATGAGTTGATAGATAGAAAACGCTTCATGATCATACTTATCACATTATTATATCCCAAATCTATCGGACGTTTGGAATTCCCATCGAAAACAACTGCCAATGATGGATTGGTAAACATGGACATTATTCATCAATATTTGACTGATGAAGAAGACATGAATGTTATGATCAAAGGAATTGATTTTGTACGTCGTATTGTAGAAACCAAAGAATTCAAAAAAGTCAACGCATCATTTGCAAAATTCGATACAGTAAACTGCGAGGACAAGGAGCACGCGTCCAATGACTATTGGAAATGCAATTTCAGAAATTTTGCCAGTACGCTGTACCATCCAGTGGGGACCTGTAGTATGGGCAGTGATGTTAATCAAGGGGCGGTCGTGGACGATGAGTTGCGAGTCCATGGAGTACAGGGGTTGCGCGTAATGGACGCCAGCGTGATGCCGAAAATCGTCGGTGGGAATACCAACGCGCCAGCAATTATGATCGGCGAGAAGGGAGCAGACATGATCCGCATTGCACACATGGCGTAAACAAGTTTGATAATTTAAAATGTTCGGCAATAATGCCTGAATTAAATACAATTTTATACCAGAGCATGTAATTTTTTAAAATCTTAATAATGAAAGGTTGAAAAAATGTCATTTTTATATCTTGAAGCCATTTTTAACAGCATATAACCTAATCAGTTTATTAACTTATTGATCGAATGTGAGCAAGTGTGCAAGGCAACAAACCGCAAGATAATTGGGTAGGGCACTTGAATTCATACGCTTCCCATGCAATTACGATTTTGTCCACTCCACACTAATGTTTGGTAATCTCATCACACTCGAATTCCCCTTCTCATCGCTGCGCATTATAGATATTAGCGTATCATTATTTCAATAGCATGCTAATCGGTATGCTGCCGGTTCAAGTGCTTACACTTCGCGTTTAAATTCAGTACGCGTGCAAACACATTACGACTACACGACTACAACAATTCTGTGCACAAAAAATTAATCGAATTTTTGTATTTACGTGAATAAAATCATTATTTTACTTGTATTTATAATAAACCTGGAAAATAAACAATTGCATTGGTGGTTGCATACGTTAAAAGAAGGATGTACACTTTATTTACAATTGTTTGTTGCATCGGTAACAATAAACTCGCGTGTTTTGTTTGCTTACCAACTCGTTTGCTCGGTTATGTTTACAGCAACATTAAAAACAACCGCTGCGTACACATCAATGCAGGATTTCTTCCCGGAAGTATTTCAACATGGCAACCTGTCGGAAGTTACCTGGGACCATGCCGTCAACAGCAAGCAACTGCTGACAGACGCACTCGCAAGTAAATATTTTATAATTTATAATACTCGTAATACACAATATATTTATCATTATAAATTAATATTTCAGATGATAAACACATGATCGAAGCTGATGTTCTCATCGGATACCTGATAAACTCAAACCCTCGAGAGTTGACTGTTATCATGGGCCATCCACCAATAATAATCTCCGATCTGAGTTTAGAACAATTTTTAAACACTGTAATCGCACACAATGCGGATCCAACCAAACGAAAGAAAGGAGTCAAGTTAGATTTTAAAGGAAGCGACGCCTACGCCAAAGCAATGTCGGGAGGATTTCTTTTGAACACCGATGAGACAGCTTTCCGTGAAGAATTCACCAAATTTCCACTCTGGATCAACGGAGATATTGCAAAGGGCCCCGCAGAGAATTGGAACAACGGGGTCGATCTGCAACTAGCGCAGATGAAGTCAAAGCCAGCGGTAATCAACGCCGCAACATGGTCCCTCGGCTGGACCACCGGGAATTACCAAGAAGGAACCACCTACACCATGGAACAGATCAACGCGATGAAGACCACAGTGCAAGGCATCGCCAATGTGACGTTCCCGGTGCGCGCCATGTACGCGGCGAAGAGTCGCGAGGCAATGGTCGCCCTGCTAGACGTCGGCACTCTGACAATCTGGTCTGGGAAGCAGGACGACGAGCATGTGGACGTCGCACAATTGGCTAAATTAATCGCGGACTATTTGGATAAAGTTTATGTCGATGTGCCCGATACACTATGGCAGCGTCTGCGCGACGCAATGCACTGACGAACTTCTGCGTGCGTTCGCGAATTTTATATGCGCATAATTAAGCGAGCGCAAGATTAATGGCGAGCAATAAAGATTTATGAGAAGCACACGATGAAAATTTTATTTATTTGATGAGCAGACTGTCGTAAAATTAATTTCAAGTGATGAAAACTATCGAAGTCCTGCGGCACAGTCACATATTTGTTATTTTCCTAGGAAATGAGATAAATTTATTGCTGATTGATGCAAATATATCGAAATTTGGGTCGGTTAAAATAAACTTATCAAATGATACGTAAATATTACAAACACACAGGAAGTTTGGATGATTTAATTTGAATAAATAACGGATTATGACCGAAATACCTATTTTTAGATTTAAAAAAATTCTAATTGAGTTGTATGGTAGAGATTAGAAAAGCAATTACAACAAATTAAAATATTTACAAAGTATATGGCAGCAGTCGTGATAAATGTATGCGGTTTCAATTTTTGCAAAGTAGTTTATCGTTCAAGGGGCGGTCTGCCGGCGCATTCATAACTCTCCAGAGTATTCTTTATGGCGAGCGCAACGTCCCGAAGTCAGCACGCGGCCACGTTTTCCCCCGCCGGCAAAACGCGCAACAAAAAAACTCAAATAAAAGCGCATTTGCTGTGCACGAACTTTGGTGTTTTTCGCACTTGCAGCTTGCGATGGTGTGCGGTTCGCGGCGTTCCGCGCCCGATCAAGCATATTCCCATAGCGGCGGGCCGTCCGACCGATTCAGTTGTTCCTCGTCGAGAGCCGTGCGCGGCAGAGAAGCCTCCTCCGCAGCGAGAGTGCCAGCAGTGTCGCGAACGCGCTCACGCCGATCGGGCCGCCACACGAAATATAAATTTTCGCTGAATATAAACTTTTGCCGCATCCTTTCACGTCTCGCGCACAACTGTGTGTACGATGTGGCGCGCCGCGACAAACTTTTGCTAAACTTTTCGTCGTTCTTTTACCCATTGGCGACCAACGACAACAATGCGGTACTTGTGGTGCGTGTCGTTGCTGCTGGTGTGCGGTGTCCTGCATGCGGAAGCCGTCACCGTGGACAATCCGAGCGGCGCGACAGGTAGCAAGGCCGGCCGACACCGGCATCTTCAGCACTTTGCGCGCCCGTTCCGCGGCGACGATTTATCGCCGACGGACGGTTACGAGCACAGGAGCGGCAATAAATTGAGACATCACGCGAGTACTTCAGCAAACAATCAATTTAAGCCGCACGCCGATGCCGCAACACGTCCCAACTTTAAAATAAACTCCAGTTTTTCCAAAGCGGACAAATTTCCAAAACTCAAACAACTCGGTAAGCGATTGGAAACATTGCGGTCTCCAACAACATCGACAACCACCACCGACCGTAATCCGTACTTCTTCGCGGCAAGAACAAAAGATCGTCCGCGATGGAAATACGTGCATGATTATGACGAGGAGTACGATGCCGAAGAAGACGACGCCGACACCGATGACGCCTATGTCGACGAAGTTGCGCGAACAACGGTAAGCGTTAGCATTATGACAATGACAAATTCCTGTCGCGTTTTTATTTCAGTAATTAATAATATAAATGTTAATGTTAGCCGCGTATATTTCCATATATAAACTCAGTCCGCGACGAAACGATTAGCGCTCGCGCTGCATGCAACTTGGCGGCATGTGTAAAATGGGACAACATAATAATTTCTTGCGTAATTGTTCTCAGTTTGTTGTTGTTGATATTTTCATGGCATTCCAGTCGTGGACGCTTACAAGTGAATGGATAACTACGATACCAGATTACACAGATCACTGCAAAGGCTCTCAATCATTTTTGCGCAATTTGTTTTCCCTGCCCACGCGTGAATGAAATCAACATTCGATATCATCTCACACACAACTAACTCGTAACAAAGTTGCTGATTTTATGATGGAAGTTATTGTTGTAGACACATTTACACCAAAGCTCTTTTTGCGTGTATGATGTGCGATGTGTGTCGCGCTATTTATAGAAAACGCGAGCTCGTCTGTCGCGATGTTTAGTGCAGAAAGTCGCGTAATTTAGCAAATATTTGTCGCGCGCGGAAAAAAATGCTAAGCTTTCGCGGAAAAGCATTGCGACGCTAAGTACGCGCATAAAAATGAATGATATGATGGTTGAGTAACACGCGCGGGCCAAAAACGCACTTGTAAAATAAATACATTAATCACTCAAGACGTGCCCAGTGCGCCCAGAGCCAAATTTTATTTCTTCGTTCTTTACTTTCCTTTTGTAGCGAAAAGTTATCATATTCCCGATGATACAACTTTCCCCGAGAGGTAATAAATTGAAAAGTTTTTCGTCTCAGATCTTCCTCTGCTTCGGAATAAATTAGTTTAGGTTTTCCGCGTCGGATAAAAACGATACAAAGACATCAGGAACTTTTTTCATTACTCCTCAACCAGAGAAACTTTTTGTCGCCGCGCTTCAAAAGATGGAACTCTCGCCACTAACAGTTTAAAATGTTTCCAATGTGAATAACGACATAATCAACAAAAGCGCATAAATGGCCGTGGTTGGGTTTCGTTGCGGTCAGCATAGAATTTTTATTACGTTCGTTGCATTGGCAACACTCGACGCAACGATGATGCCATTATAGAAAATATGACAAGCGCGCCTCTTTCGGAAAAAAGAGCTGCGCTCATCGCGCACTCGTATAAACATTTCGAAATCGTATGTGCTCTTCGGTCTAGCACTGAATGATGGCCAAGCTAGCAATACTGCGGCCAAGTTTTCTCGTTGCCGAGAGCCGAAAAAGCACGCACAATTAATTTTTAAAGGTGCTTCGCGCCTTCAATTCGTCATAACCGAATGTCGTAAAACAGTTTAATGTCAAGCGACGCTCTTTGATGCGTTGTAAACAACTTTACGCGCGCGCGTCCTCGTTTCCTGCTCGCTCGAATTGATTTTTCCACGGGGTGCAGCGCGCAAACAAAACGCACAAAAACCGGGAACCCTAGTGAACTACTAATCTACTGCCATATAAAATCCTCGACGCTGGCGGCAGTTATAGAATATGGTTGCTCGTTACTGCGTGAATGCTAAAATCGAAAAGTCGCCGGAATCAGGTCAACCGCCTCGCCCCAGCGCCCGCTGGGAAACGCAAACAACCCGGGATGTAGCCGCGCGCGCTCTCGTTATAAATCTTTTTTCCTCGGACGCGCGTTTGTTTGGTCTCTCGTCCGCGCTACCATTGTGAATCATTGCAGAGTTTAAGTCATCCGGAGATTAACAGAAAAGAAACGAACCTGTCTGACGGAATGCCATTGTTTATGGTTTCAAATTTATCACAGGAGATTAGATTATACGTGCTGCTGTATCATATCAGAGCGCTCATAAAGAAAAAAAAAGATCCAGGGCAAATAAATATCTTTAGGGGACTAAGCAGTCAGCGAAATTAAATAAATACAACATACATTTGAGGAAATGTAACAAGAAGTTGAAGATTCAAGAAGTAAAGCAAATGTTTGTTATGTTTCCGTACAATTACACGCTTTGATTGTTGTGGTATTCTGTGGGCTGCACGTCACGCGAACGCCATATGCGTCTGTGAATCTCAGAATAGAAGAATTAAATTTTTAGGGCGGCGGTATAGGGCGTTCTTTGGTTACCGGTAGCCGGTAACATGATATCGAGAACGTGGCCGAACAATAAGAAAGTGCACAAAGGGCACACCGTTTCAACACTCCTACACGGCAGCATCCTCGTTCGTGTTCATTTCCATGTACATGCTCCACACCGTTTACAATGCGATCTCATCTGGGCCGTGTTATTATCGTTTGCTTTTGGGAGAGCACTTCGTGCTAACAACACGTTCTATCAGATTTTCAAATTAAAATAAATTCGAAAAGCGCTGCCGCAGCCGGAACAGCCGTTTGTGTGCGGTAAACGTCGGGGAACCAATAATACAATTCGCTCCCTTTTTTCGTTTTTCGTGCACTCTGTGTGTAGTTATTAATAATATCTCGCGCCCGGCGACAGAATGAATAAGCCATTGTCGTCGCCGGGGAGTGTGATCGTGCAGAATGTGAAGATTGCCGAAGTCGGCACGTTTCGCATGTTAGCAAAATTGTGGCGCACATTTTATTGCACGCGTCTGAAATTACAGCGGTGCGCGAGCGTGTCTCGTGAGCTTCGCAAAGAAAGTCGTTGACGGCCGCGAGATAATCGCATGCAAAGACGCTTTCGGCGCTTTTCCGACAATTACACCCTTGCACGGATTATCAACAAATGATACGCGCAATTAGATTGGCATCGCGTTTCATCGCGGCCAGCATAGATTTCTGCAGCGCCGCGAGGCACCGAAACGAGTAACGAGACCACCGACAACGTACTTAGCACACAAGTCCCCGCCGTCGACAATTTGCGTGCTCGCCAGCTTCTCTCGTCGGCGATCGGATTGATTAAAACCCGACGTACGCAACGCACCTGCCGATGATAAATCTTTCATCGGTCACTCGCGCCCGTCATCATTGACAATTCAAAAACGAGCTTTCACTGAATGAATTCCCAATCGATCGGTATGAAATGATTCGGCAGCGAATGCAATAATAAATAATAAAGACACAGACAGATGCTAAATCAAATACAAAACGGTAATTTGCCATCTTGAAGAGCAACGCGCAACAGAAAGAAACACACGTGTCGCAATCACGTGTGCGATTTCCAATTAAATTTACATGCGGCTCTCTTAGACGCTCCGACTTTTACTTTAAAGAATCGTGCATCGACGGCCCGACCACGCATTTTCAAGACGATAAAAATGATTAAATAACGCACCGAGAGCGCGGTGCGTAATCAACTTGAACAAAGAAATACACGTACGAAAACTAGTTAATACTATTAGACCTACTCACAAGTGTGCTGTGACGAAACAGAGAAAAGTTTGAAAGAAGAAAAAATCTCCAATGCCAGTCAATTGTCATCAGCTTTATTCATGCGCTGCGCGCTTACATTGAGATTTATTCGATGTTCATTGAATCTACATAGTTACCGCCACATATCATCATTATTTCGTGATGGCAACAAGTAACAAACGGGCATAAATGATGCATGCGTTTCGAAGAGATGTCGCCCGGGAATTACATTGATTCGATAAGATTTCTTCTTAACCCACAAATACTAAAGCAGGCGATAAACTTCAAGAAAAAAAACTTAACTGAATATAAATGTAATAAAGGGTTAAGAAGTTCTTCGTAGAAATCTTCGGATATAATTGCGTAATTATGCTCTGCTACTGTCGTGTCTTGCAGCTTCAAAAATGACATAATTCTTTGGTAGATTGTCTCACAACGTTCACAAATGAAGCAAGCATTAATGTTTGACTCATAAAAAGATGCATCATGCTAACACGGTAGATCGGATTAATAATCGTCGCTTATCAAATGATTTACATATCATAACTCTTCGCGTCGCTTCTCGAACGGACGTGCGACACGTTCGTGCGCTTTACCAAGTTCGCTATCTCGCGCGCGCTGCACTAACGCAATTATGTCACCATATACGTGCGCAGCGGCGCGCATCTCTCGAGATGATACATTAGCATGTAATAAATGGCCAAAATGAATGAAGCATGTTGATGAGGCGCTCGCTCGCGAGATAACCCCGACCGAACCTTTTCTTTCGACGAAGGCTAGAGCCACTCCACTTCAACTTGAACTAAATTCGTAACGAATTAAATTTCCATTAATCAAATTTCGATCGATTCGAATTGGGGACCATCAGCAATTCGTCGTCTGGAGGAATAAATTCGGGCGAGACAACATCATGAAATCATGATGTTGCATTCATGGAAACGTGACTAATCTGTTATGCGATTACTAGTTGTAATTTGACGCACGCCGCGGCCGTAAAACAGGCCGACGTGTATGCAGAGCGCGCAAGGACTGCGGATGAAATTAGCAGAAATAGCCGGCGAATTGCAGCGGGATGCAGGAACGGGATGCACAAACGGTAGCAATGAATGCGCACCGTTGTCTTAGATCGTGCGCGCAAACCAAGCATTTGTTGCCAGTGTAATATCAGTTTGCAAACAAGCAACTCTACTAAGAGAAGAGAGCACTACGAAGCACAAACGATGTGCTTCGGATCGGAATTTCGGGTGAACGCATTCGATATTTACATTCACGCCGCCCGTACTACGATGGCAAAACGGAATGTTTCATTCGGATCGGATTGACTAGCGAGATGTGGGCTCATCCGTCTGGAAGCCGTACTCTCGCTTGCAATCAATCCATTCCACTTCGACGACGACGACGATTTCGACTCGTATTGCACGTTATTTGAAAATAAAATGCACGCGGCAGCGTGCAGCCGTCCGCCGGCCGTCAGACAAAACAGTAAACGCGCGGCGCGTAAACGAAACCAAATGGCATGTGTCGTCCCGCACGCCACTTTGGCTACCGGCCAGAAATTGTTTTCAAAGCCGCGGACGCATACAAATTAAGCTCCGATCGCGCAACGGGCCGATGGCGTGCACATGTGCGCCGCGTTTCTCGATCGAATTCATCATCGGCCCACCCGCTTAAGAGATACACGCCGATTCCGGCACTTACGCGAAGAAAATTCAAACGCGATACTTATAGGCCGATGATGCCATGCGCTAATTGATTTTCGAGCGCTTTCCTCGCTGGAATCCCAGTCAATTTTTAGAGAGCTGCATGCTGCACCACATGTATGATGTCATCGGGAATGTTTGCGGATGCACATGTGCAAACGTGCAGCAATTTTTATTCTTGTGTTTTCAGGAAGTTGCCACCAAGAGTAGCAGAATTATTACCAAAGCCAGTCATTCGGCCTCCTACGAGGATGAAACTGTCGACGAGAATACCAACGACGATTACTACGACGACGAGATTTTCGCCGAAGATACCCTTCGACCACAGCACGACGTACAGGCTGAAGAGGGCCAGCATGAGCAGTCGCCGATGACGCAGTACAAATGGAAGAATTACGGGACGCGGCAGGCGTTGGAGGAATCACAGCGCAGCTCAGACTACGGCAACAACGATCGAAGTATGCGAAAAATAAAATATTTAAATCATAAAGGTAAACTACGCAAATCGTTCAAAATTTCTCTGTGGGATTCCGCCATTACACAATTCAAAGTTGCGCATGCGCAATATAATTGCACACAGTGGAAATTCCAATCTCGCGCGTAATATTTACGATATTTACCAGAGCGCTGTGGAATTTTAATTTTAAAATCCAGGTACGCGATCGCACCTGGCCTCCAAAGCCCACAGCCACTCTTATTAAGCGCACGCCGTGCGCCATTAAAATATCTCAATCGTTAAAACTCCACCGCTACAAGCCGATTACGATTCGATTGCCACTGATTGGCGATAATTTCGCATTTCAGAAAACGTGCGCGCCGCCAACGAACACTTTCTGCACATGAAGTCGGCCGCAAAATGCCGCCTGCCACGACCGCGTGTGATCAACGTGCAGGAAATCCATCAGTTGCCCGGAAAAGCATTCCGCCCGCACTGCACCGTCCTGCATCGCTGCGGGGACGACACTGGATGCTGCCAGGGGCCGGGCAAAAAGTGCCGCGCCAAGAGTCAAGAAGTTATTTATTTACCCTTCTACGTATATGTAAGTTCCACGCGAAAATGCCATCAATATTTTAAATGTTTCCTTCCAGAGCACGACATTCAGCCAGTCACAGGCAGTCGAACGTCTGGCTTTTCACAATCACACAGAATGCGCGTGTCTGGACGAGGAAGAAATGAAATTGGCGCAGAGATTAATAAGACCACGTGCTCAATTGAGCCGCAATAGTTTACAACAGGACAAACCAAGGTAATAACTCCCCCACACCGTCACCCAAACTAATCTGATAAATAATGGACTAATGCACTTACTTGGTACTTTACAGCTGCACATGTCCCGAAGAGTTCATCTCGTCGATGAATCATCGTTTCGGCCGCTGCGCCTGCGATTGTCCGTCCGGCAGCGATTCACTCTCCGGATGCGCCAATATGAAACGCGGCAAGGAGCACCTCTCGCTTCGGGACCGCAAGTGCATCCTCGAGGAGAGATGCGCGCCGCCCACCTGCGAGTACGGCACCTACGCCAAGCAAAAAGGCAGGTGTCCACGACGCCAAGAGGTCCCCGCCGGCACCTACAACAACGCGCTGGGCTCGCGAAGTGATAGTGATAATGACGATGACTCGATCGAGGATTAGTGTGTCTTTGTGTGCATGCATGTAACCTGCTGGAAACGAAAGCAATACAGAAAAAATGATACAGACTGCGGCGTGCGCGACGCGAAAACAAACAAAAATTAGCAAACATGTAATGAAACTTAAATTGAAACGTATAAAACTAGTCAAGTGTCAACTCAAAGCTCGTTCGGTGCGCGGGAGCGCGAACGCTGCGACATACTTTGTGTAGTATTATGTAATTTGTATGCGTATAATATGCAATAGGATAAGAGAATAAGCAATGAGAGTATGATGTGGGTTTCGCTTAAGTGAAATGACGTGAAAGCAAGCGCTACGTGTGTAGATTATAGCTGTACCTCGATTTGTACCGCATGAAATTGTAGGTGTCTCATCAGATCACAATTTTTATGTATTAGAACTTCTTTTTTTTTTACTTACGAAGAGAACATTCATAAAATATATAAATCCACGTAATAAACATTGTATACCAATTTTCTAACAAACATCTACGTCAAAAAGCTTTCACTAGACTTCAGTTTTGTGTGTAGACATCATAAAAATTTCAATATTCATATTTTTTGTTTTCTTAGTAGACACCAACATATGTATTATTAATATGGCAGTGATATTAAGGGTGTTTCACGACGAATAGTTGCCGCTCCTTTTCTTGGCTTAAATTTATTGGCAAATGTGCAAATTTGCAGTGTGTGGCGCAAGTGTCCAAAGAAGAGCAGTTCACATTCATATTGCAAATAGAATTCGAAATCAATAATAACAATTTGTAATTCTCCTCCACCCCTTTTTTACGGCCTTTTTCCCTCGTTTGCAAGCGCAAGCCAAATGTTAATTGACGTTTTATTACCCTATAAGCTCTAATACCATCCGCTTTTCTACCCTTCATCACACACAATCTACTCTTTCCTTGCTTGCTCTGGTAACTAATGAATTTACTCTTAAATGTACTAGTTTCATTTGGTATTTTGATTGCTAAATTTTGTAATATTCATCTCTTGTATGTACTAGATTCATTTAATATTGTCTTATTACCTTCGGCTTCATGCAAGATGGCCGCCTGACCTTTTCTGCTAATTGTCTCTACATCAAACAGCTTTCTCATAAGGAAGGAGTCGTTTTATCCACTCCATCAATTCCTGGAGCTCCTTTTTCTTGAGCTCATGCAGTGTGTTGGACAATGGCACAAATTTCCCCTGCACACCAAGATCTTGCAGGCATTTAAACGTTTTCTCACCCCATGCTTGGGGTACTAGTGTGTCTCTATCTCCATGGAACATTAACAAAGGAATTTTTGATGGATTCTGTTTAAGGTGTTCATAGACAATGGAATTGTGATTAAGGAATGAGGACATGGCAAACACACCAGCCAAACCTGGTAGCCAATGATAGGCAGTGTGTAGGGCCAGGGCACCACCCATTGAGAAGCCACCCACTACAATTTTATCTAGTGATATGCCAGATTTGATTTCTTCATCAATAAGCCTCCTTACTTCAGAGCCCATTGATTCCAGTGTGGGTTTATCTTCTGGGACATCCGGAGTGATGTCCAGACGATCAAACCAAACGTTACTTTTCTAAATATACAAAATAAAATTAAAATCACATTCAACGTTATTTATTAAATAAATAAACAAAGTACCTCTCCATTTAGTGGTGTGTAAGGTCTGGATGGAGCTGTAGGAAAAACAAACTTGATATGAGGCTGTGAAATGTCCCCAATGAGAAATTTAACCCAGTCGTAGATTCCTGAGCCGGTATCGCCTGCAAAGAGATAAGACACATAAAAAATGATTCTTATCTGATGCCATAAATAACACCAGCACACAAAACTGTATCACATGAGAAGATTTTATGAAGAAAGATGAAATAAATGCTCACCTGATCCGTGAAAGAATATAACAGAAGCTTGGTGTGCTTTGTTAGTTGCCCTGATTATTTTTAACGAACTAATTTTGCCTGCCATTTGGGAATAAACTAAACAACTGAATGTGGTTTACTGGGACGCTACGCGAAGTTGAAACAATAACCTACTACGACGACATTTACCGCAGTAATAGCAGCAGCGCTATCGCAAAAACGCGTCTTTGTCCTAAACTAAACACATGCAAGCAGTTAGTTATTTTCTTCTGGTACAACTATGGCCCTCTATGTGCCAATTATCAAACTATTTTAAGAGAGTGCAAATACTGCCATCTATGAATCAATTTTACAAAAAATTATAGTATTCTGTACATATTAACAGACAAGCTACCCAATTTAAAACATGACAAACACAAAATAAGTACCAGACACAAAATTGAAGTACAAACGTATGCTCCTGTTGTTATATTGATCAGGGATACTTATTAGCAAACAGCCACATTCGTTATAAAAACTATCTTCAATTACCTAACCTACTATAGTATAACTTAATTATATAAACATGAAATCGAGTCGATTTATATCGAAAATAATCCATCTCTTTGCATAGAATGCGATACTCGAAGGAGATAATCATACAGTGTAATGAGAAACACAACAACCGATAGACGTCGGCGGCGGTTGTCTCGGTTAGAGGTAGAGAATGTCGTAATGGCCGGGCCGGTACAACAAATGCACGAGTGGCGTCGTCCCTTCGGGCAGGTCATGTTCAGTCACTTTGTCGCCGACGCCGCGATCCATGTAGATTACTTTCACGCCCGTTTTCAGCACCGAGCATGCGGCAATGATGTGTATATGGTCACTCTCCTTGTACATTGGCTCAACTTCTTGATGACAAAAGTCAGCCACCTTTAAAAAAAAAACATAAAAATCCATTAATACAATATTTTTCAATAGAAAATTGAAATAGTTATTACTTACAGATCTATCACCTTCAATGAAACATGTGAAAAATGCTTCCTCCTTCTGTAATTGTCCACTGGTAAGCAGTCTTAAATAAACAACCATGTAATCTGAGTATCCTTGCTCATTAAAAAGTGTGTGCATTTCCTTCTTGGCCTCATCAATATCTTTCAACTCACTAATCCTCCTGAGCACCTCCATGAAAGTGTCATAGAAGTCCTCTACTGTAAACTTTGGAAAACCTAAATCTACCAGCATGTCTTTACTGCCCTCAGCTAACTTGTAAAATGCTTCAAAGTCATCTCTATTTTCAAGCAGTGTTTCAATGTATGCATAGGTAAATGCTCTGAAGAAACAATTGCCATCTGGTCTTGTCCTTCTAATGTGCTTATACTTGGAAGACAGGTCACCAATCTTGCCCAAATAGACGGTGTCACTGCTGTATTCGACATTGAGCGATGAGATAAGATCCAGTTCGCTTACGAGCGGAATCGAGTCTGAAATCTTTGCAAAAAAAAAAGAGAACCGCTTGAATTGCGCGCACGGCAACTTGACCTAACCTCCAAGAGATAAATAAATGATAATTACCTCTTGTTGGATTTGCCGCTGCTGCGCCAGGATGAGTTCGTCCTGGTTGGTTTGATTCTCCTGCTTGCTGCTGTCGTTGGTCTGCTCGCCGTCGACCTTTTCCTCCATTATCTTGGCGGTGGGTTTTAGCTGGGTGGAATTGTTGCGCTTGGCGCACGCATGCAGAGAGAGAATAACGCCGAAACCGAAGCAAAGAGGAATGACATTTATAAAAGCGCCGCTGCCCGGCGACGAGTGAAGTGGACCTGGGCAATTTTATCAAGTCAACGCAACTGCAGCGCCATCTAATAAACATCCATGCAAACTACTTACCAGGGTAGGCAGGGTTGGCTTCAGGGGTTGTTTTTTAAATTTAATCATTTCTTTAAATCTGTGTGTTTGAGTTTGTCGCTGGAATTGAAAAGGCTCTACGCTGCTGTGAATTGTTCCGGTTCACGCCTGCGATCAAAGAAGTTGTCGTGCCCACCGAACAAGAAGATTCGCGTTTCTTGAACATGTTGACCGTTTGATACAATCTGGAAAACCAAAGAATACATTTCACACATTAATCGCTTTCAATTCTTCACATATAAACCGTTAAATTTAAGTTATCGCAAAAAAGTAAATATCATATCTGGTATTTACTTTCGTAAACAAATTTGATCTTAAATAAAATGTTCCCACGTATCAAACGCCAAACAAAATGGCGATGATTTGTTTTAACTTAAAAATCAATAATTTTCAGACAAAATACACCGAATGACATTTTTATCATTTTTCTACTGAAATATCGTCTGTGCGAAGTGTTGTGATAAAAATCTAACCTAATGCTGTCGCCTTTCGATCGCCGGGACCAATCACGACTGCTGTTTCGATTGCGTTGACTTGATGATCTCTGTGATAAACTGCGATGAGTATGCCAGGAATTAATGTGATGCGTAACTGTATTTTTCACTTCGGTATTGAGGAAGCAGTAAAACACAGCCACGGTAAAACCCTGCAATGATACAATATGTTTAATTTGTATTAGTAATTATATCCGTCATCCACATCCGCACCATGCAAATATCAAATTTGGAAAATTCCGGATACAGTCACGTATTTTTCGGATAAATTTAAGTTCAAATTTACTTAATTTAAAAGTGATAAGCACTCAGCCAAATCAATATTATTCCTTGGCAAGCATATAATATTTGTTTAAACTTTTTTACCTTATTTTTTAATATCAATTTCAACATGGCGTGAGACATTTACTTAATGTTAATTTTGATGATAACCGCGTGTTACGCAAACAGATCGAGAAATTGGTTTAAAAAATATGACAAATACTTGAAAAATACGATGTACGAACTTGAGTTGATAATAAAACGGCGCGTAAACACTCGTAGCAACTGCGAAGAAGTCCCGGTTCGCTGGGACCCACCAAAACCACAACGTATGTCATTCCTAACAAAGGAATAAGCACGAGGAGAGCTTTGGCAGCTTTTTGATACTGTTGAGTTTCAACTGTGTTGGCAGATCGTAGTTTTGTGATTAAAACCTATAAAAACAATACTTTTATTTCTGCAATACATTTTTTCATGAATAATCAACTTACCCACATAATAACAATCAAAAATATAACATTTGCTATCAGAACAAATATAGATGGCACCTGATAGATCCAATCTAATCCATCACTCTTCCACGGACAACTCTTGAGATGTTCGAAATCATGCGGGTCTTCTTGATACAAATTCCATGCTTTTGCGATGCACCATGTTAAAATAAACACGCCGGGGAGAATCCAGCCGACTATGACACAAAGTGGGAGTTTTATGCGGTCGCCACGAAACGTTTTCACCACCAAGACGTAGAGGTACATCCCTTCCACAAACATCCAGAAGAAATTTGTTAGGTGGAAATAATGGAGAAGAATAATGAGAAAGATGCATGTGAAGATTTCCTGCGCGAGGAAAACTTGTAGAAGCAGTGTTCCGATCCAGACGAAGTCCACTAGGATGAAACTGATCATTAGGTTCATGTGGATTGTGTTGCGCAAGCAACGTAGGTCTCTAAACAGAGAAACAAAACATGAAACAATAATAAATTTTTAAATTTCAACTCTCAGGATGTGCTAGATACATATTGTAGGTTATGTCATAACACATAACCTCATCTATTAAGTTATTTTCTATTTTTCAGGGCAGAAGCAAGTACAAAACAATCAAAAAACATAAAACTGGGTCCAGGTGTTCTTTAGTTATAAATAACACCAATGTGAAAATATGATTGATTTATATAGGTGTGTTTTACAGATTATTCTGAAGTATTTCTCATTAATCTCTGACAATTAAGTGTACATTTTTGTACAAGCGTAAAATTAATTGATTTTACGACGAAAACTCGTCTAATCTTTTTAAATCCCATCAAATATCTATTATCTTGCATATTATGTTCCCACTTGAAGTTCCTAAATGAAAACAACTTCAAAATTAGTTTCAATAAACTAAAAATCAATGCTAGGAAGTAAATTGAACTAAAACTAATTAAAAAATAGAATTAATTTGTAAGTGCTTCCTGAAATCCATTAAAGCTAGAAAACGTGACAACTTCAAATCCTCAAACTACTTGTATTGATATTAATTTACTAATCAAGTAAACGGATGATACTAGATGATCAAATATTTGTCATCAAACTAAATAATCCAAAGATTGCGAAACATTTTAAACACAATTTTGAGAAATCAACGCGCCCAAATCCCTTCTCTTTCTTATTTTTATCATTCAATTACACTTATCGAGAACAAATATGCCGGCGTATTTAATGCGCGCCCAGATCAACTTCGATCTCAATGTGTCACCGACTGCTTCACCAAAGTCGCAAGTTAGCCGTAAGTTACCTGCAAGGTGGAAGCGTGGATCTCGACAGTGGATATTTTCTGTCAGATCTGACACTTCTACAGTGCAGTGAAAACTTGAAATTCAACAATCAACAAGTAAGTTATTTCCAAAACTTAATAACAATTCAAAACTTAGATTAGAGACTGTTGCAGTTAAACATTAACATTAAACTAGTCTAGAGTTATAATTCAAGCATTCTTGGGAAAAGAAACACATCATAATAAACTAAGATCATGATAAGAATGAGTCGTTAAACAAACGCATTATAAGTCATATATTTAACTTAGATAACAAGCACTTGACACATCTCGTGTAGTCATCTTTTACGGATCATTCTCATCCTCTAAGGTGCGGTGTACCCACCCAAAGTGTTTAAAAAAACGTAAAAATAATTTTCGATGTCATTCAATGTAAAAATGTAAAAAACAACATTGTTTTTAGTGTGAGTGGAGAAGTGGTCTCTTCGCTGACATTAAACTAGTGAGATTCTACTCCTCCATTTCACATTGAAGACAAAACTGCACCAGATTCGATGAATACTCACTTGTATCGACAGAAAATGTAAACAGCCACAGCGAGCGCAATCAGACTAACAGTATATCCGAAGAGATAAATTGTGGTGGTGAGTTCGATCGAATGCGACACGTGATCGTTGACGATGTGCTCATTCTCCAACTCGCGACAATTGCTGTAATCCGTGTATTCTGCCCATGTACCCGTTGAGAGACACTCCCGCGTTGCATTCTCTGTAATAATGTGTAGCAATTTGTGTGTTTTTTCTGATTAAATCAATAAATATTACAAGTGATATCTTATGTCAATAATTTTGTTTGCTCACATAACTGTTCACACCAGGATCAGGTATGTGATAAGCAAACAATAATCATACACTACCTTTATATGCATTTAAAATGGTTTAAAATGTAAAATTTAAAACTCACGTGTTGTGTCGTAGCGTATTCCGTTTAAATGTGCAAAACAAGACATGGTCGCGACGCTGTTTGATGGCGTCCGGGGCCAGCAGAGTAAAGAATCAAAGTTTTCCGGACAATTTGTCCAATCGTCTGCGTCGGATGTACTCGAAGCGCATCCTGCGCTCTCCGCCAATCCCGAAACCATTTTGGATTTCTTCAGAAAGACTACCGCCACTTTTATTTTCACTCTTGCGCTAGATATTTGCTGGAAATCTAGCGCCTGTCCATCGCACAGCGAGGTCACAGCGCTAATGACTAATTACGCGAAAATTTGCCGAAATTATACCCGGAGTGGTGCGCGGCTTTGCGAAAACTAAAAGGGTCGCGCGGTGTCCGGTGCTGTGCGCTTCATTAAGCAGCACCCCTTCTGAAAAGCGCGCCACGCGCTATTTAAGCATGTTGACGGCGCTATTTATAGACGTGTTTCCGACATAAAATGAAAACTCAATAGAGCGCTATTGTCTAGCTATATTGATAGATCTTGCGTACCTTTTAACACATATGTGTGTATGAAACATGGCCCAGTTCTTCTCTATCATCAAAATTTATTCGCTATAAATCACCTTTACTTATTTTATGCATTTCAATTAATGAAATATTTCCGAAGTTTGTTTGCTTCATTAGACATTTCTTCCAGACTTCGGATTGGGTCTGGATTTGAGTCGCGATCGTGTTTTGCTAAATGTTCGTAGATATCATCGTTGCGAGCAAAATCGCCTTGCTTTCGAGGTAGAATATGTACGTGTACATGCTGTAACAAAAACCAAAAAGAAAATAGTATTTTTATCGCTGTGTTTATATTTTTCTGTTACCGGTACTGTTTGTCCGGAATGTACGCCATCTTGAACACAGATGGTGGACGAATTACAGTTGTGTTCTGTTTCCAGAGCTTTTTGAACACGCACTACCATTTGAAATAGTTCACTGACTTCTTCCGGCGTTAAGTCAGCTAAACGTTTCGCAACTCTTAAGGAACTCACCAAAACATCTAAAATAATAATGCCGGACCTGATGATTTGCATACTTTAATTGATTTGCCGCAAGATGGCGTTGGTATAACTTACGTCCAGGTACTACACATCGAATGTTGGTGAAAGCAAACGCGCACTGCGATTTACAAAAACCGTCGACGCTGGAATTGGTTTTGTTGCAAACATGAATGTTTCATTATCATAACAAACACTTTGATTTTCGTGTACTTGTTTTAAAGTATAAACGTCGTTGCGTCTGTGATTCAACACTGGCATTTCAGTGCGAATTTGATTTAGTTTGTGTAAATCGATTGTAGCGATTGCAAAACTTGCATCGGTTGTTTTCTGATCATTTCCAGGAGGAAACGACTTGCATTCAGCGATTATTTGACCCCACGGATTCACCACCTTTACAATATTTCAATTAGAATTCAAATTTGTATAAAAATTATGTTTTTTACCAAAGATTGACCGTACGATTGACGTTTGTGATTGTGCTGTCCATATTGCGCTGCGGCAATCACATAACACTGATTTTCAATTGCTCTGGCTCTAAGAAGTGATTCCCAATGAGCTGCACCAGTTGTTGTTGTAAATGCGGATGGAAATGTTAATATTTCTGCGCCTAGTTTGCGTAAACACGTGCTTATTTCGGGAAAACGCATATCATAACACTTCAAATGCAAAGAAACATGTTTTACAAACTATATGCAATAAAATCGGCTAAATACTTACAATTGACAATCCTAGTTTGCCAATTGGAGTAGTCACAGGAGAAATAATCTTATTCCCCCTTGAAACATAACTAGATTCTTGTAAATTAATATTTTTCTCTGGAATTTTCACATCAAACAAATGCACTTTTCTGTAAATGCTTACTATGTCACCCAAATTGTTAATTATCACATGACTGTTGAATATATGCTACAAATCATTAACAAATAGCAATAAATGTTAATAAATAATAATATTTACATACATTTGGATCATTAATGTTCTTTTCATGAAATCCTCCAATAGACAACCAAACATTGTTTGCTTGAGCACACTTTTTATACTGAGTCATTATTTCCCCAGTTAATTCTTCAGCCATAGCAACTGATTCTTTGGGTGAAGTTGCCATGTAATCAGCAGCTTCAGGAAAGAAGATAAACTATAAAATACATTCATTCCATCATCAATTCATTCAACAATTAGCTTAAACATGCGTTACCTTAACGTCATTGCTTGCACAAGCATCTTGAACAAGTTGTTCAACTGTTTTCAAATTTGTTATCTTGTCTTGCACACTGGTCATTTGACACACCGCTATTTTACTCATTTTGCGTACGTTTTGAGGGAACACGCGACTTAGAACAAGTGACAAATGTTGGCGGAGCATAAATTACGTTAAATTTAACAAATTATTTACGTAAATAATAGTTCACAAGAAATTTACACGAATACACTATGAATAACCTTGAAAAAGAATAACAAACCGTTGAAAGCGCACCCAGCGGCGAATTTTAAAACTAATAATACAGTACCGAACTTGTAGTCAAAACTATATGATCAGTGATTTTGATTGTATATGATCACTGAGTTTGCGAAAACATGTAAAATCAAAAATGGATAGTTTATTAATTTTTCCAATGGAAAGTCGATTTCCAAAACAATATAAGTATTATATCAATAAAGAAGTAACATAAAACGCTCTATAAAAGATGTCTACCATCAAGTGTCATCTTCAATTTTAATTTTAACCAATTCATCCTCATTAACCATTTTTACCGGTGAGTCCGCACGCATGGCGACTTCCGGTTGTAATAAGCGCAGCATACTGTTTTCCTCCTCGTCGTCGGAAATCGCCAGCGGATCCTTCTCGACGCTTGGTTTGTTTAAATTAATAAACACATTCGTATTGAGATTATTCGCAATTTTAATCGTACCAATGCCACCAGCCCGCTGATTCGTCGACTTACTGGTCCGCACCGTGCCGTATGATTTGATCGCCGGCTGGGTTCGATTATTTTGCGGTTTATTCGGGATTACCACCGATCCCTTTGATACGCGAATACCGGGTTGTACAGTTTGCAAAATGACGGGTTTCAAACCTTGCAAAGGCGTCATATTGCTGTGGAGATTCATCGCTGGTCTGACTGCAAGTGGGGGATGACCAGGTCTCAAAATTACCGGCGGTTGATTAGGTCCAGACTTAAGCAGCATCGGCTTGTTGAGAATTTTCAAACCAGTGGGTGTTGTTGATGTTTGTACTAAAGGCGCGTTCTTTTTAAGAACAATTTGACTGCGATTTGCGCTGATGACAGGCACAGTTACTCCTCCAGCCGATTTAATCGCAGGCTTAACAGGTTTTACTGCTGGTGGAGTGGATTTTACAACTTTTGGTGTTGTTGTCGTCGACGTAGTCGTAACAATCTCACATGCCGCAGTAGAGGCTGTTGTGGTACCATTACGACCTACAGACGAATGCGAAACGTTGGTTTTCGAAAGATATTCGAGAAATTCGCGATGCATCTTCTTCCGCGTCTCAATCAGAAGATTCGTGCAATGTGACATGCAATGCTGCATCTTGTTATGCAACTCTGCGAGCTCGGCGGGGCTTTTTGGAAGAGTAGAGTCCTTTTCAATCTCGTTATATGTTTCCAGAAGTGATCTAACACCAATCGACGATGATGATATGGCTGTTTTCAACCAACTAGTGCGATTGTATTGATTCATGCGCCATTTTTGATTTATTGCTGAACGCAATGGCGGTGATCCCTTGTCCGCATCCAGTTTGGCAGAGTTGCCAGCAACAGATAATCGTGATAGAGGAGGTGCTGATGTGGGCACCAGTGGAGGAGCGGATGTGCAGATAAGTGGTGGTGGTGTATCAGACGCGCTCATGTTTACACGCAATCTCAGCAATGTTTCCTGTTTGGATGAATTTGGTGTCGCAAGGCTTAGACGTTTCAAAATGGGTGGAGTTGGAGCGATTTTACGCAAGTGCGAGGAAGGATTGATAATCTTAGGTGAAGCTTCGGAGGATTCATTCTTGGGATCTAACAGGAGGGCGGTAGGTATGGCACGTATTTTCATGATGGGCGTTAGCGATGGCATGGAATCGCCGGGTAGAAGAGAAGATGTTGGTGTAGATGATGTTACTTTCGACTTGTTCAGTAAAGTAACTCTGGGAGATTGCGTTATTTTCGACTTCTCGAGATCAGGAGCAGAGGAATCAGCTTCGTTTGAAATACGAATCGTTGGTCCGGTTCTTTTCTTTGGAGCGGGTATATATTCCACTTCCTCCTCCTCTTCTTCTTCTTCTTCTGAATGATGAATTTCTTTGCGTTTGCGGGAATTGTCTGGTTTGCAACACAGCGAAATGTCTTTTCGTAAAATTTCCTCATTGTTGTTTGATATTGCATATCTAAATAACAAAAACACAAAAATAATAATAATTTGAAATAAACAAGTTGATTATTTTTCGATAAAACTTACATTATTTGCTTCTCAGTATATTCATACAAAGCTGCTGTAAGAATATGCATTTTCGTCAGTGGTAAAGTATTACAATTGAAGCAATCCCAAGTGTCTGCGTTTTCTATTTCACTTAGCACATCTGCACCCAAATTTCTCAAGATACAATCCTGAAATATCAAAAATAAATAAATTTTTCTTCATTTTTGAATATGTGATTCAAAACTAATAATAACTCAATTCACACAAAAATGAATTAAAAATTAAAAATCAAATTGTGATTACCTTGCAGAATACCAATGGACATGAAGAACAGCACATGACAGTGCCACCCTGGGCACACCACTTGCAATAAATCTCACTGCCATCTTCATCCTTAGTAAATTCACCAGTATTATAAAAGTGAAAGCAAGATTCACACAGTAATGTGTTCAACACTGGGTGAGTAAATCTATCAAATACTTTCAGTGGCGATGTGCCCAAATGTTTGTCACATACAGTGCAGTGAACTTTTATTTCTTTAGTGGCACTTGCAAATGCCACCTCGGTTTGGATTATTTCTCTGGATACTAATTTTTCATCAGCTGTGGTTTTCAATGGTACTTGGTCTTTTGTAAATCTAAATTTATTATCTAATATCACTGAAATTTAAAATTTTCTATGAAAATTACTTCAAGAATTGTTGGGTTTTACTTACAATTTATTTTTTCCTCATCAGCCAGATCAGATAACATGCCAGATTTTGGCTTTCTATCTGTAGTTTTCTTTTTATCTGAAGTTGCAACTGTGAAAGTTTTTGTATTCAATGCTTCATTATTTACATCAGAAATTGTATCATTATTATCTGTTGATGTTTCAGAAGTTATATCCACTGTTGTAGTATCTTCAGTTGGTTCTGTAATTGTTTCTGGCTTTTTAAATCTAACTAAAGTATAAAATAAAATGCTAGGTTATATATTCTACAAACAGGCTAGAGCATAATTACCTTGTTCAGGCCTTCTCCTGACATAGACTTCACCAGGTAGTCTTGTGTTTGGTGTGATTTCATTGCCAAATATTTTTGGTACAGCACCTTTTATCAAAGTAACAGCTTTTTTCCCATATGATAAACTGCTCCTTGTAAAGTGTTTCACACAAATAACATCCCCCTCACGAAGGTTTTCCAGCTCTAAAACAGAATATTACCAAATTACTGAATGTCATTCAGATTCATTGGATGTTTATTGTGCATACTATATTTGCCCTGCAATATGGTGAGCCATTTCCTTCTCAGTGTTATGGAACGCGGAAATTCAAAGGAGGGCTGTGCTTTACTCCCGCAGAGAAAGCAAGACCGCATCCTGTCCAAATTAATAAACGATTTGTTTGCAGACGCGGTCATAACTGTTGCAAATTAAAATGGCTACTGACAGGCGATGCGAACGCCAACTGAACAAAAGCTTGCCGTACGGTGGCGCCACCAAATTGACATTTAGGTTAGATAACACAAGTCAAACTGAGTGTTGAAAATTTCTTCAACTCTAAAAAAAACAATAAAATGAATTTAAACTTGTTTCAAAAGCACAAAAACGTATACATTACCACAATACTAAACTTGAAACGGTTGAAAACTTATAGAAATGTTTAGTAGTACGCAGTTATGGAGACATAAAAAATGCACTAGTTGACTAGTACCTACTAATCATACAATGTATTCCGGATGTGTCATAACAAAACACCAGGCGGCGCGCAAATCGACCGGATATAAGGAGTGGGAGAAAATCTTCGCCGAGTAAGCCCTTCTTTCATTTGTATATATAGCTATATATTGTCAATAACGCACGTTATTAATATCTCATCCAAAAATATCATCTTGTAAAAATATGTTTGATATGTACAACGAAAAATGAAAGGCACTTGAAAATTTTGATTTCATAACAAAACCTAGAATAGTTAGTTATAAACGTTATTACGATAAAAATAAAAATGCAATTAGCTAAGAGTCATAGTGCAAGCCGGGCGACGCCACCGGTGACGGTGGAGGCGGCAGCGGGCTGAAATACGTCGAGGACCGAGAGCCGGGCGACGGCGGGCAACTCTCCCTCTCGCTGTTGCAATGAGATCTTGGCGTCGGCGGCGGTGGGAACGGCCCGTCGTACCGCCTGTCATCGTAGCGACTACGACTTGAATAATTATAATCGCTCTCGTCGTTTATGTCAGTCGAACATGGCGTTGGTGGAGGCGGTTGGTTAATGGACCTGATATACAGAAAAATACAAAATAATCGCTAATAAATTCTGCGCATGCGCATAATAAATACCTATAATGCTTATAAGGTCTGTAACGTGATGTAGGTGAATTCGCACGCGTGCTAGCCGCTGTAGTTGCCGGACTCGGCGGTGGATTCAACGTTTCTCTGGGATAACAAACCAGACTAGAACCATTGGTGCTGCTGGAAGCTCCTGTGATGTGTCCGCGGTCATAACTACACGCTTGTGAACCCGCTAGCATTGACATGTGCACCACATCCGGTATACCTACCACCATTTTGTAATTTAAAACAAATTAATGTCAATATCTCATTGGAAAACTTACATTTATTGCGCATCTTTTGTATCTTCATCTGCGCCTGCGCCTGCGTGGGGTTCAATGGATCCTGCGCATGATCCACGACATTCGCCGCTTCCTGATTCAAAAACATCGCTCTTTTGATATAATAATACGCTGCGAGGAAAATAATAATCACGCCGACCACAGACAAGAAGATCCAGATATTCGACATGCTTGCATGTGGGGAAGCATACGGTGCATATTTGCACACGCTCGCCATTTCGTCTTCACCATTCGCACAGTGATCGATTCCGTCACAGAGCAGATTCCGCATGATACAAACCTGCGTGCCGCGGCATTGAAACTCATGCGGCGATTTGCAGCAATTCGTCTCGTCGGATTTATCCTTACAATGCGGCTCATTATCGCACTGGTGTTTGCGATCAATGCACTCGCCATTGTCGCATTTAAACTCCTGCGGTTTGCATACATCCGGACATCCTTCTTCATCGGAACCATCAGGGCAGTCTTTCTGCCCGTCACACTTCCACGAAATCGGTATACAATCCTTTTTATTCGGCTGTTGCACATTGCAGGTAAAATGGCCGCTGCCACAGTCAGGTTTAACCACACACTGCATTTCATCTTCGATTAATTGTAAATCCAACGGACAAGAACACTCCGCTTCACCATCATCGTTCAAAATACAAATATGCGAACATCTTTTCGTCGCGCAGGAGTGATTCTTCTCCGGTTCGTATACAGCGATAAGATCGGAAACATCCGCGTCCATTTCCACAACAACAGCACTGGTATTACCTCCAATCATTTCAATACGCTTCAGACTATCACTGTCCAAATAATACAACCATCCATTCAATACAGTAAGTTGATTAATGTTCGCTGAAGTTTCATTCAGCAGGAGTTTCCTTCCAGTGCCGTCAATATTGCACTTGTGTATCACACGCCCTTGGGCCCAGACTACAAGGTCATTCTCAACATCGACCGCCAGCGCTAAAACATTCGACGCCTTCGGAACGATTACCTTCCTACCGGACCCATCCATATTCCGCCGGATAATTTTAGGTGGATCACTGATTTCCGTGTAGAATAACAACCGCCGCGTTGAATGTATCGCCAACAATCGTGGACGCTCACCTTCATCGCGTGAAACAACCCCGACAGTTGAATTATTATCGACTCTTGTAACATTAATCACGTTTTGGTTCTGACAGGACCAAAAAAGCAGTCTGCCCAATGCGTCAATGACGATATCAAAAGGGTCTATTTGAGCAGGACCCATGATGACTACACTTACATGCGTACCAATGGTTTTCGCGCGTTTAATAGACCTGGCTTTACCTTCAATCCAATAGAGAAACTGTAAATGCGGGTCAAAGTCAATAGCCCGCACAATTTTCATCCCTTGAATGGGTAAAACCGCCTCGAGACATTCTGAAGTGTCTGGTAGAAGACGCACGGCAAGATTCTTGTGACTGTAAACCATGAAACGCTTCGGTGGGACGCAGGTGTTATTCCGTAGGGAGTAATGCGTTGGGCATGCGCATGTATAACTCGGATCGCTATCCGGCAGAGCAAGACACAAGTGTGAGCAGTCCCGTTGTTTATGGCACATTGATTGGTGATGGTTTTGCGTTTCGTGTTCGACACGATGAGCAGATCGGTGGGATACGACCACAATTGTTGAATGCTCGTTTTGTTACCGCCTGTTATCTTGTTAGCGCGGAAGACTTGAGCTAAAGGTCCATGCGGTGTTTTATTCTTACTTACTTTCGTATCCATCGAGGATATTATATCCGTCCAGTAGATATAATCTTGATAGACTGTCAATCCAACAGGCCGATATAATTCGGAATCATCCACTAGAGTTGCTTTGTTTAATCCATTTAAATCCGAAGTGAATATTCCTGCTGTCGGGCGGGCTATGACCCAAAACAGTCGTCTCCGTTCGTAGTCAATTGCAAACCCGCTGGGAAATCCTGTAAGTACAATCAAACTCTTCGGATTGCTTCCGTCCATAGCCGCCTTTTTAATCACATTATTAGGTACGTCCAATGGTGCCAACTCAGTCCAATACATGTAACCCTCTTGTGGATCCAAGACAATAAAGTGTTGTTCTACATTACTCGCCTGCCAGAGTAATACTCTCCTACTAGATCCATCCAGTCTAGAAACTTCGATTCTATGCAGAGCTGGATCAGCCCAATATACATTCAAGGCAACCCAATCAACAGCTAAACTCGTCGGTGATTGCAAACCTAATTCAACCACTTTCTGTGGATCCGAACCGTTGATATACGAACGCATGATTATGCGTTGGCGGATATCACTCCAATAAACCCGCATATCATTCACATCCAGATCCATTGAGCTGGCGTTTTTTATTCCTCCGATGGGTAAAAACATTTCACGCTCACCGGTGCGATTCGCCTGCTCTATACTTACACGAGAAATACCGTCTTTTTTAGTGTAGAGGAGATACGCGTCTGGAATTCGACACGTTTTTCCATCGGCTTGCAATTCGTAGCCGAATTGACATACGCATGTGCGGTTTCCACGCACGTTAAGGCAGATCTGGTCGCATTCATGGGACGCGCATGGATGGGGGCGGTTGTCGGGGACGTACCGCGTGCCTTTTATTGCTTTCAGACCCATTATGTTGGGGATTTGTTCGAGGATATGCTCACGATTCCCACCTAAAGAAATAATTACATATTTATTTTAATTTTGGTCTAAAATTAATAAAAATTTAGAAAAACTCACCGGTTTCTTTATTAACCCGTGCAATAGTCCTGCGTTGCCAATCAGTCCAGTATAAATAATCCCCAAAATAGACAAACCGAAAGTATGCGGGATATTATCATCAATCAGTACCATTCTGTCAGTTCCATCGAACTTAGCATGCTCGATTTTATCACTCTTGGCATCACACCAATAAATCCTCTCCTTGTCCATATCCAGCGCAAGGCCATTCGCCCATCCCAAGTTTTCCGAAACCAATACAATGCGATTATTACCATCTAATGTTGAACGCTCAATTTTAGGAAACTTTTCGCTCCAATCCGTCCAGAATAAATACCCATGATAAGGCGCGACTGCAATCGCTCTAGGATTAATCAATCCTTCATAAATCAACACTTTCCTGAACTTTCCAGTTAAAGTAGCGACCTCTATGCGATCCAATGATGAATCTGTCCAGTAAATATTCCTCGCAATCCAATCTATTGCAATACCATCCGAACTTACCACTTCATAAGACAGAAATCGGTTTGTTCGCTGCCATCGAGTTTAGCGCGTTGTAATTTCGAGAAGTTTGTGTCCGTCCAATAGACGTACCCTTCCACAGGGTCATAGTCTACTGCAACAGCGTGTTTCATGCTCGTTAAATTCAGAACTTTGTAAGTGTAATCCGGTGAGTCTAGATAAACTAAACCGAGTTGTGTACGTCGCGCGAAAATAAGTAGTTCTTGCGGAGCGTCAGCGCATTGAAATCCGTCCATTAATTTAATCCCACTTGGGCATGCACAGCTATAATATGGTGAGGTAGATGATAACAGGCATAGATGTGAACAACCGCCATTGTTCACCTCGCATGGCGTCGACTTGTATGGTTGCCTACGTGCGTCCAGGACATGGATATCCATCGGAACCGTGTCCAGGGGTATGAATTTCGACTGTTTGTTGCGCGTGTGATTATCGTAGACGTAAATACCCCATTCTTTCCAGTCGGTCCAAAATAGACGATGGTTGAAGAAAGTTAACGCGTAGGGGTATTTTGAAATACTTTCGAGGACAGTCTCGACTTTACTTCCGTCGTATCCGACGCATTTAAGGCATAGTAAACGTCCATCGACCCAGTATAATTGTTGTCTATCGTAGTCGAGGGTGAGACCATTAGGCCAGAAAATGTTCTGGTCAACGATGACTTCACGTGTGGATGGATCACCATTGAGACTGGCGCGTTCGATTTTTGCAACGTCACCCCAATCAGTCCAGAATAATAACCTGAAAGTTATGCAACCCAATATACACAATGTAAGATATAATTCCAAAATGGTTGCCGTACACTTTTTGACAATTTTGGTCAATAATATAAAATAAGTAAATATAAACACTTACCCTCTGAGTGGATCCAATGCAATGGCCCTGGGTTGATCCAAATCCTTCCAAAATAAAACTTTCCTATGATGATCCACCATTGAAACCACCTCAATTTTGTTCAAATCTATATCAGTCCAGTATAATTTGTTTGTGAGCCAATCACAGGCCATCCCATCCAGGGAATCCACCTGATTGGTGATCACCTCAATCTGGTCAGTGATAGCAGTCTCATTGAATGAGGCACACTTGATTGCCTCCATGGGCTTATCAAACCAGCATATCTTTGATTGCTTATAGTGATAATGAAATGCTGATCCCTCTTTAACGTTTTTAATTAATGATAAAATCGGTCTATTCTTGGCGGTTGTCTTAGTGGTGTTCGTTATTCTTATATCGAAACCGGTTGAATATAAAAGTAGTGGACCGGCGATTTGTGATCGCACCGCTGCAATAAACAAATAATTACAGGTTAGGTTTCATAATAAAAACAAAAGAATCACGAAAAAATATTATTTACATGGGATATATTTACTACTTACGTCGTATGTATGGCACACATGTTGCGATTAAAATTACGAGCAGGAAGTAATACTGATAGCGGGCGAGTCTGGATAGATCGTGGATGGACATTTGTGTTAGGATTTAGGAGATATGATGAGCATCCACATTACGAACACTCCGATTGTAACAAGTTTTTTACGGAGAAAGAGCGTGAATCACATGGCAGTAATCGCGGATGCGTGTTATCATTTGGGTTTGTGGTTTATTTATCACTGCGCGGATGTGTAAAGCGGTTGAAAACAAAATGTAAACGAAGCGATTTGATGTAAACAATCGCGGTGCAACGCGCCACCATCTTACATTGCGCGACCTTGGACAGGAAATAATACATGCCGACAAACTCGCGCATGCGTAGTACATCTTGACATGAGTACTAAATCTTTAAAATTAATTAATAACTAGTGCAACAAATATAAAAAGTAATATTCTGTTATTATAATTGATTTTTATATGTTGTATAATATTTTCTTTGGTAATATGTGCTTATTTTGTCTTAAAACATGTTTATTGTGATGGTTGCATATATACGTAGTCTATTCCTGCTGTAAAACTACTAGCGCCATCTACATGAGTAAAGGTAAAGCTGTATCTGTCAGTTTCACGTTTATGGTTACGCAGGTTACGCACTTCGGCAGTGTACTCGTCCACGCATCCCACACTCGTCCAAAACCGATCACACCATTTCGCACCACATGCTCGCGACGACGTGACGACGTGTTGTCAATGTGGTAAAACTCTTCAACTAGTCGCGACACCGTTCGTAAATTCGCGCACTCCGATGGTGAACAACACACAACTTCACCTTTAGCCGGGCGCCCAGGAATATCGGTGATCACCAGTCATGATGATGCGCAATTCGCACCTGCAGAGTTCAAGTTAAAGTTGGAAGCAGTGCAAAATAGTGTGCAAACTGGATGACACAACAACCTAACTAATAAACGACAAATACCCACTACGATCTCTCTTTGCAACGAAAACGTGCACGACGAACATGTTATACCTGTAGTGATGAAAAGTTAGAGTAAAAAATTCTAATTTAATGCACATATTCCTAACAAGGTGATAAACTGAAGGTCTGTGTGACACCGCAACTATTTCACACTGAAAGTGATTGTATTTTGGATAGTTTAGTACTTGGCATATTGCTGAATTGAATGACTCATGATGAAACTGTACAAGCAACGGTTGCTGACTGATAGTCAATTAAAAAGGCTTGGGGATCACAAGTATTCCTGCACCAGTGCAAGCCTTTGTGATCCTGTCCTGCAACCATGGTGGACATGGCTTGTGGCAAGGACACCGCTCTGGCTGGCGCCAAATTTGATTACTGTAGTAGGTTTATTAGTTAATATACTGACTACTTTGATACTAGTTTGGTAAGTAAAACAATTTTCATTGAAGTTAAACTAGTTTTAGTTGCAAAAAAGCATAAAACACCATATTTTGCTTTGATTCATGTTTGGATTATACTTTTAGATGAGTTTATGAGATAATACTGAAAAAAATGAATAAGTTGTAAAAAACTTGATTTTTTAAGAATTTGCCTGAAAAATGTCTTTTATTTCAATATTTTGTTTATGAGAACTTAAAATATGAAGAATTTCAAGTGTTTTATGCTTTTTACAACCAACTTTTTAAATTTATGGTTTATTAGTGAAGAAAACCACTTTTCATGTTTGTTAATCTTGTTTAAATGTCAAAAGAGGCGAAAAATAAAATATTTGGTCTCGATTCATGTTCGAATTATACTTTTTGATGAGTTTATGATTAGATAAAACTGAAAAAAATAAAAGCAATTTGTAAAAACCATGATTTTTAAGATTTTGCCTGGAAAATGTTTTTATTGAAATATTTTGCTTGTCAGAACTCAAAATAACAAGAAATTCAAGTGTTATATGCTTTTTTTCAACCAAATTTTTAAATTTATGGTTTATTGGTGATGAAAAACATTTTTCATCTTAATTATACTAATTTAAGTGTCAAAAAAAGCAAAAAAACAAAGTATTTGGTCTAGATTCATGTCCAGATTATACTTTTAAATGAGTTTTTGAGTAGATAATACTGATATAATGAAAACAAGTTGTAAAAAACACAATTTTTAATAACTTTACCCTAAAAAACGCTTATTTCACAATATTTTATCCATAATACTTATAAAAACTCAAATTTCGAGTAATTTATATTAATTTCAACAAACTTCCTAATTTTATTCGAAATTATTAACAATTATTTTACCTCCAGCATAAAAACGAATTACTTAAGTAGCATTTGTCGGAACATGTTATGAAAACGAACGTAACAGACGCAAACATCGCAATAACTCGAGATAAACATTGAAAAGTGCTGAGTCATTATTGACTTTCAACTTCAGTTTCCATTACTTTACGAACAACTTTTGTACCGCACTTTAATTAAAGATAACTAAAATTGATAATTGTGTTTGCAGGTATTCCCCGGATGCAAGAGCCGAACCACCACGATGGGCATGTGCGTTATGTGGCCTCGGTCTATTTATTTATCAAACATTGGACGCCATGGACGGGAAGCAAGCCCGACGCACTGGCAGTGCCAATCCACTAGGAGAATTGTTTGACCATGGGTGTGATTCCCTTTCGACTGTATTCGTCGCCCTTTCTGCTTGTATCGCTGTGCAGTTAGGACATCATTCAGAATGGATGTTTTTCCAAGTAAATATAGCAATATTTAATAAAAACAAAGCGTTTATGTTTGATTTTGTTGTAATTTTTAGTGTTTTTGTGCGATGACATTGTTTTACTGCGCGCATTGGCAAACATATGTATCAGGCACGCTGCGATTCGGCAAGGTGGACGTCACCGAAGCGCAGTTTACCATCATCGGTATTCATATGATATCAGCGATTTTCGGGCCAAATATTTGGACGACTGTGGTAAGTCAACGCTGATAACACGAAATTCATTACCGGTTATATACATTTTGTGTGCCTATTTCTTTATCTCTAGCATTTACGGCGTTTTGATGGCAATTGATGCAAATATGATGTGATTATGTGATAATATATTGTTTTCCTTTAGTTCTTTAACGGCACTGTAGAGCTATGGTACGGAATTCCATGCTCGACGTTCGCGTGCGGCCTCTGGTCGCTTTACAACATGCTAACCGTGATTATAACCGGCGGCATCGGCAAGAACGGATCAACGGTTGCTGTAAGTCCCTTCTTCCACATACAACACCCCCAACAACAACAACTACAATACTATGGACTGTGATATCTAATCTCTCCGACTGACAAATATTGCTCCCCCTAAATTTGGTGGCTGATTTAATCTTGCACGAGAAACCGCCGAGGTCGTTTACTTCTGTTTTTTCGTTTCTAAAAAAACCGCTCGCTTTGCGCATGCAACTTGGTTCATAACATAATATATTCTTTCTTTCCTACGTTACAACACCGACAGAGTGGGGTCAAACGAATTCGATTGAATGTATCGACGAGATTAATTAAAAGCTTGGCGGACTTGAGTGGATTTAATTAGCGCGTGGGATTGAAATCATTACGTTAGTCATCATTTGCATTGATATGGATAATTTGATTTTCATTGTTTTTGTTTTCTATAGATATTTTTATATCCAACCAGGTTGAATATTGGAGCTCTGACCGAAAGATATTTACACGCACGAAATTTGTTTCTGTTATTCTAGGTGTTCGATTTTATGAGCGTGCGTTTCTTGGATCTCATTGTCATTTTCTCGACGATGAATATCTTGCGCAACATGTTACTAACTGTCATGCAAATTGTGCGCGTTCCCGGCTGTGGCAAAAACGGCTCCACTGTAGCAGTAAGACATTCAATAATGGAATAATCTTCGCTTACAATATACATTCTGTTTCAATCGCAAAATTAAAACAAAATCATTATTCATATGCTTCCGTGGCAGTTGACGTGGTAGTTCGAAAGTCAGCGATGAGATATTTTTAACCATTTTGGCCTTTTTGCTTGTGTGTTCTGGGTTGGGGGTTGCTTTGATCGGCAGATTCCAGGCGTTGAGGTGACACTGCGTCTCGTCTTCGTGTACGTCGCGTGCTTAGTCTCGTTGAAGCTCGCCTACGCCACCGCGAAGGTCGTGCTCGCCGGAGGAGTAGGCAAGAACGGATCCACGGTGGCTGTAAGAATCATCATCACGAGTAGCACAAAACAATCAAATAAAGTTCTTTAAATAAACGCACTTTACTTGCAAACTCGTACAGTTGACCGACTAGAACAGACTCTAAATATATATTAGCGAGAAATAAACGTTCATAGATGCGGTTTTGACTCGATTAGATTGGTTTTGATTTTGATTTTGTGCGTGTGTGTGTCTTAAATGTAGGCGATGTATATATCCAGCGTAACGCAATGCTCCACTATCAACCTGTTTGTTTTCGTTGTTTGCATCTACTAGCTTTCATGATCAAGAATAAAAATATGTTGCTTTATGGAATGATATGGGTATGGGGTATGTTAGGTACGTAATTGCATGCTTGTGCTGCACGTTTTGTCACCCTACTACACTTTTGCTAACAACTAATCTGCTAATATTTGCAATTTAAGTTATTTTCGGCTTGTTTTAATCTGGATATTGTTTAGGGCACGAGTGTTTTGTCGCCGATCATTCCATTCTCCACCGTGTTGGTGCCAGCCTTCATCATTTACAGAAAAAGTACCGAAATGGTCTACGAAGCGAATCCTTCACTGTATATCTTGGCGTTTGGTTTTGTTGCTGTGAAAATTACGAATCGTTTAGTGGTAAGTTGTACAACACAATAAAATTTGATTTTATTATAAAATTGTTAATATTTAGGTGGCGCATATGACTAAATCTGAAATGGATTACATGGATTGGTCCCTGCTTGGTCCTGCAATGTTATTCCTCAATCAGTACTTTAACACTTTCATTCCCGAATACTACGTACTGTGGATATGTTTGGTAAATAATTATTTTCTTGTTTTTATTGTTAAAAACTTAATTTCTAATGGTTTTTGATAGATTTACGTAACAATCGACATGCTGCGCTACTGCTATCAAATCTGTTACGAGATTTGTCAGTACCTCAACGTGGAACTCTTCCGGATACCATACCCGGGTGGACCACGTCCCCACAACGTGCACGTGCAAACCAGCGCCACCGGCTCGGAGAAAAATGGTACGAACAATCCGTCGCGAAGTATGAAAACGCGGGGACGTAGCAAAAATCACTAAGTAATAGTATTTCACTTTGAAGCATCAACAAAAAAAAAACTAAACAAAAAAAAACTATTGCCACTATCGATTAGGTGTTTTATACATGCATAAGGACACGATGCATCGATTTTAAAAGCAAGGTTCTGTAATTATGTAAAATGGTGCAACACACTTATGATTGTTTTTTAGTTTGTAATCTAAGTAGGATGGTTACTATGCAAATATCATTAAGTCAGAAGTAATACGAATATAATTCGAAGGCATATAGTATTTAATAATTGTTTAGCTTTGATTTCTTGCTCTATTATTGTGTATCATTCGGGATAATTGAATTGAATTAAGTTCATGTTCACATAACCAGCTGAAATTTTGGTCAGAATTGATGCGGATATCTTATCAAATAAGTAGAGGTGTTGCCAAACAAACCGCTCGAATGTTTAACCATTAATAACACGCCCCGATGTATATTTATTAAATGTGTAATGTTACATAGGTACATCACAGTGTTTTATAAACTAGGCATAAAGTTCGTTTTTGCTAAATGTACTTTGTGTGCCAAGTGAGTGAAAAATGAAAGAAAACTACCACGTGTTTGTTAATATTGACGATTTGATGACTTATTATTACTTTTGGTTGATTGGTGGTTTTGGTTTAGCATTAGTGGATATCGATTTTTGTTGCTTTGTATATTAACTTTCTAGCACTAGCAGCATTCTATGTAACAATTTGATTTGTACTTGCATGCATTGACGACACGGCACACATTTTCGCAAACGTGTCGTGTCATCTTCGGCACACTGCTTGCGTCTCTGTCTCTTTGCTCACTCACCTGAATTGCTCGCCGGTACTTACCTACATGCAATGAGTTGTTTCAGGACACGATTCACTCGACAAACCGGCGGATAGCGTGCCGTTATTACTAGCGCAATCAGACTCTGATTAGCGAAACACGACAGATTGAGTGAGATTACGATCGCGTTGAAAATGGACCATATTTTAAGTACAAATGTATTCGTAGAATTTGTATTGTAAACGAGCAGCAAGCGACTTTATATTATGATGATGTTAGCATGGGAATGAATTATTGTTTAAATATATAGACATATTTAGACTAGGCGAATTCATTTTCTTTTCGTTTGCGTCGAGAAATAAATGCAGTCCATGAAATGTGCCTGATGAATTACTGTGCTTGTCAATAAATTCATTACTGTGAATGATTTTTAGACTTTAACTAGCGACGTCGTCCCGGTAGTGTTTAATATAAATGTAATTCGTTTTTACTCTTGTTCTAGGCATAGTATAAGTTAATTCTATCAATAAGATTCGCAATTTTATTTAAAGAAATTAATTATATAAAGAATTGCTGATAATGTACTTCAGCGCGCCATCTCGGATTCAACTATTTAACTATAACTATGATTGTATCTCAATGCCAACTTTTATTCTATAGAAAAGGGCTATCTTTAGGGTTTTCCCGGTAATTGTTCAAATTTTTCTCGACGTAAAAACCATCCTTGGACTTTAACGAACATTTAAAAAAAAGAATTGGCCAAATCGGTTTAGGCGTTGTTGAGTTATGCGCTTACCAACACATTTTGCGATTCATTTTTATATTATAGATTTAAAAGTTTAATATGTGTGAAGCAAATGAGGATACAAATCACGGGCGTTTTACAGTTTTCCACAGTGGTTTACAACGTTAATGCAGTAATTTGCGCGGCGGGCGTTTTGATAAGAACTTAATGATCCCAGCCACCGAAAGCACCTTCCAAACGCAGCACGCAGATGAGCATAAATTGTTGGCATTAAAAGAGGTCAGACCCATAAACCCAGGCCGCGACCCAGCTATCTTCATAACGCAAGCACTAAATTTTCCAAATCCGAAATCCTCCTGCAACCGGAATGTCTGTGCTTTCACCTTTATGCCTTAATATAAAGCAAAAGCAACAATGCGCATTTATTGAGATATTGTCCTGGCCTCAAATATTTAGTTAGGTCAATCATTAACCGCAGTCTGGGATCCGACAGTAGACTGAGATTCTGTGTCTGGTGTACCGGCCGGATTAAAACTAAAAGCATAGTAATACGGTAAATAATGTTGTATTAAGACTGATGTGGGGTTGAAACTTGAGGCACTGAACGCTATTACCATACTATTAGCGTTACCCTGGGTGCGTGGATGTCTACCTCCGTTTAGTCGACGAATTAGAATCACTTTGCTTGTGTTATTGTGTTATTGGGGACCTTTGCGTAACGTTTTGTGCGACCACAAAGGACGACGGGCGTCAAACGTAGCAAACGCGTCAAGAAATAAGTTAATATTTAAGTTGTGAGCGTTTAAAAGTCAAGTTTTTAAGATTGAGTGTGTTATTATGATTTATCTGAATTAAAAAGAGTTGTTTGTTGGACCTGAGAGTGTGTATCACTTAAATTTGCGCATAGATGTCGCTACAATGCTTATTTTAGCATTAAATATTGTTTTGTTGTGTGCACGAAGTTTCGGGAAAAAACACTGCGTTAAGTGGAGATAGCGCACCATACTTACGTATAACTCTAGATTTTGACGTAAGATGGCGCTTGCATGCACTTTTTCGTATTAAACTGAACTACATTTGACACTTCCAATCACAATCGTTTGACAGACATACAATCAGTTAGATATTTTGTTCGAGTTTATATTTCTTGTAACAAAAACACGACACTACCTGCAATTTATCTTTTATTCTCCTATGAATTGTAAAATTTTATAAAACCCAGATTTTACAAATATTTTCAAACGTAAATAAATATTAAATAAAATCACTTCAAGTCTTTCTTTTTCATTCACGGCGGTGATTTATTAATTCCTTTACGCTTAGCAGCTTGAAGTGCTTGAAAGAAACGGGGTGCGCGGCGCGAAGTGCGAGGTGTAAAGTGGTGAAACGCTTCGGTTGATTAAATTCAATTTCCGGCTTATGGTGCGATTCTGTGTTCACCACTTAACAAACGAACGTACGAAAGCTCCAAGACGCTTCGTACGGCGAAGTTATGGATCGGCCTTAAGTGGTATTCTGAGCGCGCATCTATATCTTTACCTAAAGTCAATCCCGCTGCACCCTAAAATTTGACAGAAAGCGCGCGAGTTTCAAATGTATGGGTTCTTCAATTATTCAAATATGCAACAAATATGTGTTAATACTTATTATTTCTATTTCGGTTCAATACTGACGTTTGAAAAGTCGCAATCAAAAGTTGTTATTGTTCATTGTTTTGATTTTTAAATTACCTTTGAAGAAACACAATCAAAAAATATAAATAATCTCTTATATGCTACGTATTTGGCTCATTATCCGCAAATACTTGTGAAAAATTGACAAAATATTTATCTAAAATTTATTGTTTTTAGGAGTTTTTTTTTTTAATTTGAAATTTTTGCTTGAAAACGTGGAATTTTGCATTTGAAAAATACAGATACACTCGATGCGTGCAATTCTTTGTCATCTTCATCTTTTTTCACATCTGCTGAGCACACGGCTCGGCAAAATATTCCACTTACCAATTTCGATGAATAGGCAGACTGAGACAGCAGACGACCGAGTGCGGTTGTGGGTGAGAACGAAGAGCTGCGGTAAGGCAGTTTCACCCGCGCCAAGAGAGCAGCGCATGCGTACAACATGTTACGAAGGCTATCGGCACACTCAAGCTGCTCGAAAAATTGAGGCGACCCGAACCCTCCAAAAGACCTCCGTTGGGCACTCAGAATTGCAATCTGTGTTCGTTCGACAGTACGGCACTTCGGGTGCTGCTCAGAATAGCACCATTAATTGCCGACCGAAGCGCTTTTGATTTATTTCACTTCTTTCTTTTATTCGTGCGGTTTCTGCAAACACGCTTCGGAGAACTGTCTTAATAAGTTATATGATACGTAGCGAACATCGGTAAGTTCATAAATCAATATTTATATGAAATACGAGGACATTGGGAGATATATTTTGTTTATTTTTGCATGTTTCCATCGACAAAACGAAAAAGTTTTTACCACAATATTTACGTATTTATTCATAGTTATGTAATAATTTCAAGCGTTAACAACAAAAATTACACGTTTTTATTCATTTTATTGAAAATGTGTTTATTTTTACTGCTTATTTGCTTTGTGCAAATATAATTTGTTGTAATTAAACATTTCAGGACAATTTCAAACTGTTTAAATTGTTTCCACTTTGTTTGTAGGTCAATGTGTGTCCTAAACCTTTGTTTATCAACAAACAGTACCTACCACATTGCAAATTGTCTTTCGTTCAGGTCTTATTTATTTATTTCTATAAATATGAAAGATTTAATTTGATTTTAATGACTTTTACTTATAATTATTTCAATTCTTATTTTATAATCACAATTTATCTAACTTCAATCGAAAATTAATGCTTGTTAAAGTTTAATCGTCTTTGCATTCTTCTCAGGGCACTTTAAGTAGAAATTTCTAAACGCCATTTATTTATAAAAGCTTGTTGAACATGCAAAGCGTGTTTCGTGTTAGATTATTCGCGTGTCGCTCAAAATTTCGCTCTTTTCGCTCATCTCATCAACGAAACACGCCCGAAACACCGAGGAGGAAAATGCTCCGGCCTTGTTTCGATACATCAAGCAAGCAAGCGTATTGCATTAAACAAAATAAATGAATAAACTTTTGAAATTAATTTTTGCCCGAAATAAAATGGCCCTTGTATCGCTTCAAAAAGTTGCCGCGGAGCATTTCCGAAGGATAATTTGGAATGAAACGCGTTTGCGGTGGAAATAAATTGACGCGTGCGAAACAAGCGCGCGCTTTTCTGCCTCCACCACCACCGCCACCAGTGGGAATGTTTTGAGGCGGTCGCTGGTCGGCGGCAGTATTCCATCGAGCGTCGTGATGCGCGTTGCAACGCCGCCGTTCGGTAGATACGCCGCATTCGCGTAATTATCACAAAAAGTAAATTTTCTTCACTCAAAAATAAAAAATAAAAATATGTCTGCAATCAAAGTCTTAAACAAATCAAAATATTCCGATAAATTTCCAAACAAATAAAAGTTGTAAACAATCGGGACGATTCAATCGAGTGTTTCTGACTGTTCGAGTTGAAAATTTTTAAAACTGAACGTAAGTACTTCAACAACTTTTTCGACATGTTTTTCTCTTTCATTAAAAAACTTTCGCCGTCTTTAAGAGTCTTAAAAAATACTACACAACAAATTTGAACTTTTAATTATGAGATTAACTTGAATTACTTTTAGGCAGGGAATATTTTGTTGGATTAATAATTATAATTAAAGCGTTGCATGTTGATACGTTTTGCATGTCGGAATTTGATTGATGCCGATTCGAATCGCAAGCGGAAACGTAAACATACATAAAATGCTGGAAGGTGAAGGTTGATTTGCGTGCCGGGTGCCTGGTGCCGGTTTACCGGCATGCGGATGTATGATTGACACGTTTATTCCGGTTTCTGTGATGAAAATATGTCAAAAACGGTTTTTGCACGTTCGAAAAGTGTCTAAAAAGTTATTGTACGCATAATGTTTATTTTGTTAGATTTTAGGTTAGTTTATCATGGAATATATGCAACCAAAACGTCTAGAAAGACGGGAATTGAGAAAAATATTGTTTTCCGGTTTCTATGATAAAAATATGTCAAAAACGGTTTTTACATTATACTGAAGTGTCTAAAATGTTGTTTTATACTTAATGTCTATTTTTATTTAATTTAAGGTTATTTTATCATGTAATATATGCAACCAAGACGTTTTGGAAAACAAAAAATGAGGAAACTATAATTTATTCCTGTTTCTGTGACGAAAATTTGTCAAAAACAGTTTTTGCACTTTCTAAAAGTGTCTAAAAAGTTTCTGGACACATAACATATAGTTTTTTTACGTTTGAGGTTAGTTTATCAGGGAAAATATGCAACCAAAACGTTTAGGCAGGTTGGAATTGAGAAAATATTGTTTTTTCAGTTTCGGTGATACAAATGTGTTAAAATCGGTTTTTGAATTTTACTAAACTGCCTAAAATGTTATTTTGCATTTAATATCTATTTTTATTTAATTTGAGGTTAGTTTATCACGTAGTATATGCAACCAAAATGTCTTGGAATACGAAAAATAACAAAAATACTTTTTATTGCAGTTTCTATGATGAAAAATCTCAAAAAACGTTTTTTTTTACTTTTAACATTTATTTTTGTTAAATTTGAGGTTAGTTTATCTTATAATTTATGCAACCTAACTACCCCGGAAAACGAAAATGACAAAATATCGTTTTCCTATCTCGCATTCATAACACCACTCCCGCCGAGGTGGATTTCCGTGTGCAGCAATCAATCAATCAATTTGCGATTGCATTTAGATACTTGCACAATCCCCCCGATGCAAACAAAAGCTAAAAAAGAAAAACCGCTTGCCGCAATCTCGCCGCGCATAGAAAAAATGGCGCGTTTCGAAATTACTGCCTTGCTTGCTGTAATTGCTAGATTATGGTAGCAGTTTCCAGCGGGAGGGTAAAAACACACACACAAAAAAAAAGAACAACAAAACCTAATGAAAAATGCAAAGCAATGTGAAGGACGGGCGAGCGCTACACGCGGCTACATTCTAATAACGAACTTCGATGAATAAAATATCGAATTTGCCGACGACCTATCTATCGGTACGATGGAAGCGTAAGAAGTAAGAACGTCGCATGGAAATTACGTTTAGGTTTCGAGAACGTTGTTATATCGTTTGTAGGTTTTAAACTCATACTCGTCGTATATCGAGATACTTAGAATTTCCAAATACATTGATTTTTAAATTGAATTTTTTACTTCTACTCCCACATATCAAACGGTAAAAATTACGTCGTTGTAATACTAAAATATTTCAGAGAATTTTTAGGTTAAATTAATTTAGTTTAATTGAAGGTTTGGCCATACTTATACGCCTAGGTCCTTTATAGGCTCACCCAGAGTTAATCCTCATGAGAACGCATGTAATTTGGCAATGCGTGGCATTGGTTAATTCCTAATTTGGTCTAATCTATCATTACGTTCGTCATTAATGCAACGCACAACGCGCGCAGCGCAGTTAGGATTGTGTCAAACCGCAGGCGTTCGCACAATCTACTCATTCGCAGGACGTGAATTCGTCCTGCGTGCTTTGCGAGTTTGGAATGACCGCTTGATGGCTATTTGCATAGTTAATTTGAAATTGGTGTAATTATAACTTTGAACTCAACCTTCTCAACACATTTTTGACAGTTTTCAAGTATTTTTATGCGAATATATGACTTTGACCTTATTCTTCTGTCAAAATTGATCATGCAATTGATATTCTACACTGGTGCACATGATCCTACGTGCCAAGACAATTTATTGACATTTCCCTTGCCAAAAAGAATTTTTATTGCATATTTTTGCAAATTTTCCAATAACATCTGAAATAAAACGAATTACTCTGTAATTTAATGTATAAATAAATCCACATAAAATAGTAATCACATTGTAAGAAGTAAAAAAAGACCGTTAATCTCACTTCTATTAAAATAATTGTGTCTATAAAAGACGTTAAGCTCTAATCTCACATCCGTACGCCCTCGCCTGTCTCAAGTAATACACCTATATAACGACACAACGCATAACGCATAAAGTCGAATTGATTTACCAATGGGATTATGATCTGTTTCATCCCTTCTCGCAGCTCGCACCCGACTAATCTTTCTTGGCGTCGCTCTTTTCGTGAGATTTCCTTACTCGGGGTAAAAACGAGTGACGCGCGTGGATTTTCCTGCGAAACGTTTAATAGTAAGCTTTACTGGAACTTGAAATCACTCTGCTTTAGATATTTACATTCACAAACGTTTGAATTACAAAATAATTGTATTTATACGTCGATTTAGTTATAAGTTTAACTTCAGCATATGATGAATTTGAGATAGGCAACCAAACATACATGAAAGTGATTATGTTTCCATACTATAGCAATATCACGATGATGAATGATTGTTAATTTTCGGCAATATTTTTCGCTTTTAATGAATGATGACACATCAAATCGTATATTGTTATATTAAACAGAACAAGGTCACTACAAATACGTGTTCTTATTAGGATTAGTGAGGGATATAATTATGTTCTCCTCCGTTTTTATTATATTCTCGAAAGAGGGCAGAATGTCGATACGACAAAACCGATAATCAATCAAGCGTCCAAATTATATTACGGCAAGTTGTATTAGTACATTGTGCTGACCCAGTGTTATTTCGTGCTTGAATGCTTCACATTTACACAATAAAACCTGCACGACGTTCAATGTCAATGTTTCAAAGCAACAAACATTTACAAAACCTCACGTTTGATGCGAAAAACTTTGCGAGTTTTGTTTTTCTTTCAAAGTGCTCTTGGAATTTCCGAAAATTTGCGAACAAGAATAATCTCCTAATGCCAAAGACAAATATATGTTAAGTACGAAGGAAAATGTTAAAATTTAAAATCAAATTTTAAAGCAGACGAAAATTCTGCACATGAAAACGGTAATAATCGAATGCATGCGGATTGAATTTTGATCGGGAATATCGAGGATTCAATTGTAGATGCTTCCAGCATTGTGTGTGAATCAAATTTGGAGGTGAATCAATCGAAGCATTAACACCGAGTGAATTATAGTCCGCAGAATCTCATCGGGATGGTGGATACGAGTATTGTAAGCTTGATTGATTTCAATTGGAGAATTTAGACAATGGCGTGTTGTAAATTCTACAAGACAATGAAAAACAAAGTTTTATAGGTTAGGTTAGGTTTATTCGTGTTAAAAGTCTATAAAATCATCAACTCTAAAACATATCATATCATCTTCTTGTTCATCCTCAGCGTGATTAATAAGCTTGCTCTCGATAAGAATGCTTTCCATCTGCACCTTTGTAATCCGCACGGTTTTGGTAATATTTCTCACCGCCATCTTTCGCCCTATAACCGGCATCCTGATGATTGTATCTCCCTTTATCAAAGTGTCCTTTCTCTGATTGTTCTCCTTCCTTGTGGGCACTCGCGTGTTTCCCACCTTTGCGAAACCCACCCTCTGCGCTGGCATGTTCTTTGTGTCCTTTACCATAGCTGTCAAAATGTCCTTTGACATCCTTCTCGTCGTAGAATGTGTGATCTTTTTTGTACTCATCTTTGCGATAGATCTTATGATATCCACTGGTTTTGGATCCTTTTTTGTGTGATTCGGCATGTGAGTGTGAGCCGCCATTTTCTGAACTTCCCGCTGCGTGTCCCTCTGCGTAATGTCCGGCGTCCTCATGGCTGGCGGCTTTGTGTCCGCCTGAAGCTGCGTGTGATCCAGCTGAGTTTTCCTCATCATGCTCACCGGATGCGCCCTTGGCGAAGTTTTCTTTGTTACTGTATCCTGATTGTCCCTTGGAGCCGTGTTTTGATGAGGAGGCATCTTCGTAACTTGACCCGTGATCTTCCTCGTAGTCTTCATCATCGCTGTCATCATCAGAGTTGTACTCCATGTGTGTGGGACCTTCGTTATCTTCGAAAACTTCAGCAGCGTTTGTGTACTTATCATTCTCGTCGATTTCTTTCTTGGTTAGGTGTTTGGTGATCGGTGGAAGATCCGCTGGTATGCTATAAACTTGTTGCTCAGTTTTGGCGTTTGCGGAGGGTTTGAGCGGGCCGTAGGAAGTCTTGAAGTGCACATAACTAGTGGGTCCGTCGTGACCTGTCGTTTTGTACATGTAGCCTGAACTGGAGCCGCGTTGGTCCTCGAATCTTTTCGTCCTCACAAGGTAAACGTTCACGTTAGCTGGATTTTCTTCTCTCGCTGCGTTATCGACTTCTTTTGTTGTCGGGAAAGGACTCGCGCTGGAAAAAGCACAATGCGCAACCAAACAGAGCAATAACACTAAACTTCCGTTCTGAATCTTCGCCATAATCATTATCACTGTTTGCGCTAGTGCAACCTCAGCTAATCTTTATAGTTTCAATACTTGCAAACAGTTGTTGTGGTCCGCGGTTGATTATACGAAAGTTTCCCGTACGATATTTGTGCGGAAATTACACGGTAACTTTCGGTTATTCGGTCTGACTTGAGCGCAGCTGGATAATTGAAGAAACTTGATGCACAACCGCGCGAATGCCACCGGGCTGATTAATTAATTCGTGTTGTTGATTATGTTATCCAACTTTGGTTTTGTTTTCATTTGCAGACAAACTTTAGCTTGTTATTCGTAGGAACTAAGATTGTATTATATTGTATCTTGAAGGTGTCTTGTCTTTTATACAAATTTCTTCCTCCACTTCATATTATAGTGTTATTGCAATAATCTTAGAAATTTGCAACTTTTAGACGTAATTTCTTAATTTTAGCTCAAAAAAACGTTGATAAATAATTGCATGTGCACACTAAAGAGGTTTTCGTGCCTCTTGTGAGCCGCTGAAGGTCGCATTAGCAAACTTCGGTTAATGCACACCGAGTCAGAGTAGGTACTTCAAACAAAGCGGGCTCGATGAACCGAGGCGCGCATTGACAAACTTTAATTTTAGCCAAGGTGAGGCCAGAAAATCGATGCGTTTGCCAATCATCTTTCGACACTTTTCCAATGACCAGACGCGTTTAAGGTCACATTTATAACTAAACTTTAAATGTAACATAACCTACATAACCTATAAAGTTCACTTTTAATTAAATTAAGAGTATTGATCAAGATTGCACAAAATGCATCCTAATAAAACGTTCATTTAATCATTGATCAATAAATCGAATTAAATGTGCGTGTTTGTTCCACGAAGTAATAAACTAAGCGCCATAACCTCAATTGGGTTATCATTAGTTTGGAATTAACTGCACACAGCGTCCATAATAAAATGATTGCAATGCGTTTAACTTCCGCATGCATTACCGACCGGATTTAATCGTGTCAAATTACTCGTGTAATGAAAATGTTTACATGAATAGCAATTTATTAATGAAATTTCGAAAATATGCGACATTGTAAATATGCAAGAATTTCAGCGTTGTAAAGTGCCATATCAATTGTAGGCATTAATTTAAGCACAGCATGACAGCAGCAAATTGCGAAGCGTGCAGATGCTAAAACGAGCAAATCAACCCGCCATGTAAATTAGAACAGCTTGGAATGGGTGAGGAGCACAATGTGCAGATAATGCACAACAATTATATATAATGGTTGAACAATGTGATATAAATGTTATTAATTTATATCAATTAATGGTGGCGCAGCGATGCGGTCAGACACGTTGACGCAGATCAATATTATCTCACGCGTAAATTATTAAAACATAGCTAAATATAGTTGTCATATTGTGTGTAAATAAATATAACCTATAATTTATTTGTTTTGGTGGTTGCCTATCATGAATATAACCAAATTTCTCTGCGTGTTTTATTCTAATGTGGATTAAAAGATCTAAATGCGTTGCAGGCGAGAATTTCACGTGCGCGTTTCTCACAGAATGCACATTTTGTATTATTGCTGGAATGTGGCAAAACTTTAGTTGTGCAAGCACACAATGCGTCCCGCAGACATCTTGGGTTACAAATGTGTCGAGCAAGTGCAGAGTAGTGGAATATTCTAGTTTAATATTTATTATTCTACACGGGGACAAATTGAGGAATAAAATTTAACGCATAATGTGCGTTTAAATTAAATGTAATTTTAGTAAAGTGCATTTTTGGTTCTTTGATTGTGCGAATGTTTTTTTTAACGCGTGGACGTGATGATTCGATTGAATGAAAATTGATGCGTAATAAAATCATTGAAATTGCAGAATTTTATTTGAATGCAACATGAATGCTAATAAATCCACTGAAATGCGTGGAATTTTTTGATTTTTATACAAAAAATAGCGAAATATAACTTTTTGTTATAAATTTTGAGATTTTTTTTAGTTTTTACTTGATTTTAACTTGTAAAAAAGCATAAAATCAACCTCAAATGCTTGGAATTTTTTGATTTTTATGCAAAAAATTACTTTTTTTTAGTTTTCACTTGATTTTTACTCTTAAAAAGCATAAAATCAACCTCAAAATACAAACAAATATTCCCCTAGTGCAAAGGTTTTTCCACCTCCAATAAAACCTCCACCTTTGTCTAAAAATTTCCCCGGAATTGCATACCGAATAAACGTGCCTTCTTTCCGCTGAAGCGATTCGGTCCTTTGCTTCGAAAACGTCTATGACATCGAGTATTACTATCCGGAAACGATTCCCACTAGTGTCACACTTTCTTTGGCTTCGTTTCCGCCATCATCCCGCTGTTCTGCATGCATAAAACGCTAGCTGCATGCGAATTGCATAAATTTCAGCGCAAGTTTCGTCGTTACGCTCCACACAATTTCCGCTTGCAAATAACGAACATCATCAAGTCAAAAACGATAAATATTTACTCTCATACAAATTTTATAATGGAATACAGTGTATATGTCTTGTGTGGAACAGGTGAAATTGGTAAATAAAATACTCAGAGAAGAAAAGAAATAATAAAAATCAAATTCACGTTTTCACCAAACTAAAGCTTTTCTTGACTGTATTACTAGTTGGATTTCATCTTGTCTGCTCATCTGGCGTTCCATTTCCTGCACAGAAGCGAGAATTGTGTAGAGTGTAGACTGAATGAGGTATTCTCGGCGTTGGAAATCTTTCGCGGATCAGAAAACGACAAAGAAAAATCAAATGTGGAAATATCAAGTCGGCAACAAATGTTGCCTAGATTTCGACTAGACGTAGGGAGATGTTTCATGTAAATCTTTGCGTAAATCTACGTTTCGCACACTGCTAACATGTTGATGCGTAGACAAGATTGCTATTGAGATATTTGGATTTCCGGAAGAAAATTCCCAATCTGGAATGCAGACATATTCACTCGATTGCGTTCACATATAGAAAATTATGTCACTAACGCCATCTAGCGTCAACTTGGGAAAATCCAGTAACGCATAGCGTTTTAATGGTTTACTCAAGTGTAAACTTTGTATTTTTTATAATCCACTGCAGTACTATTAACGCTTCATTCAAAAACAGAAATTTACACATATACGGCACTCTTGAGAGTGCAGCATGCTGCAAAATATCCGCAGAGTATTGAAATAACGTTTATATCCTGTGTACTGCGTTAAACAACTCCCCAACCGTCGAGATTTCTAAATAACGTGTAATTGCTGTGCGCAAATTTGTTTCAAAATAGAAAAATGCGAAAACACGCCACAACTTGCGCACGATATGAAAAATAGAAGCAGACGATAATGTTTTATCCGTTTAGACATTATTTGGATAAGGTTTAACAATGTATGTAGTCTGCAGATAAAACATGACAGAAATAACTAACTGAAAATAGAAATGTAAACATGCTATGTGGGTTGTCGAATGTTAGTTTTTCATTCCACGCGTAAATAATGAAAGAGTAAACCAATTAAATTATGTATTTAAAAAGCTCTTGAACTAAAACTAAACACTTATTACGTCTGAACTTAATAATGTCGTATTCTCTTTATTTCGGTTTATTCTTGGTAAAATATTAATTGTGGTTTACATGCTAGGCAACTTGTTATACAAGCCTAGATTCAAGTCAATATGAAGTAAGAAATATGTTCGAAACAATTCGAATGGAAAATCACATCGCCTAAAAACATAATTACGAACCCAACTCCACGGAGAATCAAAAGGAGATGGTGGTTGAGGATGAGCGCAAACAGCTGATTTGCTTTTGGATATAGCACCGAATCCGCTTTCAACTCGTTGCTTTTGATCGTTATTTTACGCCCCGCGCACGGCTATGATGCTATGTTTTCCCAGTTCCATCCGCTCCTTTTTCCTCTCTCCTCAATGTGTGTCGTGTTTGAGTCGATATTCGGGGTAAACTTGCGCGTGAATGTTTAGCTTCCAACTTCCAATAATTACGATGCGAGTTGTGAGATGAGCTAGCGATGAGCTTTCGGCTGCTGCCGAAAGAGCAACACGAAATTATCCGCAGCGACGAGTTATGAGTTAAATAACTAATCAAGCGCGCTGAAATTGCGCCCGCATGTGGAAGATTCCAGCACACACACACAATGCGAAAATTGCTAACCAGGCAGAACAGTAGATAATTACTTAAAAATATTGCGTACAATTAAAATTTCGCTATAAATAAAAAAAAAAGTTTTGCTACAAGTTTGCAAGTAAAGTCAAGTTAAAAGGTCGCCAGCTGCCAAACACCGAAAAACTAAGTTTTCGAAAGTTCCCGGCGAGCGATTGCGACCGATCTCAAGTCACAACCCATGCGACTCTCGCATTATTTATTAACGGACTAATATATTAAAGTATTCAACTTTTTTTTGCCTTCGCCTTGATTCCAGTGCGCGTGGATCCTTCAAAGCTTAATTAATTATTCACTAGTTATTCATCAGACGCCACGCAATCCTCATAACTCGTAACTTATAAGTAATTACTTTATAAGTGTTATTTATTAGTAGGTATTACCTCATGATAATGCTACTAATCATTATCTATTAGTTGAGTATATAATTATTAATTCTCATGCTTAAAAAATTAATTAATTTCTAAGAATAATTAACTATTTAACTTTTACCCTCTTTGTTCATACTTTTATACTTTTATACTTTTATACTTCTATACGCATTGTTGTAATTTGCCTTTGTGCTCAATAATTAAGCCTTTTATACAATTTTCCAACTTTTTCTTATTTCTCTTATAGACTTAATAAAAAAAGCCTTGAAAAAAATGAAAGTTAATTAAATCTTTTTGTATTCGTTGAAAGAATTTCACTGTAAATAATATGCTTGCCTTATGTGTGTTATCAAATTACTTTGATAATGCATGTGATTGTGTGTGTGTGATTCTGCGATCACGCCGCAATACTTCCGGCGAGCGGCAATCTCGTTAACGCTTTTAATTATGATTTGATGAGATTCGCTCACGTGCCGTGATGCCGCCGATGTAACCGAACACATAATGAACGCAGAAAATAATTAAAATGCGAATTAAATACGAGACCGGCTCTCGATTTCTTACTTTT